TTCGGTGGCCTGTTTAGCTCGGATCGCACGAGGTTTGCCAGTTGTGAAGCGCCAAGGTGTCCTTTAACCGTGTTAGATGAGAGAACTAGAAAGCAGAAAGAAGGATCATACTGCATTCTTATCTTGATGACGGCTTCTTCGGGAACGTGCCACCAACGTTTGAGGCAACAAATACCGCGCGTGCTTCAGAAAAAAGGTGAATTTGTTTCAAACATCTCATGTCGCTTATCTTACGTTCTAGTTTCCAACGTGAACCCTTTTCTGGAAAAGTGACCTCGGTACCAATGTATGCATCCTTATCCAACCAGGTAATTTCGGATTTGGGACGACGCATTTTGAGGTTTGGTCTGGCAGGCTCGAGAGAAGACACAGCAGTATGATCGTAAGCCGAGCGAATTAAGGGACCTCTCCTTTTGGTAGTAGAAAAATATGTTTGTTAGTGGTCCCTTGTTAGGCATCCTACAGGTGCCGTCCAATGAGAAAAACCCGCCGTCTCACTGCTGTATCGACGAACAACGAACCTCCTATGTGAGTGTAAACGGACAATTTAGGCCCAGCACCGTTGCCTACAGTCACATTTTAAGATCCCAACTGGATAGGATAATGCCCCTGGTACAATTGTTCCAAAACACTCGAACAGGTCAATGGCGCTGCACAGCCAGTCTAGACATGACTTCCTTTCAACATACCACAAAGCCGTTCTTAGATAGTAGTCATTCGACATGACATGCTTCTCACTTTCTAGCAGGACGCCTAAACCAACGCCCATGGCTTCCCTCGTGGGCTTCCACGCATCCCAGTTGATATCACCTTCCACACCCAGATTATATATCTATAAGTCGGGCTCAAGTACATCGTTCGCAAAATAGAAAATTGAGTCTTCATAAAACCGTAGTACATGGAAGACCTCGTGACGGAAACATTTTTTAGTATGATGCAAACCTAGAATGCGATGCCATTGATATTCATCATTAGCAACAGTCATATTCAAGTACTCGGAGAAGGCAGGACGCCATGGATGCATGTCAGATGGGAATGACTCAAAACCTTGATACTATTTCCCCAGATGAAGTGAATGATGTTTTCAGGAACCTAGAATATTCGTACTAGAACTCCGTAAGTATCGAAGACCAACTCGTCATCATCATTGACCCAATTCGCATCGGAGAGGCAGACCAGGCAGTAGACAATCCCATCGACGAGAATATTTCGCACACAGTAACTGCATGGTACAAGGCAAAAACCCTCGTAACTTTTCCCTTTGATGCAACCCCCCTGATTCCATGGTCCTCAACTTATCCCCAAAGAGTATGTGGACCACGTCCCGACACGGAAATAGCATTTCCATTTTTGGCTGCGGCTATTCTGTCCAATAACATGTATTTGTCGGGGTTCGTGATAAAGTTGCTATTTTATATTTCACTCCTGTCCGGAACGCCCGGGAATGGAGGAAAAATACGTGTGCCTGAAGGTACCTGAAGGTTTGATACGTGGAGTACGATGTGGCTATGACTACTGCTTTTTTATTCATTTTTATTTTTTATTTATTTTTTTTTCTTCCATTTTCTTTTCTTTTTTTCCCAGCCGAGTATATGAGCGTCAATCCCGCAGAAGAACTACATTAGTTTACCTGTGGAACGACAATCATGCTAAGCAAATGCTAAGACTTTGCCAATACCAGCGATCATGCCGAATGATCATATTATGCAGGATGTATTGCACGACCCAGCTGAAAACTGGGTCCCTGATTGTCGAGTGGATGTGATGATGAGCAATGATGGACGTTGATGGACGGTTTATGGGGGTCGCTTAAGATCATCCCCAGTAGATCATAGCTGGTTTAGGGAGGTCCTTATAGGCCCCAGAGTTTTCCGGACCACAGGGGACTTTTGCGCGAATATGCAATGGGAGGATCATAATTCATCGTAATGCTGCTGTTGTCTTCTCTGTAATCAAAGCTGTCAATCTGGTCGTGCTGTCGGGATTGACAGGTGTAAAACAGGAATTCGTACTCCAAACGGGACTTCTAGACCGTCGTGTTCCGGCGTATTATGACAATCATGACATGAATTTCGGTTATTATGGTTCATTTTAACCTTCTTGCCATATGTACGGAGTACGCAGTGGCATTCTGTTGTTTCCGCAGCCGAAGCTATTATATCCACAGTATTCGTTCCTATATACAAGGACCGCAGGCAAAAAACCGAAATAGAAACCAAGACGGTAAACGTGAAGGAAATCCAAAAGAACAATAACGCAATACAGCTAGTAGTCCCCTTCTATTATCAAACATCAACGCACACGGAGACAAGAAACAAAGTTTAGGAAAAGAAAAAAGGACCTAAAGTCAGGGACCAGTCCTTTACCCCGAATCATTGGGTTATCCCGAGCGCCTCGCCGCCAACATTGTGGTACGGTGGCTGGGCAGTGACCGCCTGTTCCCGATCAAATCGCCAGATACCGTTAGTCTTGTCGGTGTCAAGGCTTCCGGTGATCTGAAGCATCTTGGCAAGTTGCAGGAAGGTCTCATCATCCTTTTCGTTGACACGGTTGAAGAACCGTCGCTCCCATTCACGGTTCTCGGCTTTTTCAATCTTGCGCATCTCACGCTGCGCATTTTCGATGCGAGATTTGTGCGCGGACGTCGCGTCCATGTCGCCTCGCTCAATGGCAGATGCGACATGTTGCCATGCACGTCGACTCTCGAAGATGCTTTGCTCCTCGAGCGGTGCCAACTGCAAAGGTGTGGTCTTGCTGTCCTTCACTACGTACCTTTCTACTTCCTCCTTGGTGCGGGCGTTCTTGATGGTAAACGAATCGGACCATTGCCCGTCGACAGTGTACAAGGGCTTCTTCTCTCCCTCGCTCTCCTTATACAAGCTGGCAGTGAAAGTATTCTTCTTGCCACTCAACCAACCCTTGCCAGAGTAGTCAATTTTCGCAACGTAACCGGTGCTGCTGGCAATCTTGGTGGACTTCTCCAGCTCGACGAACGGAGTGCCGTAGATCAATGATTCAATGTGCAGAGTGGGTAGGGTAATCAAGAATTTCTCTTGCTGAGCCGGATCGTTCTTGTCCGCCCCGGGTGGGGTGACGGAGAGCAGCGCATGTCCCAGCTGCTTCACCTGAATGGTGCTAGAGAACGAAGCCTTTTGAGCATTGTATCCTTGTAACTGAGTTTGATTATTAGTTGATCGGATTTTTTTCTTTCTTCTGTTTAGTAGCAATGGGCGGTTTCTGCCGACTCACCTCGACCCCGTGCTTGTCGTTCGAAATTGCATAGGCGGTGACCGGAGGGTGGTGGCTGGAGCATATGTCAATCTCTCGACGGTCTCAAAGGGCCAGTGTGCCGATGTGACGAACCTAACTTGCTCACTGTATAACTTCGTTTCGCCCACATCGGCATCAGAATCCCACTTTCCAAGGAAAAGTTCTCCCAGGAACGGGTTGAGCGGTTTCTTCTCGCTACCCAACTTCTCGCTGCGACTGCAGTACTGCTGGCGAAGGGTACTCAAGAACCACTTGAGAACAGCGAGGGCCCGCTTCTCAGGGTCGGTCTCCTTGGTAGGGGCAACGAACAAAGACGGATGCTCGGCCCAATACGCCGAGTATTCCGTCAAGGAAGTGGAGGAGAGGATAAACGGTGGAGCGGTCAACGAGGAAAGATCTCCAGAAAAAGAGGCAATAGACTAGGAAGATGAAATCATAAGGATCAGCCGTGATCGTTTCCAACAAATACGGTATTAACTCCACGGGGTCCGGAACAGAGGGTTGACATCGGAGGAACACGGTGATGCCACATGCCACTTGTGCTGGGATAGAGTTTTTACAAGTTTCGCTCCCGGAGCGAATACATCATAGCAATAATGTGCAAGTGCACACTCACCTTGAGGAAACTCGACCAAGAGCCTCTGCTGGAAGCAGGAATATTGCTTTGTGGATCCTTGGAAGTCATGTTGGCGGTGGGATGGCGCTTCGGGGAGTCTCAAGACAGGGGGTAGCCAGGAGAGACGTAAAGTGTGGATATTGATACAAATGACAAAGAAATGTGATACTGAATCGTTGCTGGATCGAGTGGCTGAGAAATACTGAAGGAGAGAAAAAGGTGCGATAGAGCGTATGAGGGATGAAAAGGACAAATGTGAGAGGTGAGGTTGAGAATGTTGAGGTTTCCCAAGTCACGCCAAGCGTCTCGACGTCATCAGGCGGCAGATCGCAGTTCCCCGCCTTAGACACGACACACTCACGCGCGCACTCAACGCTCCCTCAATGCTTTTCCATTCTACCACTGCTGCCCATTCTGGGTTTGCTATAAAGTACAATGCTATCCTACAATGCACCATATTCCGTTGTCTGTGTTACCTGCTTCGCATATGAGGCGACCCGGATCGCAGAGGCGAATAAAAAGGGGCATCGACACAACATGACAAGGGACCATTATGGTTGCTTTTTGAGCTGATCAGTGCGACAAGAACCTTCTAGTGCTACTTCAAGCAAATCAGAGGCTGAAGCATCGGTCAACGGGAGTAGATTTGAGTCAAGCTTTTTTATGATGGACGAATCGAAAATCTTATCAGATGTGCCTGATGCTCCTTCACGGCCCAGACACTTATGCAATAGCATAATTTCTTCTTCTCTGCTGGTTTTACGGTAGATGCTTTGAGTTCAACTCAAACCACTCGCAGCCCACCATACACGCGTTGGATTCCAGGCACAGAGCTTTTGAGATCCCGACCCGACACAGTTGTGAGGGAAATTTCCAGGCCCACGGGTAAATTTCTCGCGCATTTTGTTTCTAGATCCGAGGACGAGCACATGGCATGGAAAGTTCGATAGCTCTCTCTCCCTCTCATTGCCAGCATATCCGAGTAGGAAAGTATGCCATGTATACTTAGTTGGCCACCGCAGGTTTACCATGGACGATGCCGCCACACTGCGAATCAACGGACAAATTCGGCGCCTAAGATCGATTTTTCCGACTGGGAACGAAAATTATTTGGAACTCAAGAGTATGTTGCAATTATTCTCTCGTTCTTTAACTTTCCTCATTTTGGAGAAGTTTTAAGAAAAGATACGTCATTTTTTACATGATGTATCGCCAATGATGTTGTGAAACCACAGAAAGAATGTGGTTCTCCAATCCATCGAGTTTCAGGTGGTTTGGTGCTTTTTTTTTTTTCTCTTTTCCGCGGATGTTTTCTATTGTTGCCTTCTTCCTCTCCTCCTTTCCGCATCTATGCATGGACCGACGACAAATTAAGACTGACAGGAAATAAGGAATAGGGAAAAGGAAAAGGAACAGACTGCGAGAACGATCAAAGAAGCAAAAATTACCGTTCGGAGTCAGTGAAAATCTCGGGATCCCGAATTTGCCTCCTCGTTGGCTCTCAGCTCTATTATTCGATGCGCGTGAGCGGCGTATTAATTGTCGCATTTCCGCCCAACCGCGTGCGCCCCTGGGGCTAAGACCCGGCTAGTCTAACGGGTGTTTCCGTACGCCGGAAAGCCGAAACGACTTGGCGCCGCGGTATTCAGCGCCATGCATACTATTGCTTTGTATGTACCGAGTATCCACTCTTGTGGGATGATGCGTTTCTGTTTCCTTGGTTTTATACCTCAACCTCGTGCAATCCCTTTTTGATACTGTTGGCCATCCCATGGACCCAGTGGAGCGCTAATCTGCCGATCCCGTGCCCACTTCGAAGTCAAGCTATGCGTTCCCGGACCCTCTCCCGAACGTATAGTGGCAATGATGAGTCCACTGTATGCGCGGATCGTTGGGTCTGCTAGGAGTTTACGCTTGTCCCTTATGGTGAACCACAGTACCCTTTTGGTGCGCTGGAGGTCAAGCTTTCGCCCAGTCGGTTTTCGGCTATGGTCTAGGCACATTTCATGTTTTAATGATGTGATGATAGTCATTGCAAAAATGGGCACTTGCTTTTCGCAACACGCAAGCTTTGATCTCGACAAAGGAGGCGTCGGACTATTTTTTCTTGACATTTAAGCTCGATATTGCGTTGAATCTCTTGTCATTCGCTCTCGATTTCCCTTGGGTCCCTCTTGTCAAAGCATGTCCTCTCGTTGATTCTTATTCCCTGTTTTATCATTTTCTTTGTATGATTCTTGAGTTTACATTCGTTTCATGGATTGGTCTATTAAAAGATAAAATCTTCCGTTCCTCTTGACTTCTACAATCTCTTAAAAACTCCGAACATTCCTGAGAGACTTCTTTTCCACCCACTGTCACCCAAAAACAAGCCCTTTTGCCTTCTTTTCTCTTCTCTTCTCGTCTCTCTTTCTTCCATTTTCTCCGATTGACCCAGCACAATGCTCAAAGTCTTCGGCTCTAGATCAAAACAAAACCCTTCTGGCACGGCAGAGGAAGGATGCTCGAGGAACTCTTCCATGACACAGCTGCCACCCGAGGAGGCACAAAGACCGCGGTCAGAGTATGGGGAGCCCCCAGGGACTCCCAATACTCTTGTACAAGTCCCAAGCAACCTCACCAACCAAGACCTGCCCCAAGTTACCGATGAGTCCGACGATGAGAACTCAGAGCAATACAAGCGTTTCTCGCCAGCTCGCAAGATCGCGATTGTTTCTATCATCTCGTACTGCGCTTTTCTCGCCCCTATCTCTTCTACTGCAATTCTTATAGCCGTTCCTGAAGTTGGAAAGACTTTCGGAACCAATGGAGATATCATCAACGCTAGCAATGCTCTTTACCTGGCATTCATGGGTATCTCGTCTACATTCTGGGGCCCAATAAGCCAAGTTTATGGTCGTCGTCCTGTATGTTTACTCTCTTAACTCTTCACTGTAGGATACTGTCCTTCGCCCCGGAGCACCTTACTGATGTATCAACCCTCTACAGATTTTTGTGGTTAGCAGTTTGCTGTTTTGTATTTTTACCATCGCAACAACTGTATCACCTGATCTGCCATCCTATTTCGTATTTCGTGTCCTCACTGCCTTCCAAGGAACATCCTTCCTGGTTGTGGGTAGTTCTGCAGTGGGTGATGTTTTTGAGCAACGCAAGAGAGCAACCGCATTGGTGTGGGTGCTCTCAGGAAGCATGGTCGGGCCTGCCATTGGTCCATTCCTTGGAGTATGTTACTACCCATTAAGTCCACTATCCTATCTCGAGTTTGCTAACAGACCTTTACAGGGTGTTGTCGTTACTTTTCGCCAATGGAGAGTTGTCTTCTGGCTGCTGAGCGCCTTGAACGGATTCGCCGCCTTCCTGATTATTTGCTTCTTTCCTGAAACGATTCCCTACAAGTCGAGCCGCGAACTCAAGGGTCATACCCTCCCCAAGCAGACTAAAATGGTTATGCATCGCATCTCCCCCATCCGCGTGATCGTCATGCTCTTCAGGTACCCCAACATCTTCAGCGTTGGTCTCGCCGCCGGTGCTCTCGTCTGGAACCAATACGCCCTCCTCACCCCAATCCGTTACATCCTCAACCCCCGTTTTAACCTCCACAGCCCCATCCAATCCGGCCTCTTCTACCTCGTCCCCGGTGCCGGTTTCCTCGCAGGCAGTCTCGTCGGTGGTCGCTGGGTCGACTACTGCATGAAGAAATGCGTCGCCGAGCGCGGCGGCGTGCGCGTCTCCGAAGACCGCCTCAAATCCTCCCTCGTGCATATCATCCTCATCGTCCCCGGCTGCATCCTCATCTACGGCTGGACCCTCGAGAAGGAAGTCGGCGGCATCCCCGTCCCCGTTATCGCCATGTTTGTCCAGGGTGTCTCGCAGCTCTTCTGCATGCCCAGTCTCAATACCTACTGTCTCGACGTGATGCACCAGAAGGGCCGCAGCGCCGAAGTCGTTGCCGGTAACTACGTCTTCCGATACGTGTTTGCCGCTCTAGGCACTGGTGTCGCTCTGCCTGCCATCGAGGCCATCGGCGTCGGGTGGTTCAACACCCTCAGTGCTGTTTTCCTGTCTCTGACTGGCGGTCTCATCTGGCTTACTGCTATCTACGGTCCTAAGTGGCGTGAAGCCATTGATGCCAAGGATGAGCAGAAGGCTGCTAGTCAGAAAGAGGTTTCATGATTTCTGTTTCATCGCTTCTCGTCCTTTCAGAAGTCGGAAAACTTCCGCTACTCAAAAAAAAAAAAAAAAGAAAAAAGAAAAGAAAAATAAAGCATAGAGAGGGCATTCAAAAAATGGGTTCAAAAGTTACATGCTGATTTTGTTCCTGTGCATTCTGGCATATCATCCAACCGCTACCATCACTTTTTATCATCATCTTGTTTGGTTTCCGATCAATCTGTCTTTCCACTACTTGCGATCCTTCATTATTATTGTTCATTGGCGACGCTCTTTTCGCTTTTTGCCTTATTCTTCCATTCCCTCTCATTTCGGCCATATTTTTTTATTCTTACGTTCGATTTTCATTCAAGATTCCCTTCTCGTACATCCTTTTATAAATACCCCTTTGTTTTATGCGTATATAGTTTCGATTACTTGATGTCTTCTGGAGCACGGGCTACAACTACTATCATTAGCGAATTTCATTTCATTAAAAAATTTGACATGAGTCAAGTGAGCTTCTAGTCTACAGAGTAAAGAAACGGCCCCGTGACGGCGGCCCCATAGTTCTTAATTCTCCACCAAGCAAAAAGTACGGAGTACAGGGGGACCAATATCCACGGAAAAGTCGAGAACAACTCTAGTGAGATATCGTATAGAGTAAACATTCAACATCGAAACACTAGTTTTGAGCTTGGACACTGCACCAACGACCCACTGCGGCTCCCTCCTGGGTACAAATCAAATCCACCCCTCCCTAGATCTACCCGTTCGTTCGGCCTCTGAAAAAAAAAAAAAAAAAAAAAAAAAAAAAAAAAAAAAAAAAAAAACCTCTTTAGTATAATTAAGTGCTGCTGCTATTGTTTGCTGCCTGATCTGAATTATTGTGCAGAAACAAGGTCGATCTTGCGTGCTTCGGCAAACTTGCGACAGTCCTCTCGACCCCTGTCAATGTCCACGAATGCGATGATGATCATAGCGGCGGCGCAGATGCCGAATAGGAAGGGGAACCCCATCCAGTTGTTTTGTGTGTTATTGATGATCGCCTGAATCACATTGGGTCCTATAATCGAAGACTAGGTGGAGTTAGTGGTGGGACGAGGCACTTTGGGCATGTAGTCATATGTACATACTGCACGGTTGGTGATACCGAAAAGAGCAAAGAACATGTTGTCGTATCCCTCGGGCATCAGTTCGCTGATCATGGTTTGTGCATACTGTGTTTCATTTGTCAGGGGCGGAAAAACGCATCCAAGAAGAGATTGTACCAAATGGCATACCGCGTAGTAAGGTGCCTGAAATAGACCAAAGATGACATTGTAAAAATAAAATTCCCACTGTCGAATAAGTTAGCAAAAATAAAGTGCACGAGAATTCTTGGCGACCTACTATATGATGGTATCCAATGCATTCCGTCCATAGGCCTGCCATTCCCCACAACGGAATGAAGACACTAAAAAGGTTCGTACATAAAAACATGCTCTTGGTTGATATCTTGAAGTATTTTTGAATATACCAGGAGCCAAAGGTCGACACAATTGAGCAAACCGCCTGAGTTATTCCAAGGTAGGTTATCTGAAGAAATGAAAAGGATACCGAATTGTTCTGGATAATGGAAACCAGCGTCCCTGAGCAATGTAAGTATAAGCTCAATATCGTGCTTCTTTCGCAATAAAAGAGTTTATAACTGACCGGTCGTATTTAGTCCATCGGCCAGCAAGAAATATGCAACAAAGTATATAAATGTCTGTGGCAACGACCTGACTTCTCTGAGCGCAAGCCAAATCTGTTTGAAGCCGATGGTAAGATAGTTGGAGTCATTAGGAACCTCGGGTCCTGGTCGTTTTTGCTGGAATATGAACCACCATATGCCCAATATGACCCAATCTAGGCTATCGTTAAGCGTGACAGAAACACAGGGGGGGTAGTATGAGTTAATACAGACACGAATTTGTCAAGCAAAGAGCTAGGTTGTTTGAATATCTGTTGTGTTGAAGTGGGAGCAATACACCCAAATTGAGGACGAGTGTGCAAAGGTAGCCAATGTTAGAATGAGCAGTGCTGTAGTTGCTAATGACTGTCAGGTCTAGGCGGTCCATTGGAATCCGATTGTTCTGACATACCTGATATGATTCCTCTCTAACGATTCGATCGTGTCATACTCTTTTTGATCGATTTTACCCTCTCGCAAATCTTCGCGGGCTTTGCGGACATGTGGCATGTACCGAGCGAGCCTAGGGAACACGGCAGCATAAAACACCAATGTAGTACCATATGCGATATATGAAATAACATACATCGCCATCGCTGTGTGCCATTGATTCGGACTCGTGATCGCCATCATACCATACTGGGAACCCCAGCAGACGACAGTCAGTGCCAGCAATAGCCACCTACCAAACGAGCCATAGTCGGCAGCACTCCCGAGCCAGATGAATACCAACGTCATGAACGAGAAGCAAAGGCCATTGGCGATCAGGATGATGGAGGAGGTTGACCGTGCACCCCCAGCCCAAGGAACAACGCATGGAGACGATTCAGTGCACGGCTTGGTGGGATCAGTTCCTGGCTGCCAGCCAGCGTTTTTCAAGGCCCACTGGAATCTGGATCGTCGTTAGCCAAGGATGCAGATTTATGACAGCCGAGATTCAGTTGCGATCACGTACAATGCTTGGCTGTATGATCCCGGACCAACCCCATTGTCACCTATGACGCAGATCAGAGCCGATCAACGGAGATTTTTAATGTGGCTTTACCATTGTAATAGAGATAATAAGACCACAGTTCTCTTTTAGTTGTCGTTGGCTGTTCATCCAGAAAGTCGTCAATACCGAAAAGACGCTCATATTCGTCCCGGTTGGGCTGAGCGGGCTGTTGGGGCATTGTCTCTTTAACAGTCGCGGAAGTTTTGCGAAATGTATCAAGCTCTTGACCAGTCACATTATCATCTATGTTGTCTTCAGGGCTCATCATGATGATAATGCTGTTCTGTATCAGATTCTGGGTGAATTGCTTCTGTCAGTATTTACAAAGTCTGGTGTTGAGATCGCGCACCTCAGATAATCCTACCCCGCATAACTGACAGCGCGTGCGGTAATGTGCCTTTCTGGCATTTTGTGTTGCACCGAGTTCCAGTGGAGTTGTTTTAATAGCCGCAGTGCAAGGAAGGATGAAGAATGAAAGAGGAGGAAGGAAGGAAGTAAATAGTGGAGCTCCTTCCTCACATGATCGACGGGCCCCGCTGGCTATCAACATCAACTTCAGTCCCAACTTCAATTCTCGACCATACACTCTTTCTTTCATTTCTCCGCGTATTGTTCGCTCTTATAGCTATAGAGTATATATACAATTACTTAAGTCATCATCTGTTTAGCTAGCCTCCAATCGACAAGAGCGCCGCTTTGCAGGGCCCATCGGAAAACAGCTAGAATGCCGCCGACAGATCTACGGAAGCAAGCCGGACAGGTAATAACTATTTTTTTTTTTTTTTTTTTTTTTTTTGCAGGAGATTCTTCATAAAAAAAACACAAACTAATATGCTATTTAGCTCTTTGCAGTTGGGTTCCATGGTCTCGTTCCCAGTCCCGAAATCAAAACTTTGATCCGCGACTATGGCCTCGGAGGAATTGTTCTATTTAAACGGAACATCCATGATGCCGAACAACTCCAGGTACGATGGATGCAATTATAAGAGTTTCGAGGGCTTGGATCGAGTTATTGACATTCAAACTACTTTCAGTCCTTGATCCTTGCACTCCAGACCGAAGCAAAGGCCGCTGGACATGAGCATCCTCTGCTCATCGGAATTGACCAAGAGAATGGACTCGTCACCAGGATATCGCCCCCAGTCGCTGCTCAGGTGCCGGGTCCAATGGCACTGGGCGCCACCTACTCCGAAGCGCTCGCCCATGATGTCGGCAAAGCTACCGGGCAAATGCTGAACTTCTTCGGTATAAACATGAACTACGCACCAGTTTGCGACATCAATTCGGAGCCATTGAATCCAGTTATTGGAGCTCGAAGCCCCGGGGACGACTCTGAGTTCGTTGGTCGGGTTGCCAGTGCTCAAGCTAAGGGTCTTAGGGAGCAGAAAATCATCCCAAGCGTCAAGCACTTTCCCGGTCATGGTGACACGGCGGTGGATTCTCATTACGGGCTCCCTGTGATATCGAAAACCAGAGATCAGCTGGAACGATGCGAGTTGGTTCCGTTTCGTAGAGCGGTCGCTGAAGGCATCGAGACTGTAATGACAGCACACATTTCTTTGCCTGCAATTGGTGATGGAGAGTTACCAGCGACGCTCTCTGTCGATGCCTTGAACATTCTTCGTAAGGATATGAACTACGACGGCATGGTGATTACCGATTGTCTTGAAATGGACGGTATTCGGGCTACATACGGCACGGAGCAGGGCGCAGTCATGGCATTGAAGGCCGGAAGCGACAGTATTATGGTTTGCCATACTCACGCTGTGCAAATAGCTTCGATTGATCGAGTCTGGAAAGCGGTAGAATCCGGAACAATACCGATGACCCGTTTTCAGCAAGCCTTCCGTCGGGTAACTGACCTAAAAGATAGGTTCTTGAGTTGGGATACTGCTTTGCAACCAAAAGCGATCGACAGCCTCGCGTCTATCAACACAGGGACGGCTGCGTTGGCGAAAGAAGCTTACTCTCGTTCAGTAACGCTCATTCGAAGCAAAGCGGATATTCTGCCCTTGTCCGAATTATCAAGGGTCGTGTTCCTTTTCCCAGGTGCCAATACACCCACTGGAGGTGCAGTGGATGGGGAGGGGCTTGGAAGGAAAGGGTCATACGATGCTACAGTCTATCTCGACATCATCCAAAAATACAATGCCAATGCTGTTGAGATCCGCTATGGAATGGAAGGTCTATCAGCGGAGCAATGGCGTCAAGTAGAAGCTGCGGAAGTTGTGATATTTACTTCCATCAACGCACGAGAGTCTCCTTATCAAAGGACATTAGGACTGGAGCTACCAAAGCGTGTACGAGAAGTGGTTGCCATAGCAGCTTGTAATCCCTACGACTTCCTTGAAGACTCTAGCATCGAAACGTACATTGCCACATACGAACCGACCATCGAGGCCTTCTCTGCCGCAGCGGATGTGATTTTTGGAGCAGCACCTGCGAAGGGGGTCCTGCCGGTCGGGCCCAAGCAAACGACAAACACTCAAATCATGATATCGCCATTGGATCTTGCTAATGATTTGGATCAGTTGACTGTTGTGTGGAACGCAGCATTGCCGGCATACCCGTTGTCTAGCGACAGACTGCGCACTCTGTTGGATCGACCAAGTGGACACTACTTTGCTGCCCGGTCTGGATCGGTGCTTGTTGGATTCTCGCTTGCTTACACTACAGTCAATGGAGGTATCACATCGGGTCAGTTGGCAGTGCTCGCTGTGGATCCTGAATATCAAGGAAGGGGCATCGGCACAATCCTGATAACAGAAACCCGAGCATGGTTCAGGCAGAATTTGGGACTCAATCGCCTAGCCTTAGGAAGTGCCTTTCCTCGATTTTGGCCCGGAATCCCGACAGATTTGCCGTCAAAAATCCAAGAATTCTTCATCCATCGGGGATTCCGGCTCAATCCACCAACATTGCGATCTGTTGATCTGTACCAGGATATCAGTGGTTTCCAGTCTCCAGAGAAGTATCTAGTTCGGGCAAAAGAGCGGGGATACACTTTTGGTGTTCTCCTTCCAGAGCACTATGAAGAGTGTGTTGCAGCTCAGAAGCGGAACTTCAGTGATCACACGGTAAGTGCCTGTTTCTCCCGCATCACTGGCCCTTTTTGGAATGAAGAATGCTGATATGATGAACCAGGGCTGGATTGAGGCGTACATGGTACTTCAACCCAACAAATACCCGTCGAACGTGATGGTTGCATTTGACAAAGAAGGGAACCAAGTGGGTTGGACGCTGATGCTCCCACCCTCGTCTTCTCTTCTCCAGCGAGGCTGGGCATTCCCACCCCTTTGTGGTCCCAAGACTGGCTTGATCGGCTGCGTGGGAGTCGACGTGGCGCATCGAAAAGGAGGTGTTGGACTAGCTCTTATGTGTCATGCAATTGAGAACATGAAGCAGAGAGATATTGAAGGTGTTTTTGTCGACTGGGTTAGTTTGGATGGTTGGTACGAGCAGATTGGATTCGAGGTTTGGCGCAGCTATAGGCCCGGTATGATTTGAGCGACAGAGCTTTCGTTTCATACACCTGAGTTTTTTTTAAGGAAAAAAAATTGAAATTCAAAGCGCATTTCTATTTCAGTGGCCGTGGACTCGAAACGTGAATTTGTAGATACGGAGCTGGCACAGCTGGCGGCCGAACATGGCTTTGCTTTCATAGACCTAATAATGGAAGATTCGAACTTTAGTACATTGTCTATTATCATAATCGTAGTGTAGGCACAGGCTCTGTAGAAAGATCAACACTCATAAATCCCGTTTCATACATGCATTAAATGAATTTTGTCATGGTACATTGCATCCCGCAGAAAACGCAACACAGTGTAATAGTCAGAAATAAGCAGGATTTCTGCGGTGTCCGTAAGTCGCTCTCGGTAAAGCGAAGCCTCAATAACTATTACTGACCCAGTAGATATCGTCTTCCAGTGCTCTCTCCATCTCGACAAAGACTGACCAACCAAGGAGATAGCTATAAGGAGTGACCTCAACATGTTGGTAGAGAGCAAAAAGCTTTGGGAACTTCCTGCAATAGCTAGGGATAGAAATAGTCATCTATGTCCGTAAAGTCGTCGCTGGTATGATAACGGCAAACCAAATCCCAAAGCTTATATGCGTCAATGCTGCAAGGGAAAGATCCCGATTTAAGATGGATAGCATTCTAGAGAATGTTTTGAAGGCGCAATCGCAGTATCAGCTAAAGCAATACAACTCTCGCAGCTGGTGCCGTCGTTTGTGCTAACATGAACCGTGTAAGCTATGAATCCAGTTCTCTGAATGTATGTGCTTCATACCATGCGCAAGTTGTTTTCATTTTCGAAAAATTTCTCACTCATGGCACATATTAACGCGCTTCATCCTGATGGTCCCATAACCTAAAGTAAGTCCTGTAAACAATATTACAGCCACCACAGGCGTAATGCGCTGATTCATAGTGAGTCACAAGGATGCTGCATGAGGAGGAGTCAGGCTTGTTAACATAGAAAGTGCACTGCTTATGAGAAGATGGCGCGCGAAGATGAGCCTCTCAGCTTTGAAGGAAACGAACACCCGGAGACATCGTCCACACCATTCATGATGAGCCGTGTGCGTACTTAGAAGCGAAGTATCTGTTGCAGAAGAGACATTTATAGTCCTTACCATCGTAAGCGAGATATGGGCCTAATTCTGCCATCCTAAATAAGATGTTTGAGGATGGTCTATGTCTGGACTCAATAGGAACAGAACATGAAGCTGGCGTTGCATTTGGCAGTTGTGATACTAACTAGGACTAGCGTGCGGGTTCCTGAAAATCATTGTACTCACAAAAGCTGCTAAAAATCAATGTGTATAAAATGTACAGCCATAGCAACGGCAATGGAGCTGAATGGACGTGTATTGTCTGAAGAAAGTGGCATTAACTCACGAATACCAATAAGTATTCCTTAGTGGGGTGATATATATTTCTAATAGACATCACGATGATGGATCTCATACCGTGCATGACGAATAGTTGCCTGGGACTGTGAATTGGACCTGAAGAATACATTCTTTAAGGGCTTGGTGTTATGATTTTTGCAGTAGAGTTGGTTTCTAACAAACTACAGCGTTTCTAAAGACACCTTTCCGTATCCCCATCGGACTTGATCAACCGAACGCTTACCCCAGGTACCAGGTCTACCAGAAGATGACCGTTTCCGAAGAATGGTGACTTTTTATTATTATTATTATTATTATTATTATTATCTTCTTCTTCTTCTTCTTCTTCTTCTTCTTCTTCTTCTTTTTTTTTTTTTTTTTTTTTTTTTTTTTTTTTTTTTTTTTTTTCTACGAAGCCAACGGTCAAGTATAGATATCCAATCCATGTAGCTACAGGTAAAAGGCTAGAATTGATGCTATACAAACCCCCCAGTGGGAGATGCGGGGGAATATAATGACATCACTGGGGTTATCTCCGAGCTGACAAATTACGAAAGACCGACGATGGAATTTAATCTGCCAGAATCATCCATTGTCGGTTATTTAGGCGTTGGTTTTGACTTAAAAGAGACCTCCCTTCCTCCTCCTTCCTCTCTTTGTGTTCCTCCATGTTGCCCCACGTTGTGTCGAGTGCAGGATTTTGGAAGGCTGCACCTCGTCTCGCTCAACTTTCATCTACGTTCAAAGCATCCCCAAGCTATTCCTATTCCACAATGTCCTCCAACATTACTCTTTACACTTGGCCGACGCCCAATGGTGTGAAAGCCTCAATTACCCTCGAGGAATTGAATATACCCTACAAAACCGAAGGCATTAACATCAGCACCAATATCCAGAAAGAAGAGTATGAGCAAAATGTTTCTTAATTTCGATAGTGGGAGCTGATAGAATAATACTGACAATTGGGGATATAGCTGGTTCCTGAAGATCAATCCCAATGGTCGTATTCCCGCAATCCTCGATGGAAGTCAACGCGTCTTCGAAAGCGGTGCTATTATGCTCTACTTGACAGACAAGTACGACAAGGAAAGGAATATCAGTTATGCACCGGGAACATCTGAATATGTGGAGGAGCTATCTTGGCTCATGTTTCAAATGGGTGGTGTTGGCCCCATGCAGGGTATGGCCCAGTGATTCGAGTGCATTTCCTTCACCCACTGACTGTTCCCACTACTACATATAGGTCAAGCCAACCATTTCAGACTCTTCGCTGGAGCCCGATCCGACTACGGCATTAACCGCTATATAAGCGAGACGAAGCGTTTGTACGAAGTTCTTGAGTCTCGTCTGAAGGAGAGTCCCTACCTGGCGGGTTCGAAATACACTATTGCGGATATCGCCAACTATTCGTGGGTCCGAAGCGCACCGGTTGCTCTGGGGATCGACCTAGCAGAATGGCCCGCATTGAAGAAGTGGAAGGAGGAGATTGAGAAGCGGGATGCTGTTCTGAAGGGAGTTGATGTCCCCAAGAGAGATATCACGCCTGAGCAAATGGCGGAAAATTTTAAGAATTCTCGTGCTAGGATTGATGGAATGACAAACTCGGACCAGCATTGATTTGAGCTTGTTCGTGTAGATAGTCTTTGAAATATTGTATATAAAGCAACCCCGGCCTTAATCAAGAACAAAGGAGCAGTCCCTGTGAAAGCGGCATCAAATTCACTAATAAATACCAACGTTGGATGGCCTGTCATTGTATGTATGACATAATTGTTTAGGAACCATATGATAGGGACCTGTTGAACCATGGTTGTCTTGATAGTGCCAGCTGACATTCTCAACGCTTCATTCTTTCGGTCAAAGAAAATTCTTTCAAAATTCCGCGGCTGAAGTCGTGTATGCTGTGTAATTCTTGACAGCCCATATTTACCATCTCTGCATCGAGTGTATTCAATTCACAATCCCGACAGCGCCGTGGAACGAGGGGTGAAGATTAAGGTGTGTCACGTGGGGCATTCCCGGGCCCTGGAGTTGACTGACCACCCAAACAGGAGAACAGTTTTCCCTCTCGATGCGCGCTTTGCATCGCTTGTTTGTCGTTCTTGTCCACGTTCCAGTCGTCGTCGAGGAGTTGAATCAGTGTCTGATGGGTATTACTTGCATCACTCTTATCAACTGATGCCGTTGATACCCAATACTCTTTAACCTCGCCTCGTTCCTCTTGTGTTAACCGCCGCTTGGTAAGTGGATCCCCCCTCCCCCTCCAAAGAACCGAATTCCCCTTCTATCCGGCGAAATTCCTCATGCTTCTGGAATGACACTAATCAAACAAATAGATAGCCAGGTCCCCTTTTCCCCTTGTATATCGCAGATCTCGTTTTTTCGGCTGTTCGAGGTGCAGCAGCGAGCTGCAATTCGACTCCCCCCGTACAGCACAAGACTGCTATCCTGACCGCCTCCACAACCCACCACCTACATTTCACACGCGCGCTCAGTTTACCTCGTCCCCCAACCTTCCTCCCCCCCTTTCTTCAAGGTTTCATATACATTCTCTGGGTGCCGGAGCTGAAGGAGTACGAGTAATTACCTGTCAAATCCTCCCGTCATGCCATGCTTCAAAGGTCTCGCCGTCAGCATACACACGCCGGATGGTCCCATCCCGGAGTATTCCATCCAACGACAATCGCGAGCGTCCCGTATAGCCGGTTTTATTCCGGTGCCACCGCCCAAGTTTCCTGATTCCGCTACTGGAAAACCCGAGCAATCTACCTTTGCGGTCTCAATCACCCTCCTCAGCTCCGGACAGGATGTTCCATATTCCACACCGAAACCAACGCCGGAGAACCCCTCGCCCAAGGCAAAGGTGGTCGGAGGTCTCCCGGGCCAGACGGGCGAGCGAGGACAGTACAGCAACATGGTTGCCCCCTACCAGCCCCTGACAAACTCACCGAACGAAACGATTGCGGCGTACATCTATTTTGACGGTCGACAAAAGGAAGAAGTAGCCACTCTGCTCCGCAGAGGAGAGGAGACCTGGGTCAATTCTCGTTGGGTCAGCGTACCCGATTCCGAGGGAGGTGGCCTTGCAGAGCGGGAGTTTTTATTCCGGGAAGTTGGTTTGGAGAGGTGGCTCAATGGCTTGGACCTGGAGGGAAAGGATGCTGCCGCCAAAATAGAACGCCGAAGACAGAAGATCGAAAAGCGTCGTCAGAATCGAAACTCGACCGATGGTAATGGCGACATGCAAACGAAAGCCGACAAAGGAATCATGCGATATGGCAATGATGCGCTGGAGGATGTGTCGGACGATGAAGTGTCTTCCGATTCCGACGACGATCCTATTCCCGAGTCTGCCGGACAGATTAAGGTGGCACTTTACCGTGTCCTGGCCTCCGGGGAAATCAAACGGGGCGAATACTCTCCGCAATTCGACGCACATGACGACGACGATGAGGCCGCGGGGAATGGTGGGGACGCAGGCGCTGACATTGACCATACTACGAGTTTCGCGAAACCAAAGTCATTGGATCCGAAGTCCATCAGCACCCAGACGGTGACGGGTATTGACCCGACAGACAAGCCTTATGCGACTTTTACTTTCATGTACAGAGGATCACGTGAGTTTTACTGTCATGCTTCTATTTTTTTTTGGCCTTGTCCATTGTTTCGCAGCCGGAAAAACCGCATAAGCTATGTTTACTGATTGACCTCCAGGGCAATTGCAAAAAATGGGCATCTTGAAAGACCCCAAGGCACAAGAAACCCCAGGTTCTACCAAGAGGAGGTCACTCCAGCCTGATTTCTCCAACCTTGGACCGCTCAAGCCGGGTGGTACTGTGGGATTTCTCAATTTCCGGGACAGCAAGCAGGAGAAGCGGAAGAACAAAAAGAACAACAAAGCCGAAAAGGACGTTGATGATATGGACAGCGATGATGATGATGATGATTCGATCCTCGGGAAAGCCGATGACGAAGAGGCCAAAGAGGATACCCATCATCTCTCTCCGGACGATTCCAGATTCGGAGGTGAGCTTGCAGAGGGTGTTCGCAAAATTAAGGTGAGGATCTACAACCCGTACGCTTCTTACTTTTCCTGTTACTGATGAAAACTTTAGCTTAAACGCCAACACTCTGCCGCTTCTTTGTCTGGCAGTACCAAGGCCGATGCTGCGAACACTTCCGCTTCTGGCGAGGCCAAGCAGCCCTCATCAAGTTTGTCTACGAGTCCTCCAACCGCATCTGCGACAGCTACTTCGGCATCAGACCTATTCAAGCCGGCTATGAATGCGGCAAACGGCGAAACTGCTGGAAGCCCTCTGAAAAAGCAACGAGCCAGCGTATCGGGAGCTGATGAAAATGCCATCAGAAAGCGGATCGGGTCGGGCTTGTCCACAAACATCACCGATGCTCTAGGTAATTCCGGTGCGGCCACCACAGGGCTCGATACCACTTCGACACCTTTCGGAGAGTCTCTCAGAACTCCAGAGCCTGGGCCGCAGCAGGTTACTTCTCAGCCACAGGATGAAGAGGAGCTATAACTCCACCATGCCTGTTGAATCCCTCGGTGATTAACTGAGACGAGTGCGATGATGAGGTGCTTTTTGGATATTATGTACGAATTTCCTGCCTATTTTCAACTTTTTTTTTTTTTTTTCATGACTGATGGACTGGCGTAACCCCGGCGCTTAAAGCCCGGTGATTGGCTTCTTTTGCTTTTTTTTTTTTTTTTTTTTTTTTTTTTTTCACATTCGATTCTTCGAATTCCTATTCTTTTCTGAGCTGTATGCTGGAGCTGGTCCTGCATGTCGCTTGCCATGTCCGTGATGACCGCACTTTGAAATTTGGAAGTGATACCATCGCATAATTGTTGGGGGCGGGGGAAGTTTCCATAACTAGCAGGCTTTTTAACGGGATGGGGTATAATCTCTTGGGCATGTTCGATGATGTACTAGGGTTTATCGTACATGACTCTTTTGCTTTTCCTTTTTTGCTTTCTTTTTTTCGTCCTTTCTCCCTAGAGCTCGGGAAAGGTATAGATGACGACGGAAACGATGAAATGAACCAGGATTCTACTTCAATACAAAAGATCACTTTATACTACTCAAGTCAGTAGACGATAGAGCAAGTCGGAGCTGCCGCATCTATGATTTCTCCGCAGCGATGATTGTTAGACCTCATACATTCACTTAGTACTTCTACTCAAGGTAAAACAAACTGTGTCGATGTGAAGTCGAATTTAATTCAAGTTTTCTGTCCTTTCAACTGTTTTGAGAGCGCCTTCAGAGGGAATGCTACGTCGGTTCTACCGCATCACGTCCTCGCCTCGGTTCGCGCACCTTGACCTTCTCCGCCAGGTTTGTGATTCTCAATTCTTTCAACACTCTTCATACCCAGCTCACTGAGTTGCGCAACTGGCTGTTCGGAACCCATATTTCTGTCGAACAATTGCCAGTATGCCGCTCGCACGCTCTACAGATCCCTTGGTGTGGATCGACTGCGAGGTTGGAATAAAGCTGCACCCTTCCCATGTCCCTCGATCGATACACATCGCTAATTATACTACGCGTTTCATACACTACAGATGACTGGCCTTAACTCTGACACCGACAGCATCCTCCAAATTTGCTGCTTCATCACAGACCATCAACTTCGCATCCTCGAACCCATTGGTTTCGAAGCTGTTATCCACCACCCCAAGTCCATCCTCGACAACATGTCTCAATGGTGCGTCGACACCCATGGCCGCACCGGCCTGACCGCTGCCGTACTTGCATCAACGACAACCGCCGATGTGGCCGCCGCCGACCTCCTCGCATACATACAGAAATTTGTCCCCGAGCCACGAACGGCGGTGCTGGCGGGCAACAGCGTTCATGCAGATAAGGCGTTTCTGACACAAGGCCCGTATGCGTCCGTGCTAGAATGGTTGCACTATCGGATTCTGGACGTGAGTGCGATCAAGGAGGCTGCTAGGCGGTGGGGAAGCGAGGGGTTGTTGCAGGCGGTGCCTCCTAAGAGGGAGATGCATTTGGCCAAGGATGATATACTGGAGAGTATTGAGGAGATGAGATTCTACAGAGAGCGGTTATTTGGGGTGTGATTCTGCTGCTTCTATGCCTGCCGAGCAGTACCCTTTCGCAGGATGTTGAGCAATCTCCCCAACAGTTTTTGTGTTGCTCTGCTGTCTCAGTTTATGTGCAATATCGGAAACCTTATCCACCGGGCTATTTACAGACTATTTTGGTCCAGCCAGAACTCCCGCCCAAGCTTTTGGCTATCACGACGGGAACTCAATACAATCGCATTGGGCGTTCTGCAACAGGTACATGGAAGTGGCAATACTGAGCCTATGCGATCTTGTATAGGAATGGCTTCGATGTGTTGTCATGGCAGTCGCATTGATGATCGCGGGGCCTCTGGAGCGAAAATACTACTAGCATTCGATGCCGGATTGCAGCGTCTGCTTGGCTACACATTCGATGATAATAGGCGGGTGTAATTTCATATGTTTTATAGCACAGTAACAAGTCGTATTAAACCGGGTAGCTCAACGACGGCCGTGGTCATATATAGCCGTCAAATAATTATGACGCGCTTGCCCCTCCTTCCCCTTCCATCCCCACCGCCTAATCGACAGCGTAGTTGTCTTCTTCTCTTCTCCCATTTTTCTTCTCTTCCTTTCTTTCTGTCTTGTTTTCTCTTCCTCTCTGTTCTCTTTGTTTGACATCAATTGTCGGTGACCATCAGTGCCGACATTTCGTTTCCTCTCCTCCTCCGTACCATCTCCACAAGTGTCAACAAAGCCATTATGTCGGTCCAGACCGTTTCCATCCAGCCCTTCCAGGACCAGAAGCCGGGAACGTAAGTCTGCAGCGTTCCGAATACATACGTCCTTATTTTCAACGCATCTAACCTGTGATTCCATTTACAGCTCTGGTCTTCGTAAGAAGGTCAAAGTCTTCCAACAGGCTAACTACTCCGAAGCCTTCGTGGCTAGCATCATCTTGTCGATCCCCGAAGGTGCTCAGGATGCCACCCTCGTCATCGCCGGTGATGGCCGTTATTATAACCCCGAGGTCATTCAGAAGATCGCGAAGATTAGTGCCGCTTACGGTGTCAAGAAGCTGCTCGTGGGCCAGAACGGCATTCTCAGTACTCCGGCTGCCAGTAACTTGATCCGTGTCCGGAAGGCCACTGGTGGTATTCTGTTGACTGCCAGTCACAACCCTGGTGGTGAGTTGCTGAGAGCTACAGCTAGAAAGCTTGGAGAAACCAGTCACTGATAGCTCTCGTTCCTAGGTCCCGATAACGACTTCGGTATCAAGTACAACCTTGCCAACGGCGCACCCGCACCCGAGACCATCACCAACAAGATCTACGAGACCTCCAAGTCCTTGAATTCCTACAACATTACCGACATTCCTGACATTGATATCTCTGCTATCGGCACCAAGACCTATGGCCCTCTGGAGGTTGAGATTGTCCACTCGACCGCCGACTACGTGACTATGCTGAAGGAGATTTTCGACTTCGACCTGATTAAGGAATTCTTGAGCAGCCACAAGGACTTCAAGATTCTCTTTGACGGTATGCACGGTGTGACCGGCCCCTACGGTACCGACATCTTCGTCAAGGAGCTCGGACTTCCGAGCAGCAGCACCATGAACTGCGTGCCGAAGTCGGACTTTGGCGGTGGTCACCCTGACCCCAACCTGGTTTACGCTCACGAACTTGTGGAGGCTGTCGACAAGAACGGCGTCCACTTTGGTGCTGCCAGTGACGGTGATGGCGATCGTAACATGATCTACGGTGCCAACACTTTCGTCTCGCCCGGTGACAGCTTGGCTATCATTGCCCATCACGCAAAGCTCATTCCCTGGTTCCAGAAGCAGGGCGTCTACGGTCTTGCACGCTCCATGCCCACCTCGGGTGCCGTTGACCGGGTCGCCAAGGCCCAAGGTCTTCAGAGTTACGAGGTCCCCACCGGCTGGAAGTTCTTCTGCAACCTGTTCGACAACAAGAAGATGTCCATCTGCGGTGAGGAAAGTTTCGGTACCGGCAGCAACCACATCCGTGAGAAGGACGGTGTGTGGGCTATCGTGGCCTGGTTGAACATCATCGCTGGCGTTGCCAAGAGCAACCCTGGCCAGACTCCCAGCATTGCCTCGATCCAGAACGAGTTCTGGCAGACCTATGGCCGTACCTATTTTACCCGGTACGATTACGAGGGTGTCGACAGTGAGGGGGCCAACAAGGTCATTGCAACTCTTTCGGACTTTGCCGGCCAGGATTCGTTCGTAGGCTCCACTGTCTCTGGCCGCAAGGTTACTGATGCCGGTAACTTTGCCTACACTGATCTAGACGGCAGCGTGAGCAAAAACCAGGGTCTGTATGTCAAGTTCGACGACGGCAGCCGCATCGTCACTCGCCTGTCGGGTACTGGCAGCAGCGGAGCCACCATCCGTCTGTACATTGAGAAGTACGAAGAGGACCGGAGCAAGGTGGCAACTCCCACCCAAGAGTACCTCAAGGACAACGTGGCTCTAGCCATGGGTCTCCTCAAGTTCAAGGAGTACATTGGCCGCGAAGAGCCTGATGTCAAGACCTAAATGGTTAGCTGATGCGTGTCGATTGATCGTTACGAGGTTACGTGAGAGATTTCAGCCTGTCGTTTCATAAGCATTCAACTTTGTCACAAGCACACTATAATCTGTAGAAATGTTAAATATTAATAGAGTTGAAAGCTCTTCTGCCACTTTTGTACAATTTGTATTACATGGTTTCGCTCCATGTCCGACAGGCTCTTCAGATCAGTTGATTCGAAGTAGAAACATCCAGGTTGACAGATACCTTTCCATTTCTGTACCACCTTGAAGCTCCATCTTGTGTTTTGGCTCAACCAATCACAAGAGGGGCATTCTTCATCTTCCCCAGGTTGCACTGACCGGACACAAGCTCTCCGAAGATAAATACCGTCTCTGGCATCTTCTCTGAGAATTTTCCAGTTCCTTGATACTCCTGTTCTGCATTTTTCAAGCCATTTTCTCCCATCGTTAACCGACAGCGCCTTATCTTATCCCCCGCATTCCAGCAATGAAAGAACCACAGCCCCCCATAGGCCACCACTCCCTACCAACAAGCACAATACCAACAACACTAAGACCCATCCGATTTATCGTCTTCGGGGCTGGCTCACGCGGGACTGCCTACGGCCAGGCCGTCACAACCGCAACAACCGGCCACATCCACGCTGTCGCAGAACCACACCCTTTCAAACGACGGGAATTCGGCCGCAACTTTATCTGGGGTGATGGAAAACCAAAAGATGGACAGGAATTTGAGGACTGGAGGCATTGGGTGAAGTGGGAGGTGAAGAGGCGCAACAGCGGCAGCGATAGTGCCACGGCTGAAGGAATAGATGGAGTCTTTATCTGCACGCTAGATGACCAGCATATTGAGATCCTCCATGCTATTTCGCAATTCAAGGATCTGCATATACTTTGCGAGAAGCCGCTAGCGCTGTCACTTCAGGATTGTCTCTCTGCCTACCGCTCGCTCAAACCTATTACAGACGGTGGTGACAGGAGCACTATTTTCTCAATCGGTCATGTTTTACGTTACAGTCCGCATAACATTCTCCTCCGCCAACTGCTTCTCATCGACCGGGTGATTGGGGATATAGTCTCACTCGAACACTGCGAACCTGTTGGGTGGTGGCATTTCTCGCATAGTTATGTCCGCGGGAATTGGCGACGAGAAACTGCCAATGGGGACGGGTCGTTGTTGACCAAGTCGTGTCATGATATTGATTTTATTCTTTGGTTGCTTTGCTCGCCGCCTGGTACGCCTAATTCTGCGTCGAAATTGGCATATCACCATCCCCGGACAATTACTTCCACTGGTTCATTAACGCAGTTCAATCCCCGTCGTAAACCAGCCAAAGCTGGCACTGCGACGAATTGTCTCTCGTGCCCGGCAGAGCGAGAATGTAATTACAGCGCCCTTAAAATCTACCGTGACATGCATCTCTCCCGCAGCGATATCGATTGGCCGGTGAACATCGTCTGTCCAGACATTGAAGATACCTATTGTACCTCCGGGTCAGATGCAGCAGATAAAGCTCTCCTATCTCGATTAGGACAAGACTACAACAAAAATACAGACAGCGATGGCCAAATCGCCTCGAAAACATGGTACGGCCGCTGCGTCTATGAATCCGATAACAACGTCTGCGACGACCAAGTCGTCACCATCACCTGGGGTGACGAACCCTCCTCGCCATCCACCGGCCCAATGAACACCAAAACAGCACTCTTCCACATGATTGCCCCCACCGAAAAACAATGCCAACGCCGCGGCCGCGTCTACGGCACCCATGGCGAAATCTCTTACGACAGCCGCACAATCACCATCTACGACTTTGCAACCCAGTCCGAGTCCGTAATCGAAGTTCCCCGTCAACCACCAGAGGAGGAGAAAGCGCATGGGGGCGGGGACTATGGCCTTGCCAGGAGTTTTGTGCAGGCTGTTGATGCGGTTGTTCATCAGGGATGGGATGTTGGGGAAGCGCAGGTGAGATTTGTTGGGTGTACGCTTGAAGAGGTGGTTAGAAGTCATGCGGTTGTTTTTGCGGCTGAGGAGGCGAGGAGGGAGGAGAGGGTTGTTAGGTGGAAGGAGTGGTGGGGGGAGAAGTTTGCTTCGACGGAGTAGCTTTTTGATATCTAAGGGATAACGAAAAATTTAATGATGTGATGATTTGAAAAGAATATCTTCTACTAATAATGTTGCTACGATACAATGCACTAGTCATAATCATGTCCAACACTGACGGATAGCAAAACCCTAAATAGATGGCAATATGCCTCACATACAAGCCCGGAAGTAGATATTCGAACCAAGACAAGTGATTTTGACATGTGGCTGGTACGATATGCCAAGAACCTACAAATAAAAGAAAGAACATATTGCTCGCATGTACTTACGGAAATCCAATGCCGGCTAACAACCGGTAAGCCGGAGAACCTCCGATCTGGATCGGTATATGGCAGTTCAAGATGGGTATATAAGTAGTGTCAGCTATCTGCCACTACAACTTTCTCATCTTTCTACAAACATCTCTTTCGAGCCATATCCATCCGGGTGCATACAAACAGAACATCATGTCTCCCACACCCCTCCAGCCAGGTGCCTACGCACCAACCCCAACTTTCTTCCACCCCGACACCGAAGACCTCGACATCCCAACCATCCGCCGCCATTCCGTCCGCCTCGCCAAAGCCGGCCTCGCCGGCATAGTAGTCCAAGGCTCCAACGGTGAAGCCGTGCACCTCACCCGCGCAGAGCGCAAAACCGTCATCCACGAAACTCGCTCCGCGCTCATTGACTCCGGCTTCCAAAACGTCCCCGTCATCGCAGGAGCCACTGAACAAAGCGTCCGTGGTACTATCGAGCTCTGCAAAGAGTCGGCAGAAGCTGGTGCTCAGTATGTCCTGATCCTCCCGCCTAGTTACTACAAGGCTGCTACGGGGGGTGACCAGGCGCTATATGAGTTTTTCACGGCTGTTGCGGATGGCTCGCCGGTGCCGGTTATTCTATATAACTATCCCGGTGCTGTTGCGGGGGTTGATATGGATTCGGATCTTATTATTCGGATCTCGCAGCATCCTAATGTTGTTGGGACGAAGTTTACTTGTGCGAATACGGGAAAATTAACCCGTGTTTCGCACGCTCTTGATGCGATTACTGCTCCTTCCCCGCTTGTCGCGAATAGACAACGCCTTTCTGCTAAAACTGCTGAGAACCATCGCTACGTCACCTTCGGCGGAATGGCGGATTTCACCCTCCAGACTCTTGTCTCTGGTGGTTCTGCTACTCTAGCTGGAGGCGCGAACGTGATCCCTCGACTATGTGTGCATGTGTTCGATCTCTGGAGTCAGGGTCGGATTTCTGAGGCTGTTGAGGCACAAGGGTTATTGAGTCAGGCGGAGTGGGTGCTGACCAAGACTGCTATTCCGGGGACGAAAAGTGCATTGCAGAGTTATTATGGGTATGGGGGGCTTGCGCGGAGGCCGTTGGGACGGCTGAGTAAGGAGCAGGCTAAGGCTGTGGAGGATGGGATTAGGGAGGCTATGGAGGTGGAGAAGAGCTTGCCGGATGTTGCATAGACTCTTTTTGTTCTTATATTGAATTCTATTTTATGCTCCAAGCAACCCTACAAACTGCAAGTACTGCCTTTCCTCAGCAGCCTGAACCGCTGTCACACCCTTATCATCCTTGATGTCTGCAACCCCATACTCCAGAAGGAGCCTCACCATATCAACATCACCACTCCTCGCCGCCAAATGCAAAACCAGTCCACTTCTTTGATTCTCCTCTCCAGCTTTCTCCGGCCTGACCCCCCGCCCCAACAAATACCTCGCCAATCCCCCAAACCCACGCCCAATAACCCCTAGTAGCAAATCCTTTCCCCTCGAATCAAACCCCCAACGCAGCAACTGCATCCAAAGTCCCTCGACATAAAATAACAGCCGCCGGGAAAATCGGCGCAAGCCTTCCATGATGCAGATACGGATCCGCCAAACAAAAATGACAAACTCGTACGACTGTCGACTCTGCACAGCAAGAACCATCGGTGTGCCTTTTCCATCGTCGAAGCTTCCTAAGTAGGCGTGCGGATCTTGTGAAACGAGTGTGGAGGATATGGAGATTGAGCCTTGGTAGCAGAGGGAGCGGATTAGTTCCTGGGAGAGAGGGTTGAGGGGAAGTGGGCGTTGGGGTAGATTGCTTTGGTGAGCATTTCTTGGATGAGGTCTGGGGTGATGAGGTGGTGATTGATGCCAGTTGAGGCGGCTTGGAGTTGATCATCTTTGGTTTAGGTCATGGTGAATATGGGAAGTTATGAGAATGCTTGTAAATGGGGATGTTGGCAAGACTAGAAGATGGATACCTTTGAGTGCTGTCTGAAGGTGGCTGTGTTACTTTGTGTTAGTTCGCTTAGTTTGGTAAGGCTGGGACTGATTTGTTGTCAATCCAAAGAGGGAGGATTAAACATGAACACCTCCCTAGTCCACACCGGAATATATATCTCCAACACATCTGCAAAAATGACCACTTTTCCAAATATGAAAGAATAATCATTTCCAGTAATTGATTGATAATAGCTAAAATGACACATGTACCTTCTGAAAGACTAGCATGTACTTGTATTCGTCGATGTATGTCCTCATAGATCGGGATGTATCCCCACGGGGTAATCGGAAGCGGTGGAGATGCTGCAAAACATTCGTCGACCGATAAGACCAGCCGGGATTATGCAGTGAGACTGCAGATTAGTATTTGCTATAGACTAGAATCTGCTATCCCGTCAATTGCTACTGACATATTCACTGCTCTGCTACCCTCCGATCCGTTCATGTCTCTCCGAAAAGGCCCCTCGTATTCGGAGCCTCGAGAAAGGAGAAAGTTCTCCAGCAACCATACCCAACAGTCCCATGGATCCTATGAAGCCTGAATTCCCCGTCTTTATTCACAGTTGTTTTAGACTTTTCCTGACCCGGAAAGTGTTTGTCCAGGGGCGCAAAGAGATCTGGTTCCGAATTGGCAAATTAGCTTTTTGCCTCTTAGAATTATTATGATCATTGCTTCGCCCCCTGGACAGAGCACTTGAGCACTTGAGCACTTGTATATATATCTCTTGCAAATTCTCTAACAAATACAACCAAGGAAAAGCGAGGTGAGAGAGAATCGAGAGTGTATCACTACTATTGGTCATTTCCGATGGTCCACCGCCCGCGATCTATCAGATTTAGGACTCTTCTGTCGCTCTCCTTAACCACTACTACAAGTTGCTCTGACAGCCGTTGTTTAGCGTTGTTCTTTTGCTTTGTTAGCATTACTTGATCTTGTTTAATATTCTTTTCCATATTTTGTACCGTCGCTTCTTGTTTTTCAACTGCTTGGTCTGCATTCTATCTATCGCATTCCGTCCTTTGCCTCCTATCCAGCCACCGGCCCTCAGCTCAGCTCCTTTGACGATAGCTCCTATTTCTCCCTTTCCAGAGCCAGAACGTGCCAGCTAGACCAAACGAGGGAAGAAAAAAAGTGACGAACAAGCCGTCTCATTGTTATTTATTCTCCGATCTCCGTCAGCTCGCCTCCGACCTCGCCCCCGGTACCTCTCGATCGCTTGCATTCTGTCCATAAGTAACCGATCTATTCACCTTTGCATATCTTTTCATTGCTTTCATTCTTATCGCATCACGACGCCATGACTACCCGAGACGCTGCTACAATTGCTCCTTCCCGACGACGACCCTCCGTCTCGTTCAGAACCCGACCCCGGACGGCCACGACTTCCGGTGCCCTGCCACCGGGCTTGGAACATCAGGAATGGGACGGGCTGGCTTTTGCGGAGGAGTGCCATGAACAGGAGGAGGACCAGGTGCCGGATGATACAAGTCAATCTGCAGAGGCAGTTCCACGTCGGCGGCCCTCGAGAAGCTTTTCCAATCTGCGCCATCCCGTGGATGGATTGCGCGCCCTGGGCCGCCGCCTGTCTGTCACCATCCGCAACAAGTCGTCCAAACAAACACTACAATCGCAACTTGACGACACGCATATCGACAACGGCGGTCGGTCGTATCATTTCTCGAGTGGTAGCTGGGATGCGCGGTCGAGGAATCCGTCTTTCAAATACAGCATCAATCGTCGACCATCGCTCAACAGTGTCTCTGCTTTGCATAGTTTCTACGCCCCGACCGCATCTGTCCCTGCCCCAATTCCCGGTCATGGACTCGAACCACCGATTCTACCCAATGACATGGGCGCAGGTTCGGCCGCCCGCGCGGCGGCGGCTGCTCAGAATGAAATGGCAAGAGTGGAGCGCGATGCTGTCAAATCGCGGGATGCAAAAATCACACTGGACTCGGAGAGTGGCATTGGAATCGATTTGCGCGATCGCACAGATGGTTCCGAGACGGAATTGGCGGTCGTACGTCTCGACCCCGTGCGACATCTGCCCTCGGAGATCACGTCGCAAGTCCTGTCGTATCTTGACCCGAAGTCGCTCATGCAGGCGGAATTAGTTTCCCATGCTTGGAATGAACAGGCCGTCTCACGACACGTTTGGAGACATGTTTTCCGTCGCGCTTACAGACACCGTCGACCCAGTGCCACTTCGTCTAAGAAGAAACAATCGGCTGGTCTTGGAAAGACCTTGCCAAACCAGGATTGGAAGAGAATGTTCCTTGTCCGGCGTGCATTAGAACATCGATGGAAGGAGGGCAAGGCAGCTGCGATTTATTTACATGGGCACAAGGACAGCGTCTATTGTGCGCAATTTGACGAGTACGTTTTTCTGCATCTTTCTTCTGTTTTCACATTCCCACCCCACACCTTCCCTCCCCTGCACCTCTTGCAGTTGCATGCAGTGATCGTCTGACCCCATGCAGGAACAAAATTATCACTGGTTCCCGCGACCGTACTATTCGCGTGTGGGATGCTCACTATCCTTGGCCGTGTTTGAAAATTATAGGCCCTCCGCCAGGGGACGTTCCTGGTATTGGCCCCGTGAACAACCCTATCCAACAGTCAGCGGGCAAGTCTCCGTTTCTCACTATATGTCCACCGTCAACCGCCTCTGCTGGAATCGTAACCCCCATGGAGCAACCGTCGGATTACCATAGCGCTTCCATCCTGTGTCTTCAGTTCGACAATGAGATCATGGTAACTGGGTCGTCCGATTATTCATGCATTGTATGGGACATAAAGAATGATTATAAGCCGATCCGTCGCCTAGAGGGCCATCGGGCTGGCGTGTTGGATGTCTGCTTTGACGACCGTTATATCGTTTCTTGTTCCAAGGATACCACGATCTGCGTCTGGGATCGACACACCGGAGCACTTGTGAAGAAACTACTGGGCCACCGTGGACCGGTGAATGCGGTCCAATTACGCGGAGACCTTGTCGTATCTGCCAGCGGTGACGGGGTTGCCAAATTATGGAACATTACCTCTGGTCTTTGCGTAAAAGAGTTCCCAAGCAAGGATCGAGGCCTGGCATGCGTTGAATTCAGCGATGATGCTCGAACTATCCTCACTGGTGGGAATGACCAGGTGATCTACCAATTCGACGCCAACTCTGGTGAGATGGTCAACGAGCTCAAGGGCCATGTTGGCTTGGTCCGCTCTTTGCATCTGGACAGTCTGAACCAGCGTATCGTGAGTGGAAGCTACGACATGAGCGTCAAGGTTTTTGATGTCCAGTCCGGTGAGTTGTCGATTGACTTGCCAGGCTGGACGACTAGCTGGATGCTCAGCGTGAAATCAGATTATCGTCGTGTTGTTGCCACCAGTCAGGATTCCCGGGCCGTTATCATGGACTTTGGGTATGGATTGGATGGTATTGACTTGCTCGAGGGGTGATCTGAATTCTGCGTGCCACGTGCATTTCTTTATTATTCTCTTTTCGATTTGCCTTCATTTACATTTATTGCTTGCTGGAGTCATGCTTTAGGGGGTTTTGGTTTATATCTTGTTTTTAGAGCGACGATACATTCTGGGTATATAGGGCGAGCGATTGATAGATTTGTGTAAATTAATTGCTTATTCTTGTTGAATTTACTGGTTAGACTCTGTACAGTATAGTATCTAGAAGCAACTGATAGAGACTGTTGTCGTTATGCCGATCTATCGATTTCTACCCGACTTTGCATAAATACCTCAGGCCACAAGGCATCAGCCAGGCTGGCAGACAAGAGGCACCGAGTCCTCTGATTGGCTGGGTCGGACTTAGCGCCTGGGCGACCCGTGGGTTTTGGCGACGCAGCAAAACAATCCTCAACTGCGATCTTTCCTCCCTGTCGCAAAACCGTCAACAAATCCTTAAGGGTTTCACTGACCGCTGCCGATTCTTTTCATTTCATCCCGCTTTATCCGCATACTCTTCTCTCTCATCCGCGAACTCTTGTATCCGTGAAGATTGGATTAGACACCGCTTCTACCCCACCACCACCACAAACACCACCGACAAGATGGGTGAATCCAGGTGAGATTTGACCCAGGAAAATATGGAGATAATTCTCTTGTGCTTCTTTACTGATTTTGAGGTCATCCAACTGCAGACAAGAACTGCTTGCATGGATCAACAACCTGCTGCAGCTGAACATTACCAAGATCGAGCAATGCGGAACTGGGTACGGATAAAAAAGCGCCCTTCCCCCCCTTTTTGCACATATGCGTTTGTCCTAGATGGCGAAGCACTTTTGGAATTTACATTTGAGAATGGCTGCGAGGCGATATGTGGTGAGAATATTTTCTGGGGGTGACAAAAGAACTGACTTAGTGGCTTTCAACAGTGCCGCGCTATGCCAGATCTTTGACTCAATATTCAGTGAGTGGATCTGGGTGTTGTCTCATGCTTCAACGGCTTACTGACGGGTTGGCATCTTATAGTGGACGTTCCCATGTCGCGTGTCAAGTTCAATGTCAACTCTGAATACGCCTATCTGCAGAACTTCAAGATTCTTCAAAGTACGTTGTCATCTGATTTGTCGCTTTGTTTTGTTTGAAAAACATGAAGCTAAACTGCGCGACTTTAGATGTTTTCGGAAAGCACCAAGTCGACAAGCCGATTCCCGTCCAGCAACTCTCGAAATGCCGTATGCAAGACAACCTCGAGTTCCTTCAGTGGACAAAGAGATACTGGGACCAGCACTACCCTGGTGGTGACTATGATGCTGTGGCTCGTCGCAAGGCTTCTGGTGCTCCCCCTGCCTCCGCCGGCTCTCGTTCTGGTGCGACTTCGCAAAGCTCTGCCCGTCGGGGTGTGACTCCTACTGCTGCTGCTCGCCCGCGCGTTGCTGCTGCTGGAGCCAGCAGTGCAGCCACTGCTGCTTTGCAACAGGAGGTTGCGACCCAGAAAGAAGCAATTGGGGGTTTGGAGAAGGAGAGAGACTTTTACTTTGCTAAGCTCCGTGACATTGAACTGTTGTTGCAGAGCGCTATCGAGGCCGATCCGGACTTGGAGAAGGACGATGACTCCCTGGTCAAGCACATCCAGGGCATCCTCTACTCGACAGAGGTATGAAGCGATAACCCAGTACTACTCAACACCAGGACTCCGAAAAAGACACTGACCGGTTAACGCAGGAGGGATTTGAGATTCCCGCCGAAGATGAAGTGCCCGCTGATGAATTGGAGACCTTTTAAGTTATGAGTGACAGCGAGACATGTGTGTCCCTTTTATTTTAATACCCCTCCTCCTGCGAGATGCACCGATTTTGTATTGCTTCTACAAACCCACAGCCTCCCTGTTTTGTTTTGGTAGGGGTAAAACCGAGGGGGGATCAATCTGGCGAGGCGTACGCTCGTGCTGATATTACTACATATGCATCGGGAATTGTTTTGTGTACAGATTTGAAAGACTGGGAGGTTGATATTGCTGTGAATGAATGGTTTTGGCTTATGGTGTTGTATTCTCCAACTTGAGATGTGAATTCAGGAATTTTCCACAGGGCTTCCATTCTTCCAATCTTCCATTCTTTTTCTCGGCCCACGCGACCCGATTGTGACGGGCTATAAATAGCATTAATATATTTGTAGATTGCAGACCCAGCGGCCTGATATGCGAGGATTTAAACGAGCATATCTCTTTGCGACAGACTAAATTGCTCTTAAGAGTTTTGTTGTTATCAGGGGAAAGGAGAAGACCTGAACAACAAACCACCAACGCGACAACTTCTGGCCATGGAACTGACTTGATCTCCCCTGAATCTGACAGAGACTTCTTTCCTTTTCCTTGATGTTTTCAATAGTTCTGGCTGGTCCCTTGCTCGTTGCAATTGTACCGGACAAAGCACTGTCACAGCCTGTATGTTGTAATATTGCGGTAATCAATACCGTGCCATTAATTAAACTGCAGCCACTCGCATCTCGCATTCAAACCCACCATAGCGGAACTAATGTATGGAGCTAGTCACGATAGGGACTAGTGTTGCCGACTTGACGCACTGACGACCGGGTCTGATATTGGCCAGACCCTTTTTATTCCTTTTTCTTTCTTGCACTTTACGGTATTGTATTGTATGTCTTTGTATGGTATGTATGGAGTATAGAAACTGAATGTGAAATTAGACTGCATATGTGCATATACAAGCAAATATCCTTTCAGTGGTAGCCAATCCTCAAAGAAAGACTGAACCATGGACCTGACTTGGCTTATTATTACTTCTGACTCTGTAATTACTGCCTTGTACTTATTTTTAATCCAACCTGTCCGCAGCTAGACTATATAGGGACTAGTAACGGGGACTAGCACCGTTAACGGGATTTCCATTTTCTCGACGCGGCTCATCTCTTCTCTTCTTCCACCTCCCTCTTACCTGCCTCTTCCACGTCTCTCGTTTCCCCCCCCCTCCCTTCTTTTCTTCCTTTTTTCTTTTCGTTTTTCTTTTCCATTTTCTTTCGTTCTGTGTTGATTCAATTCGATTCGATTCGGAGGTCGACCCGTTGCCTGACCCGGTGTGGAAAAAGTGGGCCAACGACCCCCGTACGGAGAGTGAGGAACACAACAATAAGTACCGAGTGTCGAGCACGGCGAATACAATCCGTTCACTTATGGACAGAACTATCCCAAGACGAACAACAATCTCATCAACCGATTGTCTACGAGAAATAAAAACGTCGAGCCGGTACCCTAATCTCGCCAATTAATTCTCCGGTCCGGAACCAGGAACCAGCGTGGATCCTCGAACTGTACATAAGGAGACAAAGTGGAGGGCGGAAAAAGAAAGAGACAAGCCAAGTTGCGCGTCACAGTTACGCCCGTTGATATTTTCTTTATTTACTTTCACTTTTCGCAATTAATTCGAGAATATCGTGGATCGCCAACAGGATGGATTAGTGTAGTTGGGAAGGGAAAAAGACAAGACAGTTTTCCTTTTTTGCGGGGTTTTTTCTCTCTTTTTCTTTTCCTTCCGGTTTCACTTCTTTCATTCGTTTACGGTAGGTTTGACGGTCCTATGATTCTATGGGATATAATCGAGTTGCGGGCTAATCCGGTCATTTGGCTTCTAGTGTCTTATTTGATCGATTTCGATGCCCTCGTTCTTTTAGACCATTCGTTACTCGATTTAGTCGGCTGTTGAGTGTCGGTTGACGTCCGCTCCTTCGTTAATTCGCATTGAGATTCGCCCGTGGATAAGCGACTTCCTTGTCTTCGCTCGATATACTACCGAATTGGTCGCTCGTTTTCTGACATCAGCCATCTACATCAATCTCGTGATTCGCTACGCTACGCGTTCGCTCTACATTCGTTCTGGTACTCTCTCCACCAACACGGAAATATCCGTTTATCGCTCGTTATTCCATCCTCTTTGGACATTCCCTGAGTGTCGTGCAGGCAGACACTTTGACTATCTTTACTCATACCTTTTCAATTGCTTGGACATTGTTTATTGGACTGTTCAGTTGAGGGTTTTCGGCTATATTTAGCACTGGATATACTTGGTACCAAGAGGCGGTTGACAGAATGGCCCATCATGGCATTGGTAGGAACCCTCGACTGACCAGGTTGATGAAGAAGCGGAGTCGCGTGGCGGCTCATAGCACTCCTATTATCGCACACCACCCAATTCCTACCGGCTCGGGCTTTGACTGCGGATCGAATCACGATACAAAGCACAGCGCTGGACAGGAGTCGGTTCCGGTATTCGATAAGCGGCAGGACATAGCCAGTTCCGAAGATTTGGCGAAAGTGTGGGCTACAGTGGTGAATGTTATCGATGACGAATCTTATACTTCCACACAGTCAGCAGAGATGACATTCGCCTCGTCTCATGCATGGTTCGATGGATCCGTTACTGCGTTCCCGGGATACACATCTCTCACGGCAGATACGCCCAGTTTAACCGGTAGCTCGCAGTCGATAACTTCCGCTGCATCATCAGCTTACTCCTCCACTATGACCTCTCGTCCATTGATCAATTCGTCACAGCCTACCCCGTCATCGACTTCTTTAACTCCTACTTCCAGTCTTTCGGCATCAGAACTTTCCGATTCTTTATCTTCAACAACTACGAGTGCGAGCCTTGTCACTAGGTCAAGCACGAAAACCAGCTCTTTATCGACTTCGTCCTCCACTTCGTCTCTTTCCTCATCATTTAGCTCTTCGACGTCGACATCGACATCGACTAGTACCACCAGTTCAGATTCGTCCGGTTATAGTGGCTGGGTTGGCGGTGGTTACGGAGGCGGAGGAGGATCCACACAGACCGGCAGCGGGCAAGACCCTACACCGACTGATACCAACTCAAATCAAAACTCCTCCAGCGCGCCTGGTCCTGCTACGACGGGAAAGATCGTGGGTGGTGTAGTTGGTAGTGTGGCTGGTGCGGTAATGCTGGTGATCCTTGCTCTCTTCTTTTTGAAGCGCAGAGCAAGCATGCGCAAAACTCAGCAGGCTCTTCCGTCGGCAGAAGAAGCAGGAGCCGGAGCTGGCGGGAATATGACTGGAATGGAATCACGTCCTGATTCTCTCTTAACGGCGACGTACTTTGCGCCGGCATTTATGAAACGGTGGAGACAGTCCACCATGACGACGAATACCGACAGTACACTCGTATCTAATGGTAGCGAGCGGGGGTTCCAGAAGATCTCTGGCAGAAAGATCCCGTCCGTGCTAACGCATGGCGGCGACGGTTTTGGAGGTGGATATGATACCGGGTCACCAACGCTATCGGAACCGAGCATGACGACGGCAGTTCCTGGGTCGCCGGTGAATCCACGATCACCTCTAACACAGCCTCCACCATCGACACCATTCGGCATGCCGTTGAATGTGAGCTACACTCGGGAAGCCGAAGAGAACGATTCAATTATGTATATGCGAGCGTCACCAGCCCGAACACCTGTTACCAGCACCGCCAGCATGTCATCTGTCAGTGCCCCAATCAACATACCCCGCCAATCACATAGTTCGCTATCGCCTATTCCGCAACGACCTGATATGTTAGGTCGAAGCCATCCAAGTTTCGACGGGAGTCGAGGGAGTCGATTTACAGAAAGTTTGTGATATTAGTTTACTGGGCCATTGATTTTTAGCAATACTCGTTCTGTACCAGCCTTAGTGCTGAAATCTAAAGATACCCATCTCTACTGGAGAAGGGTAGGCTATCTCTGCGCCCCGACTGTCCCTCCAAGACAAGCACTTGGTTATGCCCATGTGCTGTCGCGCCGGTGCTGACTGACATCGGTTGCCGTTCCCGGGGCAGTCTTTGGGGATAAATAGTGATCTATCCGACTATGCTCCGGGGGAATCACTTATAGATCCCTGGCGAGCGTCTGGCCGTCGCTTACCATGTGTAATGTCTATACATTGCGATTCTTGTATTTTTTTTTTTTTTTTTTCTTATGGATACCCTGATTCCTTTATTTATGTACAGATATTCTACTGTCTTTATTTATTTCTTTGACTGTTTCTGTTTACTTCTCGTATATTGATGATTGCATTTTGGAGCTTGGGATCTGCTTGTCTGTCGACGAGAGCACAGCTGGTATTCATGTACAGTGATCACATGACCTGCCCTACATACGGAGTACAGTAAGTAGATGGAGAGCCTTGTAGTGATCGACGGGCCGAAGACAGGCAAGACTGATAAGCGACGATCAAAGTGGGAGCCAAGGTAGTATAAATATGGCTGCTAGTCCGCCGTACCAGAACATCTCCCAATCACCCTTTCCACATCTATTCCAAAGTCCCAATTGCATATAATGAATCCCGAATACTCTGAAGAATTCGAGCAAAAGTCCCTTCCCTTCAAACTAATCGAACACTGGGACGCCGAAGAAATAATCTATGGCAAGAAACGACTCGTAGCCTTGGTTAATGGCGATGTAACCCCCCACAACGCAGCTATTGAATTCAACACAGCCGTCGTACAAAAGGCTCACCGGAAACTCCAAGAATTGTTAAAACGCCCTGACCCTCGAAACCCCACCCCCGAGGAAGAGGAACAGGGCATTCCGAGCATGCGCGCGATCGCACCGAATCCAAGTGGTGACCTTGAACTCTTTATCCAGTGGATTGCGCGAGTGTGCTCTGCTTGCCCGCCATACCATCCGGGTCAGGAGCGGATTATTGAGTTTCTGGTAGTGCTGAGGAACTTGCCGAGGCGGGAGGTGCCGGATGGGGTTCCGCCAGAGGGTTCGGATGAGCCCTACCCTACGATTACGTTGTGGGCGTTTGAGAGTTTGGGGTGGTTAGCGGAGATCTTCCGTGTTGAGGAGTCAGGTATATCTTTCTTAACTTCTCAATTACATGAATTTCTGCTCACTGAACAATGAACTTTAGCATGCCAACCTCCCCTCCGCTGGCGCAACTGGCAAAGTAGCATCGCCCGCCTAACAACACTCAACCTAATCAACTGTGACTTCCTCTGCTCCCTCGAACGCCTTCTCCCCTGGAGCCGCGAATACCCAGACCTGGAGGAACGTCCCTTCGACGGACCAAACAAAATGGGGAACTACCTCATCGGCGCAGCGCAGTGGATTATATATCCGGATGAGGGGCGGTATGTCTACGAACAGTGTAAGAAGGTTGGAGAAAAGGTCCCTGGGTTGAGTCCGCGGGAGATGTGGAGTATGGAAAGGTGGAGGGAGTGGAAGAAGCAGTTTGGGTTTGTTGCTGGGGATGAGAGGTTTCAGGGGAAGTATCGGGAGATGGCGAGGTTGGCTAACGAGAAGATGGTGGAATATGAGGGTTGTTAGGCTTTCCTATACGTCAAATAGCGCCTTGGACTGTTCTTATTGATCGAATGAGAATAATGAGATCGGTCCTACCGCCATGTTCGTTTCCTAGAATGTAGTACCCAGGCATCAAAAGTAAAGCAGAGGCCATGATTAATTCATTGATTTTTAAGTCATGGTCCGGGGATAGCACAGCAGGTATTCCACCTGTCCGTCAATCAGAACCCGTACTCTACGATCTCGTATGATTTGAAACATTCGTTCAGTAGTTCGAAAAGAGAAGTCGGCTAGACTTTTCTTTCTACAGCTTCACGCTACCATAGCATATTCGTCCTTCGATTTGTCTCCTTGTCGTAACACCGTTCGGCCCCCTGTCGTTGCTGACGCTCTATTTCCAGCAGACGTTGGAGCTCGAGTACACTCTGACCCATGCTTATGGAAAATGCACAACCTGTAATAAAGTTCGAAATTAGCCAAGAAGACTGAAAAGGACAAAAGGTGATCAAATGCAATATTTCTGGGCAACTCACGAGTTACATATAATACTGTTTTTAGAGAAACGACCGGATGATGGGAATTTACTCTAAAGAAAGGCAGAAAAGGGCATTCTAACCAAGCGGAAAATCACAACGCAAGAGAAAAATGAACATGGTATTAGTTCTAATAAACTCGGCTAGAAGAGTACTGGGCGATAATTTAAGTATGTACTGAGTACCTGGGCATAGTAGCTGCTTAGCCACCACCACCACGAGGAGATTTGAGGAGAACTTAAGTATCCCCCGATCCGTTGTTCGCAATGGACGGCCATTGAGGGCCAAAACTCAGAGGCCGACCACAGACGGCGACTATCGGCTATTGAATGGCGGGGAAGTTTTCTGCCCTCATCACAATCGCGGGGAAGTATAATAAGATGTTTCGGATCGCAAATGTGTCCTTTATCTTTTCTTCTCTATTTTCCCTCTCTGTATTTATCGTCTGGCTTGAGACAAGTTCCCGTTTACAGCAATTGTAGACCACAATGGCCCCTCCAAATGTTCTGATGGTATGTCCCTCTTCTTTTTCTGAGTGAGCATTGAAGCTTACTTATTCACAGGTTGGAACTGGTGAATACACCACCGGTTTCGTCGGCGGTGCTGCCTCGGGCTCAGATAAGAAGGTTGGAGTCGTGGGGTTGTCCCTTTTCGATCTCCGGCGGAGAGGCAAGGTTGGGAAACTGAGCATGGTTGGCGTTTCTGGCGCCAAGTACCCAGGCATTCGTACGTCACAAGAGAAATATGGACAGAACTGAGCAATACACTGACACGGTGCAGGCCAGCACCTCCAGAAAAACATCTCAGAGACCTACAACGGCCTCGACGTGTCCTTCGACTCATTCCCAGCCGATGACAAAAAGGACCCTGATGCCTACAAAACGGCTATTGACGCTCTCGAACCCGGCTCGGCTATTACCATATTTACCCCCGACCCGTCTCACTTCCCTATCGCCATGTACGCTATTCAGCGCAAGATCCACGTCCTCATCACGAAGCCCGCCACCCAGCTCCTTTCGGACCATCTGACCCTGGTTGATGAAGCGCGCAAGCATGGCGTCTTCGTGTTTGTTGAACACCACAAGCGCTTCGATCCCGCATACGCGGATGCACGCCACAAGGCGCTTAACCTGGGCGACTTCAACTACTTCTACAGTTACATGAGCCAGCCTAAGAGTCAGCTGGAGACCTTTAAGGCATGGGCTGGGAAGGACAGTGATATCTCGTATTATCTGAACTCGCACCACATTGACATTTGTGAGAGTATGGTGCCAGAATATGCTCCTGTCAAGGTTACTGCGTCTGCTTCGACAGGAGCTGCAGTTGAATTGGGATGTGCTCCGGAGACGGAGGATACCATCACTCTGCTTGTGGATTGGAGGAAGAAGGGTGATCCTTCCAAGAATGCTACTGCAGTTTATACTGCCAGCTGGACGGCACCACATAATGCCGGTGTGCACTCGAATCAATATTTCCACTGTGAGTTTCGCTTCCTTTCTCGTCGTCAACTCTGCTAACTGACCATTCTAGATATGGGGTCCAAGGGCGAAGTACGCATCAACCAGGCCAAGCGCGGCTACGACGTCACCAGTGACGAGCAAGGGCTGATCTGGGTGAACCCGTAAGCTACCCTCACCAAGCCCTATAAAAAATAATATGCTCACAACCATAGCTTCTACATGCGTTACGCCCCCGACGAAGCGGGCAACTTCGCCGGCCAAACAGGCTACGGATACATCAGCTTCGAGAAGTTCATCGACGCAGTCACTGCTGTCAATGAGGGTCGGGTAACCCTCGACGAGCTTGATGCACGGCCCTTGCCGACGCTCAAGAATACCATTGCCACGACTGCCATTCTGCAGGCGGGTCGGGTCTCGCTGGACGAGAAGCGGCCGGTGGAGATTGTTAGTGATGGTGGGAAGTGGGCTTTGAAATAGACCATGATCTATGTACTCTAGACATTACTGCTGTATATATTCATTCACCTTATCAATGGTGTCAATTGTAGACGAATGCTCTCCACAACCTAAGGACGCCCTATCGATGATCGGAAGCGGGGAAGCTCCCTCGTATCTTCAATTGAACTTGTTCCTCTTAACATCCTCACTATCAACGCTCTTATACAACCCACTACAAAAATGAGCCAATCCAAGCTCAGAATTCTCCTAATCGGCGGTGGCGGCATAGGCATCGTAACAGCCTACGCCCTCGAAACCGGTGGTCTCGCCGAAGTAACCGCCATCCTGCGCTCCAACTACGCCGTCGTCGAGAAAAACGGCTTTACGATAGATTCCGTGGACCATGGCTATATTCAAGGCTGGAGACCGTCACATAGTACATACTTCATATCCCTATACACCCGATCATGGATTTCCACTAACAAGAATAACAGCCAGAAACACAATCCCAAATAAGGAAGAGAAAATATTCGACTACTTAATCCTAACCACAAAAAACATCCCTGACATTCCTCCAGCTCTCCCCGATATAATCGCACCAGCAGTTACGCCCTCGCATACCTCTATAATTCTCATCCAGAACGGTGTTAACATCGAACACCCATTTCGGGAACGATTTCCCACGAACCCGATTATCTCTGGTGTTTCATTCACCAGTGCTACAGAAGTCAAGCCCGGGTTTATCAGACACGATGATTATGATCGCGTGCGATTAGGCCCTTTCCCTCACCCTCGTAACCAGGATCCCAGTGATAGTGAGCTATCCGCAAAAGCAACAACAGCAACCCAAACCTTCATAACCGCCTACAACCCCAACGCCAACATCAACACCAACAACTGTACCATCGACGTCCAATTCGACATTGATGTCCCGGCAACCTGCTGGCGGAAGCTCATCTACAACGCTTCCTTCAACCCCATCTCTGCGATCCTGCGGATGGATATCACCCGGATGCGCGTTTACGAGCATGTCATTGATGAGCTCGTGAAGCCGGCTATGAGGGAGGTTGTTGCTGTTGCGGGGGCTTTGGGGATTAGGGTTGTTAGTCGTGGGGAAGATGAGGAGGGGGTTATTGGGCAGGCAATTAGGTGTGATCCGCCAGAGGCGTTTTTTAGGCCAAGTATGTGTCAAGATGTTGAGAAGGTATGTCAGTCCGTTCGACTTGTGACTTCTTTGGAGGGTGCTCGGGGGCTAACGAGGTAGGGTAATTATATGGAAATCGAGAATATTGTTGGAGAGCCGCTACGGGAGGGGGAGAAGTTGGGTGTTCCCACGCCGACGTTGAGGACGATTTATGCTATTTTGAAGGGGTTGCAGATGAAGGTTAAAGAGCAGAGGGGATTTGTAGAACCCAAGTTTAATGAGAAGAGTCAATATGCTGGGAAGTCTGAGTCTATGGCATAGTTATCATTCTGGATACCCGCTTGATTAACGGTCTGATTAATGCGAATCCATGAGCCGAGGACCGACAAAATCCAAAACACCGTTCTTTCGCCATGCTTGAACCGAAACAGTAAACAGAACCTTGAATAACGCGAACACTGTGGTATCGTACCAAAAGCAATCAATAGAAAACATCCCAATACAATGCAAATGCAATCCAATCATCGACGAGAACCAATCTTGACGATCCCATCTTGTCCTTTATTGAACTTGACCCGGCAATCGGGACAGAACCATTTTGCCGTCCGACTAGGGACTTCTGAGAGACCGATACAATCGAGGTGGAACCATTCTTTGTCACACTGGCGGAAATGTTAGCTTTGGTTTTGATAGTCCCTGGGACATACAAGGCGGCGGCTTACATCAGGATTCTCACAACATATCATCGTCCCAAAACTCACGTCCCCGCACATACAATATCGCGGTTCATTGGAATCAATCTCCTCCAACACTCCATCCTCGTCAATACGGACGTTATCCCTCTGGTCAGACTCACGCGTCCCGGCCCGCTTCTTGCTCATCTTCGCCTTGCGACGGCCGTAGCTGACTGCTGCCCCGCCGTCTTGTCCTGAAGATACTGGTCCTGGAGCGGGTCGTTTTCTTCGACGAGTAGGTCCGGTTTCAGGGACCGGGATGGGAGTTCTTCGGGCTGGAGTGGCGCTTTTCCGGCGGAGATCGCGACCTCCAGGGGCGTTGAGTGTGGTTGCTTGTTCTGCTAGGGAAATGGAACGGCCTCGTGAGGGTGGTCGGTTCGGTGTAGCGAAGTGGTCGTCTATAGCAGGAGCGGGAGCGGCTGCTGCTGGTTCAGTCTTTGGTTCAGTTGGCGGCGGAGATAGTTTTTTTATGTCAACTATTGGCGCTGTATTTTCGACGGGGACACTGGCAGTTGCCGTGACAGAAATGCTAGTGTTCACTGATGCGCTGGATAGACTGGCGCGAGGTTCCGTTGGAATATCATCATCGCCGGCTTTGCGGCGTTTAGTCAAACGAGAAGCACGAGTTTCGTCGCTTGGCTGGGTCGCTGCATCAGCTGGTAGGAGCTCTTCTAACTTTCTCTTTGATGCCCGGGTAGGCAGCTTTTCCGACGCGTCTTCTTCGTTTCTGATAGTAAGGCTGACAGGTATGGGTATGCCCTGTGCTTCAGCAGCGGCCGCAGCGGCAGCGGCAGCAGCCTGTTCCCTCGCGAGGTTCTCTCGTTTCAGTTTTTTCGCTTCGTTCAATTTCATACCGCGGTTGCTCAGCTTGGTTTCCGCCATAGAAAGATTTTCCTTGGTGGCGTCGCTTTTCTTCATCAACTTTCCAGGAATATAGGTGTTCGCAATGTCATCACAGTCGACAAATTCAGTACCATCAGCGTCTGCCTGCGCCTTGGCTGCTCTGTAGGCTTCCCAGCCGCGCCCACGTAGAGCAAGTTCGCGGTGGATCATGACCTCACTGGGCTGCCATACTGCGTTCTTCTTCATCTTTTTGCGCAACTTTGTCATCTCCCATTCCGTCAGACGCAGCCATGGCATGTCGTCACTACCAGGCTTTGCACCCTCCGGAGGAGGCCGGAGCATCGCCAATGCATTGCTGGTAGACACGGTTGCACCTGAGACAGAGGGCCGCGATCGCCTGCTCTGCGTTTTCTCCTTTTTAGCTGGGATCCCTGGCAGTTGAGATTCAGCTGAAGGTCGTGACTTGAGCTCTGTCTCGTCGTCCGAGTGTTCTGTGCTAGCAATAGGCGAGTCCGGATTGAAAGCTAGATGCTCAGCAGAGAGCACGGACCGCCGACTCCGTGATTTTTGTCCTGGAGTCACATTATCACCATCCAAGCGCAACGTAATGCGCGTCCGTCCTGATGCATCCGCCCCTTTTTTCCTGCTTGGTTGAGCGCGTCTTCCAGCCTGGGTAGGATCGGGAGTAGGCTCGCGCGACGAGGGCTTGGGAAGCGCCTCAAGTTTCTTCCGGATACAGTCTAACCGATTGAAGTGATGGTCGACGACATCGTAAAGGCGACAGGCCTCCGCATAGGCGGACTCGCGGGCGTTGATGGCACGGTCGAGTTGGAAGGAAATGTCTTTGCGAAGGTTCTGGGGGTGCGGGCGCGCATCAGGCGCGATCTGGGGTAGCTGACCGTAGTCCTTCGTCAGATCGTGCACGCTTTGCGCAGCTTCGATGTAGCGAGCGTCCAAGCCACCGATGAGAGTCAGAGATCGAATGAGGTCTGCTGGGAGGTATTCGGTGTAGTCGATGTAATCAGTCACGGTCGCCTGGGCGTCAGGGTCGAAGGGGCCATCGAGGATAACACCACCAGTTTCATCGTCGTCGTATCCATCTAGCATGGTCATTTTGTTTCAGGAAGTAGTTAGAGGCGCGACTTAAGATGCGGATTGCGGAGGCGGAGGTGGAGATAGGATCAGCTCAGGAGTATCGGGAGAGCTTCCATAGACGTTGTCAGGAAAGAGCAAGCGAATTATATATGTTAATCGAGAAAAAGACGCTGTCAGATTGAGATCCCTGGTAGGAATCAATGTCTTAGCGAAGGAATGGGGATGGCAGAGGAGAATCTGTTGCGATGCGATGCGATCTCAGGCGTCGGCCTCGGTGTGGCGGCACAATGTTGTTCCGGGTTGTATAGCTTCATTCCTCACAGCAACACATGAAGTTACACAAGATAAGCAAAACGTAGACAAAGGAAGCAATGCATTAAACCGACAGCTCATATGGTTTTATTGGCTATACCGATACTGTCAGCAAAGTGTCTTTCTTAAGTGGGAATTCCGTGTTGACCAACTCAATGGTGCAAACTGCAATGAATAGTGACTGGCAGCAGTGAATATGGCAATATGGTTCTAATGCGTCCAGAGTGGATATTCATGATACTATTATATCCCATAGACATGCGTCCAATAATGAATGCTTGTTTGTCGCTCCTTGTTTGCTCTGCGGGACGCCTCTTTCCTGCTCCTTTCTCTCAAATCTCCATTCTTCATTTCATCCTTAGCTCTTCTTTCAATCATTAATGGTTTCATCTCGTGGTGCTGTTGAATAACTTCGTCCATAATATTTAGCCGTGAAAATGGGCAGAGCAGAGCGTCTCAGGTTGCTTTTTGGGGGCGATGACGGATCTCTATTGCAAACAGACACACGGTTGAAAGTGCCTGTGCCTGAGCCTACTGTGTCTGTCGTCGAGGCCCAAGAGACTCAGCCCAGCGATAAATTAGTCAAAGAGCAGCAGGGCAAGGTTGAAGTCTCTCAAAAAGCACCAGTTGAGGAAGCCGAGACCCCCAAGACCATTGTCCACTCAGAAGACCAAAACCAGGAGGCACCAAAAGATGAAAATGAAGATCAATATGTAGCCATTTTTGAGGATCCTGCAACGCCGCTGGAGACAGAAGTATGTGTGTCTGGTAGGTTTTGTCCTCTTATCGCCGTGTCCAGATTCCCATACCGGTTCATGTACGGAGACCCTTCCCAACCCGTTGCAAGCGCTTTCTTCGATGGGGGCAAATTCTGGAAACGTCGATGGAGCATGTAAGTCCACACATGCCAGTCGCTTTTGGTCACCAAGTTAACAACTGCCAGATACTACATCCATGTCCCGCTGCACATCAGTCCTCGGCCACTCCTCCTCGTTCCTCTCAGCCAGGTCGAAAAGCTACTGAAAGATATCAATCAGAAATGTGAAACCACCTGTTCCCTTCCATTGAGCGGCGGGTTTGTCCTGAACTTCCAGGAAGACGGCACCCCCCAGCCCATATTCCTTGGTCAGAGTACCAGCCGGGAGATGAAAGATTACCTTGAATCGCACATTAAAACTGTGCTGAACAGCAAGCCTGAGAACGAAGCACTTCCAGAATACAAGGCTTATGAGCAAAAGATAAAAGCAGCAGTTAAATTGATCAAGAACAAGAAAGGTGCTTCAAAGGCCCAAAAACAACTCGTCCGTTTCCAGACGGAGCACAAATGGATCCGGTGTCTGGAACGAACGCAAACCTACTTCGGCCTGCGTCGTAATCCTTCCAACCAGGACCTTGACCCCTTCAATCAGCAAGAGTCGAGCCAACAGCCAAACGAGGTAGCGGAAAGACAGAAACTGGCGTGGAAATCAGTTCAGCTGGCCCCAAGTTTTGACGAGCCTGCTCCATATGTATTCTTGAACCAGCCGGTGTTCATCAGCATCGATGTGGAGTGCAACGAGCGATGCCATTCTCAGACTACCGAGGTTGGTTTGTCGATACTCGACACACGGGACCTAGCCGGCATCGCTCCAGGCCAGGAAGCTGTCAACTGGACCTCTCGAATCAAATCCCGCCATCTACGCGTAGTGGAATACGGCCACATTATCAACCATGACTTTATTCCTGGATGTCCCGACAGATTTGAATTTGGAGACAGTGAATGGGTCAAGCTGGAGGATGTGCCGTCAATTGTAGACAACTGTTTCCGATCTTACCTCCCTGAGATCGCAGACGCCGAAGACACCCAGGCCGAACGACGCAACGTGGTCCTCGTGGGACACAACCCATCTGCGGATGTCAACTTTTTCCTCGACCTGGGTGTGCCCCTGTTCAGAGAATCCAAAGAGAAGAGTGTGTTCCTGGACACGGTCGATACAGCTGAAGTCTTCCGCGTGTCCAGACAGGAGATGAATGTGCGGTCTTTGGGTAGTATTCTTGCAACGTTTGGGATTACAGGATGGCATTTACATAATGCGGGAAATGATGCGCGCTATACTATGGAAGCCATGGTTCGAATGTTGTTCCATTAGAGCCATTTTTACCCTCAATACTTTGTCGCGGGATGCGTTTCATGACTTAGTTCATCCCATTCTCTTTGTGATTGCTCATCACTTCTGATGCAAATTCTTGCTAGTAGATATCTAAATGAAATTAAGAAGAAGCGTAACATGCGTTAAACGTGCGTCCCCCTAGATATATTCCGCAAAAGTCGGGCTTTTGAATTTTATGCTCAGTCCATTTGTGTAGATACGGAGTACACTCAGACAACGACTCAGGCTGAAGCGAGCTCGTTTACCTTCACACTGTATTGTTTCTCTCATGGTATCTCCTTCTGGGATGTGTCATTTCTGCTCCTAGATCAGAAGTTTCGTTCTGCCTTGTACTTTCTGGCAAACTGGACCTTTCGCGCTATTCGTCCAAATAACGACACTTTCGGCTTCAAACAACCTAACTTGCGTGGAAAATAACCTCAAGAACTTAACATGAATTTTTATACTAACATGGCTTCACTCGGCTATATTGTGGACTCGGAGAATCAAACCAAGCCTCGTCCGGATGATTACTGGCATGATCGAAAATATATATGTTCTGGTGTCTGACGCGGTCAGACCAGCTCATTGATGGACGTGTGTGTGTGTGTGTGTGTGTGTGTCCAGAAGCCTGATAATGACTGTAACATACCAACATCATGCTCTTGAATAATATACTCAAGTATAGCACCCTGTAGACGATGGTACTGACCGCTTCGCGATCACAAGTTGATCTTGACCCGAGCGGCGATAAGACCATGTCGATCACCATGACAGGTTGATAGGTTAACCGGATTGCAAAACTAGTCCGTCCGAGACGCCTACTGTTCTACCAAGCTTTCGGACGAGTTAGTCGCGCGATAGGGGACCTCAGAGCATCGAATCTGCTCAACCGTTCCGGCCTCGGTGTATTCAGTGTTAACCCCGAGAATCACAAGTCCGAGTCCCACATCGCGAAGTTCCATGAATTTTCTTCAGATTTTCCTCGGCAATGATAATCGGTGATAATCGGTCCTCGGTGGTTTTCACGGGCTTTGACTGGCCGAAATTACGAGGGGAAAATGCTTGGTATTTTCTGGATTTCGATAATGACAGCAAGGCACTTTCCACAATCACCGCACATCCAATAATTTCCAATTGGGCTCCGCCGCTGTTCTTTCTACTCCATAGAGGTGTCATGGAAAGACAATTGGGCAGTGTCTACAAGCGAGATTTTTGCCTTTTGACAGCTAAAGAATTAGAATTTTTTTTCCATTCAGTGGCGTCACTGTTGGATTGACGATCTTGTGCGTATCGGTGCGTCTTGTGGATTTTCTCAGGGACAGTTCCTATTCATCGAAATGAGAAGGAATGTCATCCTAGGCGAGAGTACGTGCCCTGCCCTAACCGATTGTCTCATGGTGATGGTATGTAGACGTGTGCCTAGATGTCGTTCGGGAAGGAGTGTAGTACTCTGTACAGTTCTCTGCACACCACTCTGTAGACCCTCAAACTATTACACTCATAATATGAAGTAGAGCATAAAGACAATTCAAATAAAGATGTAAACAAACACATGGAAGAAGACAAGTATTGGTTTATCACCTGAAATCCCAAAAGGTAAACCCGAAACTTCGACGAGCCAGAATCTTCGCTGGACTTGAGTATCAGTTGAACCTAATCGACTGCCTCTATTTAACATCTTTCCATTTCTTCTATTCATCGTATTATCAACACGGTATTGCCGTTGTTGTCTTTGACTAATATTATTACTTTTCTCTGCATCGCCAAGAAGGCGTTCACCATACTCCTACTGTGTACGGCCACCATCCATTCCTCCGGCCCCCAGCAACCCCTCGCCTTCTGATTGCTCTTCCACCTCTTGTCTGTCCCGTCGAATTCGAAATTCTACCGCTGACAGCGTCTACTTTTTGGTAGCAGCAGTTGGACTCGAATACTTTCTCCATCTGACTCAACCTCGTTTTTTCCCCCCTCCGTCACTGGTCTCCGATTGGTGTCTTTGCGCCATATCCACCGTCCGTCTCCAAAGGACCCTTTTCTTTGGTAATCGCCGTCTTCTCTCTTCTCCCTACCTCTTTTTTTATCTTCTTTTTCTGTTTTCTTTTGTTACTGCTTTCCTCCATTGAATCGATACCTGTCGCACAAGGAAATTACAAAGAAAAACAAAAAAGCGATCGTGCGGTTGACCATAGCGTCATCACTTATCGCTTTTCGCCCACATTCACTCAATTTCCCCCAAATCGGGGGAATAAAAATCAAAGGGCGTGAGATCATTTCGCATTCCACCGCCTAGTTGATCGCTCACTGGATCTGTTATCGGCCATTCGTTTCTTCTGTTCCTTCACCCCCTGAGTGACTGCGACTCCCATGAGTCTGTAACCTGCTCGAGTCGCCTTGTGAATGTCAATTCGGACGGATCGCCTTTCGGCGCCTCTCCCTGCTGATTCCTTCTCCCCTCCTCCTTATCCGTGCATGAATCTGTCCCCATCACGAATTCCCGAACACCTCATGCAATATGGCTGCTCCGTCGAGTCCTCTTTACAGCGAAAACCACGCCGGCCTTGTCCATGAAGACGATGACCACTTCTACGATGATAAGGACCACCCCCAGGGCACGCCCTCGAATGACCCGAAACATATGCAGAAGAGACGACGGGTGACCAGAGCCTGCGATGAATGCAGACGCAAAAAGATCAAGTGCGATGGGAAACAGCCGTGTACTCATTGCACTGTGTATAGTTATGGTAAGCTGGCCTATCGCACTGGGTGTCCAAACTCTTTCTAACATGAAATGCCTCGTTAGAATGCACTTACGACCAACCGTCAAATCGTCGCCGGAATCCTGCCCCACAGTATGTGGAAGCCCTCGAAAATCGTCTGCACAAAGCCGAAGCTCTCATCCGAGTTGTCCTTCCGGATATCAATCTCGACGACCCTCAATTCGATTTGCATGCGACAGAACAAATACTGGCAACATCCAAAAAGGACAAGCAGCAACCGCTGCAGCCACAGACACAGTCGCAACCCCAGCAGCCTGCCCCAATTGCGCCCCGATCACCTGTCGCACCGCAACCGGCGCAAGCCCAAGAAAACCCAGATGACTCAATGCTGGAGACTATGGTTGATAGTGCGGGCCTTTTGGACCTTGATGACCAGGGCCATTGGGATTATCACGGACACACTTCGGGTATTATCTTCCTACAGCGACTGCGAAAGCAACTCGGGGCGTCCGATATCCAACCACCTCCAATGGGATCGCGGCCGATGCCGCCCATGCTGGACAGTCCCAAATCAGTGGGTGATTCACCACAAGAATCCTCGATACCTCCTACGCATGATCTCCCACCGCGGAACGTCGCGCGACGGCTATGCCATAATGCCTTTGAAGATGGCTGCTCTCTGATGCGATTTGTCCACGAACCCTCGTTTTATGCCATGTTAGATCGGATTTATGATACCCCTGCTGAACAGTACAGTAATGAAGAGCACTCGTTCCTTCCGCTTCTTTATATTGTCATGTCTGTCGGTTGTTTGTTTTCGGATGATGGGGCTGGTACCCTCGATGTGTCGGGCTACGAGACTGCAATTGGTCAGGGGTATGTCTTTCATTTTCCAGTATTCGCAGAATGACTTCATATTAACTTGCACTCCAGCTTCCAATTCTTCAAGGCTGGAAGGCAGTTGTTGGAAATTACAGATTGCCGCGATTTGACCTCGTTACAAGCCATCTGCTTCATGGTGCTTTTCCTCCAGTCTTCCGCCAAATTGAGCACATGTTATTCGTACGTTGGCATCGCCCTTCGCTCCGCTCTTCGACTGGGCCTGCACCGTTCTGTGGCCGCAGATTTCAACCCCATCGAACGAGAATTACGGAAGCGGATATTTTGGGTCGTCCGCAAAATGGACGTTTACGTGAGCACCCTTCTTGGGCTGCCGCAGATGCTGAGTGACGACGACATCGACCAAGAATACCCCATGGATGTCGATGGAGAATTCATCACAGCTGAAGGCGTCCAGCCCATGCCGCTTGACCGGACACCTTTGATGGCTGGCTGTAATGCTCATACTCGCCTTGCAAATATCATCATGAAGGTAGTGAAGTACATCTATCCAGTAAAGAATGCGCAATATCGCTCCGAGTCGGATCACCGTTACGTGGTGAGCCATGCAAAGATTCGTGAAATCGAGCGCGATCTTCAATCTTGGATGGAGGAGTTACCCCCCGCTCTTCGACCTGGCACCGAAGTCTCACCTCAACTCGAGCGGTAAGCTTCCTCTGGTCTTTGGCTGTTTGCACATGGCTGACACCGAAATAGTATACGACAGTTGCTCCGTATTAGCTACGCACATGTGCAGGTCGTCATGTATCGACCGTTTTTGCACTATGTTTCCAGTGGGTCGCAGGCGCAAGGCGTGGATAAACGGTCGTACGCATGCGCCGCGGCTTGTGTCAGCGTCTCTCGTAATATCGTCCATATTACTACAGGGATGCACAAGAGAGGACTTCTCAACGGCTCCTATTGGTTCACGATGTACACCACATACTTCGCCATTCTCTCCCTAATCTTCTTCGTTCTCGAAAACCCCGACTCGCCCACTGCCAAGGATGGCGTGCTAAAGGACGCCATGGAAGGTAAAAACACCTTGGCTGGGTTGGCCAAGAAGAGTCTGGCCGCGGACCGTTGTTCGCAGAGTCTTAACGTACGTTGGCCAAACCTTCTCTGTATGTCTCTTAGACTGACCATCACTCCAGTGTCTGTTCAAGAACCTACCCGAACTGCTAAAAAACCGACAGAGTTCGGTCACTCCTGTTAATCTCAAACGCCCCGCCCCGTCTAGCAAACCAATTAATCCCAGGCCTTCGATTCCCGCTGATATGCGCGCTCCCCAGCGAGCAAACACGACTCCGATCCAGATGATGGCGAGGGCTCAAAGAGCTGAAGCGCGACCAAGGAGTCTGGACGATGGCCATGCGCATAGAGGCCATAGCCGCACCCACAGCGATGTACACAGTAAGACCACGACCCCAAGATGGGTGCCTTCGACACCGGATTCTGCTGCAACGGAGACTAGATCGTCGACCCCATCCAACACCAATTTCTCGACACCCTCTCCCATCCAACAAACCACGGCGAGACGGGATGCGTCACCAGCATTCCAGTTCCCTCAGCAGTTCGCCAACTTTAATAATGTCCCCGACCTGATGCCCATCATGTTCCCATCAGATGATCCATTCGCATACCCCACGCAACCAATGTCGACATTGGAAGATGGACACTTCTCATTTGAGCAGCAATCTGGGATGCCGCCTACTACTACGATGGCGGGCAATTCTAACGCCATGGGCCTGTCGACCCCGACCTTGGAGAATTTCTCTAATCTCTCTTTGTTCGCCAACGGCACTGGGGCTCCTCCGGGAATGAACCCAGCGATGGCGAACCGCTTCGCTAACAGCCAACAGCCCAATCAATCACGTCTCCAGTCGCCCATATCCCGCATGTCACCGTCTGGTGAAGTTGTCAACAGTCCCGATTTAGTCTCCATTCCCAACCAGAATTTCCTGTGGCAAGGGTACAATTTCCAGCCCCAGAATTGGACAGGTGACCAGCATGCACAGCAGGCACAGCCGGGACAGCAGCCAATGCCCGCACCCAATGGTGTGCCGAATGTCCCCACTGGAATCGACGAGAACAACCCAACGGGCATGGGCATTGATCTGGGAATCCCACTGGATGACATCTTTGGTAGTAACGAGGCGTACCGGCCGGCCGGTAACTTCAACAATGAGGATTGGCTTCAGTGGATGGATGTGGGGAATTAGCAGAGTTGTCTGTGTTTTGAGACTCTTGGCGGGCTCGATTACTTTCATGTTAATAATTGGTTGACATAATTGGCTATGAAGATATGTAATGATGGTAAATAGAGAAAAGAGCTAATGGAGTTGATGATTGATGTACTTTGTACTCCGTACTGTACTCTGTATTTCCTATGAAGATGAAGCGATGATGGTTAATCTCTGCCGATGCTGGACCCACAGATGACATTGTGCTCCGTCCATCCCGGCGTCACTCAACTTGTCAACACACTGTTGCGAGTGTATGGCCATTGGGATAACCTCAATGCCAAAGGTGCAACCCAGATGGACGACTAACTAAAGGGCCATTCAGCTTTTCCCTTTCCTTTTCTTTTTGGACGCCTTTTTGGAGAATCGCGAACAGTGACCGCGTCGCGCTCAGTGCCTTGAGATTTCCCATATATTCTTCTTGTCTTCTTGTACCTTATATATCCATCCATTACTATATGATCAAACCATGCCCTCCCTTCCCAATGCTTCTACCGTCGTCTCCTGGTTCTTCTACCTAATCCCAATATACATCTTCGTGCTAGCACCGCTGTTCAGCCAGATCTTCCCCTCAGACGAAGAAGACACCTGGGGCCTCGACTACGCGGTCGCATACGATGCCGAGGGAAACGAGATACCAGCATTGAATCTGGAAGATGATAGCTTTATCAGTCCTGAGGATGACGTACCATTGAATTGCCCCCGGAGGGAAGCGGGTGAGGATTTCAAGGTGCATATATTATCCCGGGACCCGTTGGTGATATACATCGAGAACTTCCTCACGGAGAAAGAGGCGGATCATTTAGTCGATGTTAGGTGAGTCTTCCCCCCCCCCTGCGGCAGATATCCTGCATGATGCGCATTCCTAACACCCTCATCACTACAGCGTTGGCCATTACACCCCCTCCATAATCTACGACGGCAGCACGCAACGTATTGACCCCTCCGTCCGCCTTTCTGACCGCGCCCTTCTCGCCCGTGACGAAACAGTCCGCTGCGTCGAAGACCGCGCGCGCGCGTTCCAGGGCTGGCGGCCGCATCTATATATCGAGCGCATGTGGGCGCAGCGGTACAACGCGTCGGGGCATTATCGGCATCATTTCGACTGGGCTGGGTCGGCAGCTAGGGGGGGAGACAGGGTTAGTACGTTTATGGTGTATCTGGCGGCGGATTGTGTGGGTGGGGGGACGAATTTTCCGAAGTTGGGGTGGCCGGGGTCGAGGGCATGGTGTCGGTTTTTGGAATGTGATGATGATCGCGAGGGTAGCAGCGAGAAGGATGGAGGCGGTGTTGCTGGTGAGAACAGTGGTAAAAAGACAGAAGGAATCACATTTAAACCGATCAAAGGGAACGCGATATTCTGGGAGAATCTCCGGGCGGATGGACGAGGGATCCCGGAGACTTGGCACGGGGCGTTTCCAGTCAAAGAGGGGACCAAGGTTGGACTGAATATTTGGAGTTGGTATCAGCCGCCGCGGAGGCACCGTGATTGATCCATCAGGGGTCAGAAGTGTGGGAGGGTAAACCTGTCTTACTGTATTAGGCAGCAGAATGACGGAGCGGAGAATGTCTTGGCCGACGGGGGAAATGCCCAGAATTGTTGCCGAGAGAGGAAGTCTTGGTGGGGTTGGTATTATTACCAAATACGCCAAGAACTTGCTATTCGTAAGTAATTGTCGCATACATACTTGTATTCAGAGAGTACTTTGTAGAGAAGATGTTATTTCTATGTATCTACAAATATAATTATCATCATGTATAGAGTACAAGTACAGTGTGTATCATTATGAATAATACAAATTTATCTGACCGTGCATAATAATGTCATCCCTGAACAGTCAGCACAGCCAGTCTTGGCCCGGTCTTGTCCCAGTCTTGGGCCTTTTTCCGCCCGGCTGTGCGGCGGCGTTTCTGGGCATTTTTCTCGGCAGTCCCAAGTCCCCTCGTCTATATCCCCCGGTGTCTTCCCCCAGGTTCTCCTTATCTTTCTTTCTACTTCTCTTGTTTATTTCTCTATCTGTCCTTCTCCCTTTTTTCTATCGAACACTCGTGATTACACTTCTACCAAGATACCTACAGTCATTTTCTCATCGAGTTCTATCGTGTTGGACCCCTTATTTGTGCGCCCGTGTTTGGCCACGTCCACACGCTGTCGTGTTGTTTGCCCTTTCTTCTAATCCCTTTATCTAGTTCTATTTATCTCTCGTGGCTGCTCCCCCTATCTCTCTGTTAATTCCGCTGCTTCCAAGAAATTGACAAGAAAACACTCCTGGTCTTGGCAATGTCGGACCACCAAGAAACCCACGCTGCTGCTGCCACTGCGCCCGCGGCTGTGCCGCAGGACCAGCACCATAATCAGCATCCTCAACAAATAGCAACCGCAACATCTCCTACGACTGCTGCTCAGACAGCATCGCTGCCCACGGCTCCCGTGACTACTTCGCCGTCGGCCTCGGTCGCGGCAACGGCCGCCGCGGCCACCGCTGCTGTGAATCAGAACCACGCCGCTGCCGCCGCTCGTCCGGGTGAAGAGCTCGCGTGTTTATGGCAGGGATGTTCTGAGAAATCTCCTTCGCCCGAGGCTCTTTATGTAGGTTTATTCTCTCTTTTAGTTCTCGAATAAGGTAGCTGACCAGCCAGGAACACGTTTGTGAGCGCCATGTCGGCCGCAAGAGTACCAACAACCTTAACTTGACTTGCCAATGGGGTAGCTGTCGCACTACCACTGTCAAGCGCGACCATATCACCTCGCACATTCGAGTCCATGTGCCGCTTAAACCGCACAAGTGCGACTTCTGTGGCAAGGCTTTCAAGCGTCCCCAGGATTTGAAGAAGCATGTCAAGACCCATGCTGATGACTCTGTCCTGGTGCGGTCTCCGGAGCCTAGCACCAGGAATCCTGATATGATGTTCCCTGGACACGCTAAAGGTTTGTTTCCCCTTGTCTCTAATCTACTCGGTACCCCTTGGACTGAGACTAACTTGCTCCTCTTGGCTTCAGGATATGCTACTGGTGCTCATTACTTTGAGCCTGCATTGAACACCATCCCGGCCCAGGGATACCCTCATGGGCCTCCCCAGTACTATCACTCGCACCCAGCACAACCCCCGAACCCATCGTACGGCAATGTTTACTACACCCTTAACCAGGGCCAGGACCCTGGGCATGTGTCGTATGAGTCGAAGAAGCGCGGGTATGATGCGCTCAATGAATTTTTTGGTGACCTGAAGCGTCGCCAGTTCGACACCAACTCGTACGCCGCGATCGGCCAGCGCCTTCTGAGTCTGCAAAATCTGCAGCTTCCCATCCTCAGCGGCGGTCCCGTCCCTGAGTACCAGTCCATGCCCGCCCCAGTGGCTGTACCTGCTGGCGGCGGGGGTGGTGGTCCTGGTTATGGCGGCCCACAGCCGGTTCAATACCAGCTGCCTCCCATGGCCAACGTGCGCACTAAGAACGATTTGCTCAACATTGATCAATTTTTGGAGCAAATGCAGAACACCATTTACGAGAGCGAGGACCATGTCGCTGCAGCAGGTGTCGCGCAACCGGGTGCCCATTACGTGCAAAGTGGCATGAATTACCGCGCTACGAACTCACCACCCAGCCAGCTGCCGCCGAGTCATGCCACAGCGGCGACCACTGCTGCTCCTATGTTGAACACTACCGCAACAGCACACTCGCCCCCTACGGGCACCCCGGCCCTGACGCCACCATCAAGTGCGCAATCGTATACATCGGGTCGTTCCCCCATCTCAGTCCATGACAGTAGCAGCTCGAGTATGTACCCGCGACTCCCATCAGCGACCGTACCAGACACCATGGGAGGTGGATACGTGACTGCGTCGAGCGCAGCCCCCCCATCAACGCTGAGCGGAGTATTTGACCACGATGACCGCCGTCGCTACACAGGAGGCACTCTCCAGCGGGCGCGGCCGGATGATAGAATGTCGGTCTCCTTGGATTCCGAAAATGGCGATTCCGATGGAGACCGCACCCCACCTGCCAAGCAACCGTCTGCGGGTCCTACCTCTACGGGACAGGAAATCTCAGCCAGTCTGATTGACCCCGCCCTGCACTCGAGCGGCAGTCCCTCATCATCGCCTTCATCGGCGGACGCAGACGCAGACGCGACGCTCCGGACTGCCCAGGCTGCCACCGAGGTGGCGGAGCGGGCGGATTCGCAGTGGGTAAGTCTGGTGCGGGCGCTAGAAGGTCTACGGGGTTGGATTAACTACCGGATTGATCATGAAGAGTATGACGAGGAAGAGCAGGCCCAACGGCGACAGCAGCAGGCAGAGAAGGAGCAAGCAGAGCAACAAATGCAGTCTCCAGAACCACCCGTAGAGCAGCATACCCCAGAGCAACCGGAAGCGCCATCAGAGGATGTTGCGATGGGTGGAATGGAGATGGGGACGGAGAAAGCGGTCAAGGCTGAAGGGCCGGGTGAGACAAGTGAAGAAGACACGGTCATGTATCCGACTCTACGGGGGTTGGATGAGGATGGCGATTCGAAGATGTAGTTTCTTTTATATTTTACTCTTCTGTTAATTATGGTTATGATTGTTTCTATATCTCTTTTGTTATTTGTATTCTTGTTTACCAGGTGTGTTGTTACCGCCGAAATGGGATACTTTTTTTGTGCGGGTCCGCGAAGTAGCTGGAGTTTTTTTTGGCTGCAGGAACGGATCGCCGGTTGCAGATGCATTGTTGTCTTATTGTGTGCATTCTAGTAGTCTTATCACCGGCAGTAGTGGGAGTCCAGTTGTACTTGGTTGTATACAAGTGGAAGCCAATACCGAATTCGGCATTCCCCATGACGCAAACAGTTGTCTGAGAACGAGACAGTGGGATAATAATATTGTCGGAAACAACGTCTTGTCTTATTTTGATATTTTATATACAATAGCCCTCTATTCTTTCTAAAATAATCTCTTTTATCACACACACTCTCTTTCTTTCTGTTTACTGCTGACCTCATAAAAACCCGGTGGCGTCACTGTTTTCCTCCGCCTTTAATTTTCCAGCCTCTTTTCGGCCACTCGGATCGCGTCTAACCTCCTACTGTCAACGGTTATTTCTCTCCAACGACAACAGTTTGGATAGCTATATCAGTGGCAAATACAACTTCCCTGGTTCAATATTCTCTTTTCGCCTTCCAGTCGCCTTCTTGCGTGGTCTTGTTTTGGCCTGTTTGGGGCTCTGAGGTCACGCTCGTGGTTATCGCACAACATCAATACCCCCCGTGCGAGATTACTTTGTTGCTCGTACTTAACAATCAACTCCGAGATATACGCAATACGGTAGTTATATCGACTGAGCAGAGTGAAACAGAATATTAAGGATAGGATATTATAAAAAGAGAAAAAGGAAGGAACAGAAAATGCCGCTCTCCAACAGGCGTCGCGCGCGCCGCAAGGAAATCCAACTGCAGGAAACATCCGACGTCGAAGACCTCCCCGATTCGTCGCCCAGTCGACCAGCCAGTAAGAAGCGCAAGGTAGCTATACCTCAACATTCCACTGGTATTGGAAATATTAACAAAAGCAGGTCGAACGCTCACCACCTCGAGTCAAGCCCGAATCCCCCGAAGCCGACTCAGCCCCCGAAAACAACGAAAACGAAACCGACCTCTCCGCCAACCAAGACCTCGTCGACCTCGTAATCTCCTACCTCAGCGGCCCCCGCGACGATGAAGTACGCGTGCTACGCGACCACTCCAACGCCAAGACTGAAAACAAGCAGAGCATCCGCGCGTACGCCAAGATCGCCGGCCGGAACTGGACGTACTACGTGAAGACGCTGCATGTGAATATTGGTCGTGAGCCCGATCGCGAGCAGAAGCTGGATGAGCAGTCGAGTCCGGTTACGATTGCTGCCAGGGCGCTGCCGGAGGTTCATGTGGATCTAGGGCCGAGCAAGTTTGTGTCGAGGCTGCACGCGGAGATTTTCTATGATGGGGAGGAGACGGCGAGTTGGCATATACGGGTTAATGGAAGGAATGGGGTGCGGTTGAATAATGTGGTGCTGAAGCGCGGGGTTGATGCTATTTTGTCTTGTGGAGATATTATCGAGATCGCTAATACGCAGATGATGTTTGTGACGCCGGGTGATAAGGCGAACATCCACCCGAGTTTCGTGGAGCGCGCCCATCGTCTGGCTAACGGGGAGGAGGAGCCTGTTGCGTGGGATCCGAGTGCTCAGGCGTCGCAGACCTCCGTTGCTAATACGGCTGCCGCCTCGTTTGATGACCCGCTACCTCCTACGTCGAATGGCCAACCGTCGCTTGCGCCTGCACCGCACTTCCTCAAGCGACAGGTCACTCCGCCGCCGCGCTCGCCTGATACCATGGGCGCGCGGACAGCTAAGCAGTCGCCGTTGTACAACCGGGGTATGATGATGGAGAGTACCGAGGAGATTGACTACAGCAAGGACTCGGCCAAGGATCTGAAGCCGCCTTATAGCTATGCGACGTTGATCGCGCAAGCTATTTTCTCGAGTGAGGAGGAGAAGCTCACCCTGAACAGCATTTACAACTGGATCATGGACAAATACGCGTTCTATCGTCACTCGCAGAGTGGATGGCAGGTGTGTTTCGTCATCTTCTCGTGGTGAATGTGTGTGCTGACTATATAGAACTCCATCCGGCACAACCTATCCCTAAACAAAGCATTCCAAAAAGTCCCTCGTCGAACCGATGAACCCGGCAAAGGAATGAAATGGCAGATCGCCCCAGAATACCGTGAAGAATACTGGAAGAAGCAGTTGCGCAAAGGAGGACCGCAATCTTCCGCGCCATCATCACCAGCCACCAAAGAACCCTTTTCCCGAGCCAACGGTCTAAGCGCGATGTTCTCCGCCGAAAAGAGATCCCCCCAAGTCTCCTCCCCAGGTTTCAGCTCCTTCCCCGTTGCACCAGTCGAAGCCTACACACCTGAACGAGGCACCCGCGGCGCCGCAGGCGTCCCCGACCTCCGAATGCGCCACAAAAACGCCCGCGACTACGAAGAGCCCTCTCCCCTCCCAACCCGCTCCGCAAACCGCAACAAAAATGCCACCAGCGGCCAAAACAGCCTAGGACGCGCCTACGGCCTCTCCGACAACGTCGCCAACTCACCCCCCGTCCTCTCCTCCTCCTACTACAATGAAGAACCATCAAGCATGATAACCCCCGCCCCGCAACGCCAACAACCCCGCCTCCCACCCCCCTCCACCGCGCAAATCCCGTCAAAATTCATGCCCATGAGCTCGCCAGCGCAGTTCTGGAAGTTCGCAGATATAGGGAGTACACCTGCACGGCCGGTGCCGGATATGAGTCCGTTGAAGGGCGGGATTGAACCCGGTGATGGGCTTGGGAGTATTCCGAGTAGTAGTCCGCCGCCGCCGAATCTGGCTAGCCCTAGTAAACCAGGGACGTCGAATGGATTGGGGCATGGACGGTCGTTGTCTGGTTTGAAGGAAGAGGATGGAGAGAGGGAGGCAAATGGGTTGAACCAGGCGGATGTTCACGAGGATGACGAAGAGGAGGATGAGGGGTTTGATCTTGCGAGGTGAGTTCACCTTTCTTGTTATGTATATATCTTTGGATGATTGCTAACGAGGACAGGGGCTTCCAACCAATCGGCTCATACCATCGACAACTAAGTAACGCGGCACGCGCGAGTGCAGCAACATCTTAATGCTTTCTCTTTTCTTGTCTTTATTGATTGTTTATGGCTAGCTCTGCATAGATGGTGTTGGCATTGGTGTAATAGCTGTGATGGATTGCGCATGGGCATGGGAATGGAGTGTATTGTTATGCTGGACTTTTTATATAGCTTGATGTTTACTGTTTTGCAGCAGCAGTAGTAGAATGGGTCTTGTCTGTATGGATGGATGAAATGATGATTATCATGATTTCTAATATTTTTCTATGGTGGTTGGTTTTATGGTGGTGTAGAGTAAAAGTGAACGTGTTGAAGCAGTTGAGCGGTTGAGCATACATTTGTTTCACCATTATCAAGGCGGATTCCTTCATCTTCACCTTCAGTGTCAGTGGTAATAATTTATTTTAAAGTTACTTCAAACAGCTCTGCTCCACTGCAGGTTAGCTGCATCACCGGAAACAACAATTAGGCAGGTGGTGACAATAGATTGCTACAGGGGTACGCTTGTATATAGTAAGTCAATGAAGTCCACCCGGACTGGACAATAGAACCTAGCCATGCGATGATGATAAGTTAGTCGTTGTGGTTGAGCGGAAGACCATTGACACTTGACATTACACGATAGAGAAAAGTCCTCGGTGGGTTCATCAGACTAGAACTACGTCGGTTTTCCCTTGCTTTAAGGCTAAATTGCGAAGTAGACGAAGCACACAAAACAGAAGCTTGCATTAGCACATACAAGACAGCCTCTAGAAACCAAAAAATTGAGCCAGCGAGTGTCAACAGTGCCTGTATTTGTGACATTGATCAAAGGAATGAGCTCTGTTTGTTTCAAAACAAGAAAGCAATGAAGAGCTTTTTTCATTGATGATCGAGTACGAACTTGGAATGATACCCTTTGACACACACACACCATGAGCTAGACAAATGCGAACAAGAATTTAAGGACCGGTGCTTGGGCTGTACGCCATCTAAACCACATATCCAACACCGTTGTTACTGGGCCTATAGACACAGTATGGCCCACTTAGAAAAGTTACCGAACTGTCTGTGTCTGCCGACCCAGACACCATGATACACCCACTACCGTGGAACGTGGGTGCTAAACAGCTCAACAACATCAGTGACTAAGAACTTCGATGACAAAGTGAGAAATCTTAACAACAGCAAACAAAAGAAATGGCAAAAGGTGACCTTCTGAACGCAAGGAGGTGGTGAGTTCAGGCAAGTATAGCCAGGCAAGAAAGGATGCTAGCCTGGTCATAGTACAATGTACTATAATGAATTCATGCTGTTCCATTGGGACAACAAAAGCTGGGACTGTAATTCACAAGACATTCGACACCGGTGTCAGAAGAGTTCAGAGGATTGTGTCTGACCATTGTTTGATGCCTTTATAGTCGACGAAGCGCACGTCTATCCCCATGCAGTCTCCGGAAGTAGATGTCCTTACACGACTAATGTTCTGCTACTCGATGATATGGTCTTATGGGGGTTTAGTCAAGGACAGTGTGATTTCAAGTACGGTAGAAAATGACAAGGCGAGTCCGATTGTCCAATGTTGATAGTAAGTGAATACACCAGGGAGTGCTAGCTTATAGCACACATATGATATGTCATGACGATGAACTGCGCACAATGGAGAAAGAGCTTGGTCTGCTATACCCGTATATAGAAGCGATTATGATTGTTCAACAGCCGGCCAAAACCTCTCCTCCAACCAAATTACCTGTCTCCACCAAAACGCACATCTCCCCAGAACATCCTCCCTCGACTCATTCCCTTTGACCAAGCCCGCCATCTCATCAACGACATCCCCAATCTTATGCACAAATGCCTCAAACTCAGGATCCGTCCAATTGGGAATAAACTGTTTCCGAAGCGCGCCTCCGTCTTGATCTCTCTCAGGAGGCGAAGAAACAGAAGAGGATAAGGAAGAAGCATACTGCCATGCCCGCAGATAGCAAATCTCCGTCGCCCAAAGCACAACCATCCCTTCCAACACAGTCGTCGCAGGGCTGGAAGCCGACATAAACAGATCGATATACGCATGCGTTATCGGATTCGGCCCAAACACCTTCGCACCAACATCCTCCGCCTCAAAATCTACCGGCAATGCCTCAAGATCAAAATTATACTCCGCCGCAACATCACCGAAGAACTTTAACTCCCTGCGGATATTCACCAGCGCGTCGATCAGTACGTCCACCGCGCGCCCCTCCGCGGTTGCATGCGATGACTTCGCAGGGTCGGGGTTGTGAGAGGGTAATCGGAGTTTTGCCAGGAGGGAGCCGATGAAGCGAATGTAGGATTGCGCGTAGAGACGGTCTTGGGAGAGCCAGGATGAGAGGATGCGGGGTGGGAGGGTGCCGGTTCCGGCGGCGCGGAGAAAGGGGTGTCGCGTGGCGGAGTGGAAGAAAGAGTGGTGGAGAGTTTGGAGGTGAGATGTTAGTGGTGTTGCCATTGTATGTTTGTGCGAAGGTGAATTGGTGGTTGTAGTCGAGGTTGGTGGTGTTGTTGTGTTTTGGAGATTGCGATAATGTTTGTGGAGGGGTTGTGGCGATGACGTCAGTGCTATTCCGCTCTATACAAGATTGGACTGAATTCTCATAGTTGATATATTAAGCTTAGATACAATAACCTAATGAGAACCCTTGGCCAACACGCTCTGCACTACCTCCGCATGTCGCACCAACTTCTCATCCTTCAATCGGCGGCCAATGAGCTGTACATGGCAGGGGGCATTCTCAATCTCCTTTGGTAGATCTGTTCGAGTCAGGGAAAGTTTCGAAAATCCATAAGGATCATAATGACTTACAAGGAGGAACATAGGCGACATCCCTGGTATACTCAGCATCCGCAACCTCATTCGCCTTGCCAAACGGAATTATGCAAGCAGGGTACTACCAGTGTCAGTATGAATCGCGAAAGAAAGGAAGAGAGGACAGCGTACATCAAGCACGTTAGCAAACACCGTGTATACCGGGAACCCATACGTATCATGCGGCACCGCACAAGTCTGATAACCAGGCCCAATGATCGCATCCAAGTGATTATCCAGGAACACCCGACGCATCTGCTCCACAATTTCACTCCGAGCCACATTAAGATCATACAAATCACGCAAGGTCGGTTCGGGGTCGCTGCCTTCAGGTTTATAAGTGGACGCCAATGAGGCGATTTTGGGTTCTTGTCCGTTGGCAATATGCTTCAGTGGCGTGTTATCCGGATCCAAACAGAAGTAGCGTAATGAGAGATCTTTGACGGCTGACAGAGACGGCACTTTTCCAGAGAGATTGACAATATGATGACCAGCTGCTGCTAGCTTCTGTAGCACTGTTTCCAGCGTACGCTCCATGGGCGGATGGAGAGGAGCCTGAGGGTCTTCGGGGAGAACCCCGATGGTAAGAGTGGATGAAGCACTCACTGGCTCGGTCCAGGGCACGCCAAGGGCTTTATCATCGAAGTCGTCAGCATGAGCGTCGAACACTGTCCGGAGGAGTAACTCTGCATCGCGGGTGGAATGGCACAGTGGCCCCGCGACTGCCTCAATGCCTGTCAATCCATCGCGCCCGGGACTAGTTTGGCCACCGCACGGCACCCGACCAGCAGAAGGCTTGAAGCCAAAGGTACCACAACACAGCGAGGGGATCCGAATTGATCCTGCAACATCAGTGCCTATTCCCAGAATAGACCCGCGCATGGCTACCAGGGCACCTTCGCCCCCGCTGCTCCCGCCAGCAGTGAGAGAGAGTCGGTGCGGGTTCAAGACGCGTCCGAAAACGTTGTTTTCTGAATCGGCTGTCATCATGGTCTGGGGAACGTTTGTTTTGACATATAGCACGGCACCTGCGGCTAGCAGTATTTCTACCATGGCCGAATTGCTGCGTGGAGGCGGGTTATCCAGGAAGGAGACGAAACCCAGGGAGGTAGGTACGTCGACAACATTAAATGGCTCCTTGATGCTGATAGGAAGGCCATGTAGAGGACCCATGGGCTTGCCGCTAGTGGCCAAATAGTTATCGAGTTGTCTGGCGCGAGCCAGTGCAACATCGAAGAACGTCTCCGTCAAGCAGGACGTGAGTTGCTGGGCTATTGCGGCGCGCTTGCAGAATGCCCGGGTGACTTCTACCGAAGTAATTTTCCCGGTAGCCAGCTCTGTTAGTAGAGCGGTGGCATCGTAGTCCTCAGTGATATGAAGTTCTTGCTCCGTGAGTAGACCACATGCTCTAGGAACATCGATGATACTCTGCTTGCTTCCCGATGCTTGTTGCAGGATGTCGGCAGACAATCGCCATTCTGCGGGGATCTTGGAAGCGGCTTGAGCTTGCTTAACTTGGACCTTTTGCTGCCAGTCGGTGATAGTCATGGTGTTGTTGGTTGTCTGGGAGGAAGCGGGGAATGAAATAGAGTCGGTCGATTTATTAGGTGGCAGATGGTGTTCCACAAGGTATTTATCAGGCATCTGTTCCCCTCCTGGACAATAAAGTCGGCTTGTCGAATCGGTTGGTTGTTACTTTGAAAGATGGGTCCCGAGAAGCCAAGAATGAGCTTTTATGTCTTAATATGTTTGGTATTGCAGCCAGTTGGTACGGTAGTTGCGGGAAAATCCGTGTATAAACAGTGGAGAAGGTAGTGCATATATCTGTCTATGCATGATCTTTCATGATCGTACCGTATCTACGCACGGTTACTCCATTCCGAAATCCCCAAGCAGATAATTGTTCATAGGAGGGGAAGGTCGTTCCATACGCGACCAGATCATGCCAGTGGCAATATGCCGTGGAACGTTTCACCTTTGCAAGTCTCCATGTATATAGCAATGATCTCACCTTTGCTCCAAAATCTCTTTAGCAAAAAAAGCCGGCTGTAGACTGAGGTTGTTGGTGCGATTGCATTATGAAATCGACTTCCCAATTTATGACGAAAGGCGTGCCTATTGCCTGGTGTGAACTTTGGGGATATTGTCGAGGTGACTGACTACTGCAGATAATGTTTATTGTGTCGCTGAAGATCCCAAATCCAGGGCGCCCGTGGCGAAGATACCTCCGCGAGCCAGGGAGCCAGTTCCATCCTGCAGCTATTGAGAAACTTGTCTCATTGCTCCCCAATTTGGAAAACATGCATATGGAAATGAATATGCCTAGGTCTAAGCGAGTGGAACTATGAAGACAACACTTGTTGGGTAGGTCTCCTTAGCAGAATTTCTGATAATAAGTTACCTATCTGATGAGTGCAGCTCTTTAGCTATCGTATCACAACGTCTCCTGAATCTGAGTTCCCTGAAAATATACACCGATCAGATAATTCCACGAATTCATGGCCTTAGAAGAAACCAACACCATGGTGCCATTTATCCCAGTGGTGATGTTCTGAGTGCGGCACTCCGAAAGCTAGCAGCCTAGCAGAACGGGCCCCTTTGACAAATCCTAGACTCGAGGGACAGTGGCAACTCTCCCCAGCATCGTTTGAAGGGGATATTGAGTTCTCCCATCTAAGGAAGGTTGAAATTGAATGCTCCGTGCTTATTATGGAAGATGGTATTACACTGGCGATCCTAACACAGTGGAGGCTGAGTATCCAAGGACTCGAGTGACACGTGAATATCAAGAAGATAGTGATCCCGACATATCGCTTCGCTCCGAGTCTGAACAAGGCGACAGGCGGGGTAGTCTCAAAGACGAATCTCGCGATGGTAAAATCCCGAAGCACATTTGGAGGACGGAGCCGGCCGTGCAGCTGTTCAATCCGCTCATGAAGGTGCTTGTCGCCCTGTACTCAATCTGCAGAACATGATCTCCACTATTGCGATGGATGCAGAGACGACCGTCAGGATGGAGAAGCATAGCTTTGGCATCGAATTTGCTGGGGCCGGGGTAGAGTATTGATACAAGATGAGCCAATTGACGGATGATGAGGGACTGAATTGGTGCTACGTGAATCTTAAGCCGCAGAAAGGGAAGTTCCGAAAGATATAATGTCTTTGTGCAAGAAATATGTGGGCAAAGCAAGAGAGATTTTCGTGAGGTACGATGAGTATCTAAAAGATTTTTTTACAACCTAGGGGGATTACTGCATCAGACATAGCGCCTGCCACTCTTAGGCTCTTAATGTGTTGAAGAGATAGACCGATTCCCTTCTGAAATACAGCAGTTTTCTTTCAGATCTCCTTTGGTCGCTCTAGGCGGCGGGCATGGCTGCTACTGTATGTAGGTAGATCAATCTCATAACACAACAATTTTAGCAGCCTCTGTCATCGGAATGCTGTACCACTAAATGGTGCTGATATGTGGGGAGACCAGTGCTACAGACATGGAGGACTATAAAGGTGGAGTGCTCCACGGCATATTGCCAGTTCCTAGAAATAGTGGCATATGACCCGACGTTTCCTACTAATGGATAATGCGAGGATCAGGGGCTCGGTGCTAGAGGGATTTCATGAAAATACAGTATAATCAGCGCGAGGATCTCCTGACTGGGAGAATTCATCGCTGCTTAACAAGGAGCGGGAAGCGTAGAAAGACTGAAGGGGAATGATGTTGACCGTAGTGGAGGAATCAAAAGGCTTTTGTCTGTAAAGAAGGGCCTTGATAGGTTGTCATGCGGCTGCGTAGGCTTTCTGTAAGCATTCACTAGACAGAGGAAATGAGGTACTCGCACCTTTGATGTATAAGTTGTCTGGTAAATTGAGTAATTCCTAGAGGCCCTGAGGAGAGCAAGAACAACCTGGACCCAGCTTCTTTCCAGCCGCAGAATTGCATTTGAAGTGAGCTTATGAAACCATAAGTCTGATATATCAGACACGTTCAATGCTTTTCGAAAACACCTGTGAGTAAAAATGAAATACTTAGGAACTGAAATCAAGCGTATGTGACGATACCATATCGTGCTTCTTTCTAATATCAACTCAACTGGATTGAGACAATCCCACCAATCAGTTGCTAAGTTGAGTATTCGATTGCCTCTTTGGGCATCACACCAAAGAGGATTCGAAAGCCAGCGTTCATACTTTTATGTCTCTCCTTAGTACTATATGCGCAAGGTCGAAGTTAACAAGCGTATTATAATACTGTAAATGCTTCTAACATGCCAGGCGGTGCACATAGCAATTACCGGACTATACATAGACCATCAAGGAAGTGCGAAGTAAACCACACATCCTCGACACAGTTGGCGAAGGCCAATCCCACTGCGGCTCGGTTATATTGGGCAGGGATTGTGCCTGTAGGACAGGGCAAACCATCAAGGACATGTTCCACAATGCATCTCTAAGCGAGGAAGGAGATTGCTCAAGTCGGCTTCCGCTCTGATAAATTGCAGGGGGCCGATTCCTGCAGTCCAAGTAGAAAGCCTGCAAGCCACCACAGCCAACAGGCTCAACTAACCCAAACCGAGCCTGTTCGGTGATGTAGATTGTCAGGCCAGCCCTTCCGAAAACACTCCCATGTTATAAAAAGTAGCTCGATTACGGCGGTCCCCTACATGAATGTGCTGCCAATTGGACAATGATGAGACCTACACTTGTGAAGAAACAATGCTTACGATAGCCATGATAAATACTGTTAGTTCCCGGGTTCTGTACTTGATTCGCGGATTTCTGCCGTTTGTGACACTTAGCGCTGTGTACTCGGCGGAGGCAATCAATAAAATTGCACATACATTAAATGAGGACATGGGAATGCTTGCTTCAATCTTTTTGTAAGCGCCTGGCGGTAGCTGGGAAGGATAAAGGAAAGTCCTCGCCATGAGGAAATGATTATCTGTTGCTATATAAAGCTCGAACATCCCCCAGCACTTGTTGACAACAGCATCATGGAATCAATTCTCACTTTTACACCCTCCTTGAAACCTGCGATAGTATCTTACCCGTAACTTGATATTAAACTTACTTTGCAATTATTCTTCTTTCGAAACGAACACAACACGACGAGTAAATGCGAAGGTACTCCAGAGTAATGGATGAGGAGAGGCTGGTACAGCCCGGCCTGTCAACCATTTACACTGGAAAAAACCCTCTTATCGAGTAGGTTACATAACCATTAATGTCCTTATTAACCTGCTGCTATTGTTAATCCCCTCCAGCATTATAGCGGTTGACGGTCCCGATGAAGACGTATTTGAATCCTTTACATCCAAAAATGGAACATTCTGGCTTGAAGATAAAGATATGCTCCCAAAAGATATCCCAAGCTGCCGCATTCTCACATTCAGATATTCTACGTCTCATTACTCAGATCCTGCAATAGTGCTGGTAGAGGATCTAGTTGCTGATCGCGATGTAGGAATCCAACCCCCGTGATAGAGCCGTACCATATATGCTTAATACCTGCAATAGGAGATTTCCAAGAGAAGACCAATTATCTTTCTCTGTCACTCATCAGGAGGAACACTTGTTCGGGATGTATGTGCACTGACCTTTTTTTGAAATACTATTTGCGTGCTGACGATCTATGATAGGCACTAGCATACTCCGAGAGCCATGAAGGCAGAGAGAAAAGAACAGAATCTACCCGCTCAATTTGTGTCTCAACATTTGGCCTCCTCTTGTTTGATGATGGGAGCTTACTGAAAACGGGGTTAAAGCTTCTCCAAATCATTCCCAACAACTTTCAAAAGTTCTGCGATCACATTGCTTCGGAAGCGCCATACTCGAGTGCTGACTCTAGATCAGAGGACGTGAGTGCCTTTCGGCTTTTCGTTCCTGGGAAATAGGGCTAATAATAATATCTGGTTATGGTACAGATCTCTGAAATCCTTGGATACAACAGAATAACAGAAGAGCACCAAGATAAATGCAAGTTTTCCTCTCGAGCCTCGTCAGGATATAAGAAGGCCGTGCAGACCTTGCTACAGTATTCTGATGAAGCATCTCGTGCAATCCCATACAGATGGGAAGTAAAAGGATACGGTTCATGATGAGAACTTTCAATGTTGGGGGGATAGAATCCGGGGCAGACAGGAAGATACTCTTTATATAATAAGCTATTAAACATCTGTCATAGAAGTATCCGGAGACGGCGGACTTCAGGATAGCCAATGGCATCCGCTTTGCTTGAATATCAAAGAAAAGATTAATTGATGGAAAATCTCAGTCCCGAATAACCTGGGACAAAAATACGATGCGACCATTGACACAAAGTACCAGTCATTCAGTGCCCTCGCTGTCCCATAACTTGTCTGACCTTTTCCATGATACCGCCTGCATTGGCAAATGAGCGACACCATATAAAGAATAAAATTGCAGTGAAACTTGAAAGGAGGTCTCCTATTAGGCTTGTGAGAGATATATACAAATAATCGTTGCTTAAGAAAGTCATGACAAGCATTTCTGATGTCTTTATCCCGCGCTTAAATTGCGGATTCTTCTTATTTGTTACTCTTACCAGTCGCGCACATGATGGATGCAATCAACATGGGCGCACACATATCACCGAGTCAGGTTGCTTGCATCGTGGAACATCAACCATGGGCGCTTTGGTCACGAAAGTGGCTGGCATCTACTATAAATGGTTTCTGTCCCTCTCCCCTTGACCCTACAACAAACTTTCAAAATTCGAAACGCCCTGTCGTCCTCATCTAAAATCGAATGCTTTGCAACCCCATCTATAACCTGATTAAAGCTGACCCGTTGTCATCAAATGCATAGAATGTGTCTACCATTTTCGCTATCACGACACAGGCGTTTCAAGGAACAAAATGCCCTGGACATAGAGCAGCAGCACACAATGGAGGAACTCAGGCCGGGCCTTACCACCGTCTATAGCGGTCAGGATCCTGTTGTTGAGTAAGTGGCACAATCCATCCATGTCCTTGTCAATGTTGCTAATTACTTCTAGTATTGTAGCAATACACAGCCCGAATAGAAACCCTATCAAATCGTTTACGTCCACTGCAACTGGAAAATTCTGGCTTGGTGATGGCGATATGCTCCCAAGAGATATTCCAAATTGTCGCATCCTCACATTTAGTTATTCTGGTTCAGACAGCATAATGGCATCTGCAACGCAGTTGGTGGAAAGCTTGGTTTATAATCGCCGTGTAAGGCTTAGTTTCCTGTTCGAAATAAAGAGCTATAACTCATGCAATGTCTGCAGTCAGAGGGTAATATCGAGAGACCAATCATGTTTATTTGTCATTCAATAGGAGGGATTATTGCCAAAAAGGTATGTGGATTCCTACTTATACTTAAAAGCGATTTACTAATAGTATATAATAGGCACTAACCCACTCTAAAGATTGTGGGAATATAGCATTAGAGGCTGCCAATTCAATATATGTTTCAACACACAGCCTCCTTTTTATTGGGATGCCAAATAAGGAAACAAGCTTTGGTAACCTTGCTGCGGTCTTACAGCCCGAGGGAGTTAGTGCACAAGTACTCAATCCTGGCTTTCTCAAGGACGTCGATGATAGGTTCCAGCCGATTATGAATCGCTATCGTATATCCTCTCTCTGGGAGATTTCACTCTCAGAAATAGAAGACCGCAATATGGATAATGTGAATTTCTTTCTTTTCTCCCTCTGACATGTGTTTTCGACTGATGATTTTGTTAGATAATTAGAAATCATCTTGGCTCGTGTCAGTTTCCATCTCGAGAACTGGCCGAATATAAGAAGGTGTCAGTAATCCTGAGACGCTACTCTAAGCAAGCACCTCAAGCAATTCCACCGAAATGGGCGCAGGCAAGAGCTATATTGAAACTGGAACGGACGTATGAGAGGCAGAGTCAACTAGCACCAGCATTCTTCCCAAAGGGGAAAGTAGTAGAAGAAAGGTTAGAAGACTATTTTCACTAGCTACATGAATTGAAGGATGTCATAATAACTTCGAATATATTTTACTTCACGGTTTCACAAACGCTGTCCCAGGTGCCTAACTCGCCCTAGTGGCATTCGGTATATAAACAAGACGAAAATATTTCTCCTTTGGTTGTAAAGTAATAATCAGCACAGCTACAATGTTGACCACACTCGTGATTAGAAACCGCTGCATTCGTCTAGTGCTATGTCTAAGAGAAGGTCGCTGCAGCGCGATACTCTATCCAATTTTCTATCATGGTTGAGAACCGCCATGACTCTGAATCTATAACTTCATGGAACTGGAGACATATCCCAGGGATATGCTTTATGGGCTCCAGGGCACCTCCCAACAATAATCAAGTGCCTTTGTCTTTGGATAATGCTGATATTATAACCATTCTTGGGCCCCATGCACTTATTCAATTAGTACGTACGGCAATTGTACATATATATATTGAGCGGGACCGAGATCATTCATATACTTGTGTCCTGGTCTGGGTCATTTAACTCATAGTGGCAAGTCGTGACAGCATCCTCGGTAACACCTGTCATGGACGACACAGCCTCTAGCGGAATAGATACAGAGCAGCGAGATATGTGTAAATTCGAATCTCAGAGCTCACAGGATATGAAGTGGCAGTGGGAACTTTAATGGATTATTCTGAAAGACGACTGGAAAGTATTCCGCGGAGATGGAGGAAAGAAAGAGTACTGTAAGTCAGCAATTCACCGTTACAGTAAAGATTTTAGTCCACTAGTACCGGTGAACTTGGAGGACATACTCAAATTAGCCGGGTCGATGGTGGTGAGTGCATGTTTCAACTGGGAGAACCTACTGGAGAGGATGTATCCGGTCTGGCGGGAATGGAATAGGAAGAGCTCCATCATTCGATATCCTGTATTCGCTCAAAGAACTCCAGACAGTAGATTCCACGAGGTCTCAGATCCTAAGCACCGGGTGGAAGACATCCATTTTGGCAGCCAATGACTTGGATTACGAGTTGATTGTTGGTAGGGCTTTCAGTAGCAGCATATATATCAATTAATGGGCAAACCACTGTCATGGTCAAAGAAGTGACATCTCATGACCAAGTCTAAATTTAGAAGAAAGTAATGACTCCTTGATATTTTCCGTAGAAATACAGACTTAGACATAAAAAGAAGACTGGAGTATTGAAGTGTCGAGGAAGTCGTCCCAAAGGGAAAACCGTCACGAGACTAAGGCGGAGATAAGCCTCACCGCCTAACATTATGTCCGACCAAAATCCTTGAGCGCATCGGAGGACAGACGGACGACTCTCGTCAACCGACCAGCTGTGCCTGCCATTATAGACGCGTTTTTTCTCTTTCAAAACACGGGATACAACGACCGGTGCATTGAAATAAATATCTTGTCCAACAATTTTTCGCGATTCGTTTTTGTGCAACAGAGACCAAGTGACCGGTATCGCATCACCTCCGAACTCCGCTTGCCGTCCCCGATCAGAGCGCAACTTGAATCAAGGAGCTGGCCGGTGCTGGTGTTTGGGAGCTGCACAAGTTGCTACAGCTATCATTACTGCATGGTCTAGGGTTCCTTATTCATGATGTTTGCTTTATTCCACTCGAGATAACTGCCAAACCCTCACCCTGCAGTTATACGAATTCACAAACCATCGCGAACTGGCCTCGGTTCTGGACTTATTCTTGGTATATAACAGACGGAAAATCCTGGATATAGGAAAGAAGAACATTCTTGGATTGACGACAATATGGTTGTCGACTCAAACCCTTACGAGACAGATGCGACACGGATACCTAAAGACGATCCTTATATCTCCCGAAGTCCGCAATACGGCCGCTATGCACCTCGCGATGACGATTTTAAACCCCGCTACGATGGCTGGTACCAGTCGGAACGCGAAGTGAATGCTTACTGGGAGGAGGTTATCAGAAAGGCCTGTGTTCAAGAAAACTCCTTAAACGACCCTAGGATTCAAGATACTTTTGCTATCGGTAGCGTGGTTATTCGAGTCGACAAAGAAGACGTAGACGAATCATCCGTGGAGAGGTATTCCTATGTCAACAGCAACGAAATTTTGTCGACAAGGAAAGCGGAGAATGCGCTGAAGGAGATCGGGGTTACTGTGCCAATGATATACTTCTGTGGGGTTGTTGATGGGAGGAATGTCACGGTCGAGTCGCGCGTGCCAGGAGTCTCTTTGGAAGTTGCATGGAGATATCTTACGTACGAGCAGATCGATAAGCTTAAACAGCAGTGCCGCCGTATCATACAACGACTGGCCGCCGTCGACTGCGCTTCAGATGGACCGTCTTATGTCTGTGGCGGATTAAATTCACATCTCCCGCCTGACATCTCCGAACAAGAGAAGAAAATATTGTTCAAGGAAAAAACAGAGCAGGACACTTTATATTTGACCCACAATGACCTAGTCAGATCCAATATCATCGTCAAGGACAATCAGGTTGTGGGAGTCCTTAACTGGCGACAATGCGGTTTGTTTGGTCTCGACCGTGCCGCCAAAGTGCATAAAGTTTTCAGGGTTCCGGAGATCTCATACCTTAGTGGAAATGGGGATGACGCCGGTGGGGCAATGGCATGGGCCGATCTTTATGATGATGTCTCAGAAACATCAATAAAGAACGAGGCAACAGCGCCGCAAGATGTGACAGAGCCGCAAGTTAAAACAGAGCCCGATGCAATGAACTTGGAGAAATTACCTACTAGCGAAGACGCGGATGCTAAGCCTACTTTGGGTCAACTCGATGGCGCAGATCTATCGAACGAACATCCCACACCAAAGAAAATCGCTAATCTCAAGCACGGCCTGGCCTCCAGAGCATCATCATCAGATCGATCGTCCCCTGCAAACTCTACAAAAGGCTCAGCAACGGGAAGAAAATCCACAGGCGGTGGCAAAAAAGGGACGGCGAAAAAATCAACAACCAAAAAGCGCAAGGTCAATGACCAAGATGCTGAAAGTGTCGACTCGCGACGTTCCAACACACCTTCATCGACCCGTGCCAGCAAGACACCCGTTGCAAAGAAGCAAGGCTCGGCGTCTGCAGCAGGGTCGCCAGCACCGGCACCGGCACCCCAATATAAACCTAAGAAGTCTAAAAAGACCGCTAATAATGACGATGATGACGACGAAGATGGGGTTTTTTGTATCTGTCGCAGAGGGGATAATCATACTTGGATGATTGGTTGTGATGGGGAATGTGATGACTGGTTTCATGGGAAATGTGTCAACATTGATCGGAGAGATGCGGACTTGATTGACAAGTATATCTGCCCGAATTGTCATGAGAAAGGCAAAGGGCGTACCTCTTGGAAGCCAATGTGTCGCTTGCCAGAGTGTCGGAAGCCAGCACGTGTCAACCAGAAAGGACCAAGTAAATACTGCTCAGATGATCATGGCCTGGAATTCATGCGTCTGAAAACACAGCATTTCCTGGGCCCAGGAGCTGCAAGTGCAAATGGATATCAGGACCCCAAAGCCCGAGATGACATTGGCAGCAGAGGTGGCGTTCTCACTGCTAGTGAACTCAAAGCGGCTATAACGGACGCTTCATCTGTAATAGAATTCCGCAGACTAGGCGAACGCATCGTCACACCGCCACCAGAAGATGACGACAGGAAGAACGCTGAGACAGAAGATCAACCAAAGAAGGAAAAGAAACTTGGCCTAGATGTCGATGCCAAGGGCCTCACATATACCCCAGACGAAGCAGCCAAGCTCGAGAAACTCCGCAAACGCCGCAACGAGATCCTCCACCGTCAGGAACTGCTGACATCACGCGATGCTTTTATAAACCTCGTCCGCCAACGATCCAAGACTATCGTAGAACGGTTAAAACAGACAGATCCAAAGGGTGGGTGGAAGGATATCTGCGGGTATGACTCGCGGGTAGCATGGGCGGACGAGGAATTTGACGAATGGAGGCAGACGCCTGTTGGCGAGAAGGCGATGAAGGATGGTACGCTCGATCCTCCTACGGATGCTGATGGCGATACAGCCATGGACGAGGGTGACGGCAAGGAATGTGGCGACAAGGAGGACGATAATGGTATCGAAACCTTAGCCCGCGGTGTCTGTACGAAGAAACGGTGCGAACGGCATAAGCAATGGGTCAAAGTACACCAAGAAGACATCATATTTGAGCAAAACACGGCTCAAGAAGATATTCGGAAATGCGAAAACGAGGCCCAGGTCGTGGTGGAAAGGGCTGTTTTAAGGATGTGGGCGGAAATAGAGAATGCCCATGTTGGCGGGATTTAGCATCTTATATTCATCTAATTCTTGTTGATGGTTGCAGAAAACCTGGCTTGATTGATACCCCTTTTCTGGACATGGAAATGATAAAGGTGGACCGCATATTTGGAGTTGGTATTCATTACATCATAATCTCATTGATAGACGGATATGCCGCATCTAGGCAATAGGAATGAGGCTCGTACCTATAAATTTATTCTATATAAGCCCTCATCGTCCATCCCAAACACATTTCCTTCCTGACCAGTCACCCACCCGATCCTTAATCACCTCTACCCCAACCCTCCCAGCTCCGCTCCTCTCCCTCGATACCAGTAAATGCGTGTCAGTCCCCTGGTCCAAAGCCTTCATAAGCAAACTCGGCAGCAGCACCGATAACTGTTCTCCTTGATAATCTCCATCAGCAACCGCAACATCACCCGTCCCGGTACCCATCCCAAGCCCACTCGTATTAACCAGCAAAACAGAAAGAAATGCCACATACTCCCTTGACAGCCCCGTAAGCGTCTGCAATGCAGCATTTAACACAGCTGTCCCCTTGATCGGGTTCGAAGCGCGGATGACGTTCTCGACGAGGGCATCCAGGCCAGCGATAATCAAAACAATTGGATGGGGATAATGGTTAGGAGCTTGCTGGCGTTGTTGGGTGGTTTGATGTAGTGTTTCTGAGACTTGGGTGATGGCTTGCATAGCTGCTGGGAAGTCATAGACGGGGAGGAGTTGGACGGCATCTAGGCGGGTTATTGCTTCTTCGCGGAATAGGTTGGTGTTGTTTCTCGAAGAGAGAAGAGAGTTGAGGAGATTCTGGGGTGAGAAGATGGGGAGGTTGAATGGGTGGATTATGAATGTGTTGAATGAGCCTGGTGCTAGTGATGGACTTTTGAGGAGATGGTTTGTTAGGATAGATCGGGGGATCTGAAGCCAGTTAGTATTCAGGCTGTTTTCTATAGTATATTTCCGGTGATGTCGTCTCACCCGTCCTATATATTCATGATCGTCATCATCTGCAGCTCTCCTCCTAGGTCGTGAGAAGCCGATGGCAATTCCAGGGCGGAATAATGCATCAGGCGAGCATTGGATTCCGTCCTCAATAGCTGCTCCCAAATTACGATCTCTCTCAGCCGGGACGTTTGGGTCTCTGGCGTTTTGGACTGGTTGGGATAGCAGAGCGTGTGCAAGAACCGGAGGTGCTGGGTCTGAGGTGTATAGAGACATATCTGTTCAAAAAGTGGAACGTCCTAAGGGCAAACGAGCAGAGGTCATGGTAGATTTTAACATGTGAATGTCAGAAGGTGAATCAGTTTACATGAGAAGTTGTAGTGTATCCCGTTTGAGCGCCTGAGGCATCAACAGCATAACAAATGCAGGGTCGACGTTCATTCCTTTTCAATTGTTACTGTTGAAACCCCCAATTCATTAGGTGAGTCAAGAATAACAGTCGTCACTTTTTCTCGGAGCTAGCATGTAGGTCCAGTGCTCAGATCGCACCACAAGGTTGTTCTTAGCGGATGTATATAAATGCTCGTAGACATTTCTCGAGCTCCCATCTTGTTCAATTCCAATACTTTCTAGCTTGGGCACTATATAACCATGGAAGACTACGAACCCGACTTAATTCCAACACCAGAATTCAAAATCCTACATACTCTCGCCACAGACCCAGACGCCTCAGAACCACACGCCGTACATGAATCCCTCAACCTCACCATAGTAGAACTACCTCCCAAGTATGACTTGTCCAGAGACCAACCCGAAAGAAATGTTGCCTGGAATATCGGCGTTTTAACCATCGACATTGCCGCAAAAACTGCACCTGTCCAGCAGACTAAGCTTCTCGATTTCATCTCCCGGCTTCAGAAAGTCATTGTGACATACCCGAGAACGGGGGAGATGGTCAAGTATAGGAATTTCGGGTATCTTTGGACAGATCTTTCGTCATTTGAGATGCATGCTGCTGATAAATATAACTTCCATACGGAGACTTATTTATCTGCTGTCCTGTGGATTAACTAACACGTACAGTTAATCATGCATCCCACACCCAGACGAACTATCAAAATGAGAAAACAGAGATTCATTTATTGCACAGAGCACTGCTGTCGCTGAAATAACATAAAATTCAGAGCTCATGTATACCGTGGTGCATTCGAGGAAGAGCAACGATGTGAAACATCTTTGCGTACTGCGCGTGTTTAGTTTATATGTGCTGCAGAAGCGTTGTTAGAGAATTGCAGAAACAATCGAGTCTATGCTCTGCATAATCATCTTAAGCGGGGGTTTGATCTTCATAGACGGTGTTCGTGGAAACTGGGCCTAATTGACGCTCAAGCTTGGTATGAGGATGAGGGGACACAGGGCTTATTGGGCCTGCTCTGGCACGGATCAATCAAGCAGAGGCAAGACTGAACTGGATACAATCTTATTGTGTTTACAGTGTTATTTCATGGATGAGAAATTTTTTTACGGCCTCTCTAACGCTGAGGAATAGACCTACAATCACCATCTACTTTATTCCAAACATCCCCCCCGTCATACGTCCACGGGGAGCCATGAAACTTGTTATCGAAAATAAAAGACAATTCCGAACGCAGCGCGTCGAACTGAAAATCGCGCGCCTGAAACCGTCGAAGACAACCCCTGTTCCCTAAATGCCCGACAGCATCGGCAATCAGTGTGTATCCCGTAACAAGCTCCATCCACGGATCGCTTGGGTCAATTGACCCCCGCTGCTCGGTTTCGATAACTCGGTCGTTCTGGCAAGGGGCAAGTTGAGTGGTTAGTGATTCCAGGCTTGTCATTAGGGATACTGCACCCAGGACTAAATCCGCGTGGTTGTAAAAGGGGAATACGGCGGTATAGCTGAATGTCGTTAGGCGATTTAGTGAGAGGGTTGAGGGGAGGTCTGCTGGACGGTCCGGTGGATGGGCCAGTGTACCCCATTGGCCAAAGACTGATGGGACGCGGAAGAGGAAGTACTCATAATGGTGATATGCTTTGAGAGAAGAGGCCTCGTTGAACTCGAGCGATTGCCAATCTCGGGCTGATAGAAGGCTCGAATGGTTCTCTAGCAGTGCAGAACCATCTTGTCGAGCATCCCGCTCGAGATGCAGGACCTGAAGTGGAATCTCAAATGCCCAGCTATGTCCCTCATAAATCTGCGTCCCCAGCATCGCCCCGATATACGACGGCGGCGCAACTACCGTTATGCGCAACGGATCCAGCTCGCACAACACCCGCCGCCACCAGTATGGATCCTCCCGACTCTCGGGCGAGTCATTCCCCTTGACCACTATCGATGTTATATGGCGTTTCAGATCTGACTGCGCAACGAAATCCAGAAACGCGCGCTCATTTCGCAAGTCGAAGCAGGCATGCGCGAAGAGCCGAGGTCGCACCAGCGCGCACAGACCGGACGAAACCCGGGAGAGATTCTTCAAATCGCGAGTGCTGTTCTTGGCAATTCGATGACTTGGTGGTTGTTGTAGTCGCGCCAACGAGGGAGGAGGCGCCGCGACGGAGGAGATGATGTAGTCGAGGAGCTCATTCGGCAGGGACTCCAACGGCGATAGCGCTGAGAGGCACATGACGGGACAGCATTTGGCAGGCTGTGGATGGTTCACATGGCGGGGTATCAAACCCCGCAAAGCATGGTTAATTGAATAATTCAGGTAGAGCGATTCGTTAGTAGGAGTGGTGTGTGTGTGGTGGTGGTGGTGGTGATGGCGACCTCGGGAAGGGAGAAAAGGCTCAAGTGCCGATGTGATGGAGGCTCTCCACACGGCCCATATTTGGTCAATTAGAACCAGAGAAGTTCAGAAACTAGAATTCGCATTTATGAATCGGATCTACGCTGTAAAATTTATACAATTCCAAGAAAGAGAAGAAGAAACAGTCCTGTTATACTAGAGAAACTACGTAGAATACATATATATCTTAGTAAGCAGCCCCGCAAACTCTCCATCGGCAAACCTTGAATTTTCCTCTTTGGGGCAGTTCGTATGGCTTCACCGCGACCAAATCATGTGGAGAGCCTCGTGGGGCATCTCGTGCGGCCGTCCTCGGAGCTTCTTTGCCCCTCAGGAGTCGGCACGAGTGTGTTGAGGCGATGGCAATGGATACTCGCCCCTCTTTGCCGCTGAGTCGACTTTCTTCTGTCCCAGATTTCTCTTCTTTCCTTCTGACCCTCCTTGAGACCCTCATTTAAGGACCCTTAGGTATATTCCCCATTATCCTGTGCGACGAGTTTGGGACATTTGCCGAGAACGACACTTACACCGTTTGCTAGAAATATCATCATGTCGCTTCACCGCAACCCTCCCTTCCGTGCTGAGCACCTTGGCTCGTTGCTCCGGACTGATGAGCTCTTGAACACCAAGACCGCCTTTGAGCAGGGCAAGATCCCCGAATCGCAACTCGTCGCTATCGAGGACAAGGACATCAAGGAGGTTGTCGACGCCCAGAAGGAGCTTGGATACCCCGGTATCTCCGATGGCGAATACCGCAGACATAGTACGCCGCTTTTTTCCAGTTCTTAAGATCGATATTGACTGTCTGTAGTGTTCTGGGGCACTTTCTTCCCCGGTCTGGAGGGGTTCGAAGAGGTCAGCGATGTCGACCCCGATGTCTTCCGTAACTACGCCCCCGACGTTGCCGCTTTCCTCGAAGCCGGCCACAAGCCCGGTGAGAGCGTGATTTGCACCGGCAAGATCAAGCACGTTGGTAGCACCTATGTCGACCAGTTCAAGTACCTCGCTAGCTTGGTGCCCGCGGAGGAGGTCAAGAACGTCAAGATCACCCTTGCCGCCCCTAACTGGTACCACCTGCGGTACAAGGAGGGCAAGGCCTACCCCGCCGACGTGTACAGCTCGGACGTCGAGTACTTTGCCGACATCGCCAAGGCGTGCCAGGATGAGCTGCAGATTCTGTACGACGCTGGCTGCAGGAATGTCCAATACGACGATCCCAACTTGGCTTGTAAGTGCCTGCTACATCTTTTCAATAACGACATTCATCGCTAACGATAGCAGACTTCTGCTCCGACAAGATGCTTGAGGGTTGGAAGGAAGACCCCCTGAATAACCAAACCCCCGACGAGCTCTTCACCAAGTACATCAAGCTCTACAACGATGCGCTCTCCAAGCGCCCCGCGGACTTCCACATCGGCATCCACATCTGCCGCGGCAACTTCGTCGGCTCGCGCCACTTCTCCGAAGGCGGCTACGACCGCATCGCCACGAAGCTATTCAAGGAGCTCAACGTCGACACCTACTACCTCGAGTACGATACCGCGCGTGCCGGTGGCTTCCAGCCCCTCAAGGAACTACCCCGTAACAAGAACGTTATTCTGGGCGTTGTCACTTCGAAGTTCCCTGAGCTCGAGGATAAGGAGGAGATGAAGCAGCGGGTGTATGAGGCTGCGAAGTTCATTGCCGAAGGGAATGGGATTTCTGTTGAGGAGGCGTTGAAGCAGTGTGGTGTTAGCCCGCAGTGTGGGTTTGCTAGTCACCGTGAGGGTAACGCTATTGATCGCCAGGGGATGATTAATAAGTTGAAGTTGGTGCGGGACATTGCTAATGATGTCTGGCCTGGTGAGCTGTAAGCGAATTTGTGTAAATAGCTAATGCTGAATTGATTGTTAAAAAGTGATGTATGACATACGCGAGTATATATATAAGTCCGGGGACCTTGTGGAAGATCTACGTTCCTCAAGGTAGGAGTACATTGAACTCAGTCTAAATTAGGATATACAAGCATCGAATCAAATAATTAAACCGTTCATTCAAACTAGTCTAATCATCCTATCTCCAAAACTCCCTTACTCTCCCGGACCCAGAATATTCGCCTCACTAATCGCAGATCTCTTGTGCGTCTTGTTGTTCTCGATCTACCAAAAGTTAGCTTTTCGACCCTTCCTTTCTTCAATGCGAAATGGGGAGACGCACCTCATATCTAGGTTGCTGCTCCGAAGCATGAATGTTTCGATGCGTCATGTTCTGGTCCTCAGTGGCGACGCCGCGGATAGTTCCCACTGCTTCGGAGGTTTTAGAGTCGGGGCCTGTATTGTTAGTATCTTTCTTTTCTGTGGATAAGAGTGAAGGCATACCGCCAACAGGCTTGTAGCGGACAACATCTCCCTCGTCGTATTCGGCGGGCATTTTGTCTTATTTTTTTTAAGATATTTGGTTTCTTTTGAGATGTTTGTGGACAAAGCCGAGTATCACAGTTATTATGATTAGTTATATACCAAGATGAGAAAAGAGAAAAAAGACCAGCAGAAAAAACTACATCTTCAGGGCTATTTATGACTATTCCTGGGTTCTAGAATCATTGCCTTGCCGTCAGAGTGATACACATAGATCACGCCCCCCGAATCTTATCCCCGCGTGGCGTGATAAGACTTGATCGAAACTGAGTGGAAGGGATTGTTGCCCATGGCCCTGGGATAGCGATGTAATGCTGACTACCGCAGATGGTTGATTGGATTGGGATGTCGGGGGGTCATCCGGGGAGAAAAGTGAGGTCATCATTGAGTCGATATGAGGGAAGACTGATTGTTCAGAAGAGACTAAGGAATATGATTAGGACTAGGATTATGCTAGATACAGAGTGGTTGATATGTCTGGTGTTTTGGTATCACTGCACTGTACATGGAGGGGGAAACAGAAATAGATCCGGACGGGACGGGGAGCTTCAATTTTGGGATGTCTAAGCAAGCAAGCAAGCAGCAACAGAAGGAACGTGAAAGACAGGATTATGGATTAGATTAAATAGAGGCCGCGTAAGAACGGAGGGATATCATAGAAGGTAAGAAATGGAAACGGCGGAAAAAGAGAGATGCTGCGTCGGGTCATAAGAACGAACATGAGCAGAGTTGTACACAGGGCACCATTTGAGGGCGGTCGAGAGGATTATTTCTGTGGGGGAGTCTTGACGTTGTTGGAGAGCCAGGCCTGGGCCAGTCAGTATAGAAAAACCAACGAGTGAGAGACAGGAACTCACCAAGCCTTCAAATATACCGGTACCGTCAGTAGCAACACTAGGGGCCACATACCACAGCTTGTCTTTCAACTGGGTGAGCTGCAGCGCATTGATAACTTCCTCGGGGTTGAGGTGGCCCTGGATATCCTGCTTGTTGGCAAACACCAGCAACAGCGCATCCTTCATTTCGCGGTCGTTGATAATCTTGTGAAGTTCGGAACGGGCCTCTTCCATACGGGCCGTGTCGCTCGAGTCGACGACGAAAATCAATCCTTGGGTACCTGAACCAGGTTAGCGATAATCCTGAACCACAGCGAATGTCCGCGCGCACCGGAATAGTAATGTCTCCATAGAGGTCGGATCTTGTCCTGACCACCGACATCCCAGACATTGAACTTGACGTTCTTATAAGTAACACTTTCGACGTTGAATCCGACGGTAGGAATGGTCGTCACATCCTGGTTTGTGAGTTTCAGCTTGTAGAGAATTGCTGTGGAAACGAATCGTCAGTATACCCGTTCCGCTTCCCCTTTTCAAGTCCGGCCGACTCACTTGTCTTTCCAGCAGCATCCAAACCCAACATCAGAATACGCATTTCCTTGGTACCGAAAATCTTCCCCATAATCTTAGAGACCTGGCCACCCATTTTGCACGTAGATATTCCGCGACTCCTGAACGGGTAGCAGACGATCGAGTATTCGGACGGAGGCAATCGGACGGATGTGTTCGCAAAGTAGCAACGGCGCAGGAGAGGAAGGTTTTAAGCAATTGACGACTAGAGGAAACGAATTGAGGACTTCAATTGCGAAATTGCAGGAGTTTGGCCAGGGAGTGAAGCGCTAGACGAAACGCAGGGTCGAGTAATTAGTGGCTGCAGGTCCGCGTCACGACGAGTACAGCAGCAGAGCAGCAACAGGACAACAGCAGGTAAGACAAAAATAATGAAATCAGGCGATGCGCAGCGACAATAACCCAGTAAGTCAACCAAAGCTATTCACAGCCAGTGGTGCACCAGTCGATTTAGATCGAATCTTAAGAGAGAGACGTGAGAAGAAAAAGAAATGACGAGGGAGAGAAAAAGCAAGCAAAGCAGCAGCAGCAGAGTAGCAAGCAGCAGAAGAGAAGAAAAGGAATGAGCGAGAAAGAGAGAGAGCTGAGAAACAGTCGTCGAGTGCTTCATTTCGCGCTTTCTGAGGGGGAGTAAAAGGGGCTGTGCTGACTCAGCAGAGGGGCCAAGCATCCGCCGTTTCGACTTCAGCTTCACTTCTATACCTGGTATCTCTATCTATCACATTGAGATGACCCGTCGAACAGATCTATCGCAGATACTCGTGCCCAAGAGATCTCTCGTGCAAATCAATGCATTATGCGCACTTCATTTGACCTCCGCCAGGAGTATACAAACAAGGGACAATCTATCACCATCCCTAGCGTTGCATATCAATCTGTAAACACAACACGATGCCGGTTTAGGTATTCGAACAGGTACGCTGTACTCGAAAGACAAAAGAAACAAGAAAACAAGAAAATCTCCAACATGATTAATATGTCATTACGATGATGTGAGGTCATATCCAAATCACTCCTCCCATGTAAACCCGCGGTTCCCGAGCCGTAGATTGGGAATTGCTCTGCTTCACTTACGCTTATTTTATTGCCCACTGTGTCGAATTGACTCTGTATGATCGCTTGCTATGATCAAGGAACAGTGCGAAGGCTCGCGTCGGCCTTCAGAATATCAAAAGCGACGGATGTGTGCCACGGCCGGAAATGCATGGTCAGCGCCGCCGTCTGGAGTATGATACCTCCTTTGACATATAAATCATTCAAGAGTGCCCAGCTCTAACCGCGTCAAGAGAATCTATGCCGGGTTTTCAGTATGGACCATGGACTCGATATCGACCGTAGCCCTCGCGATTCGAGACACAACATATCTGCTAGACTTCATCCAGCGCGACATGTCCGCCGGCGAGACGGGTCCCAGCCATGTTGTCATCACCAATTACGTTCTCTCCCGGCTGAGGCGGTTCACGGACGAACACTCAGACAAATTCATGGGCCTGGCAATGCCACAGCGCGTGGCTACGCTCTATCCGGAGCTTTGTTCGCGTCTGTGGACAGAACTCGATGTCATTCCGTTGGTACTTCCTGAAGAGCGGCACCTTCAAGAGCGGCAATCGCAGCGGGATCTACCTACTGGTGTCGACGTCGACTCTAGGGAAATTGGTGAGCAGGCGGAATCAATGGGTCGTAAATGTGTCAGGTTAGTCTATGCCACTATACTTGGTGGTGGAACTAATTGTGTAGACTCTTTGGCCCAGACAACGTGCCACTACTGCAGGTCGGTTTCCAGGGCTCGGTGGAGGTCGACACTGCTTTCACAGTGCGTTTAGCAAGCCTGGAGGACTTTAAAAACACCGTCTCTCCGAAGACATGGACTGCTGTTCAGCAATACGCAGCTGATCTGAAAAAAAGAAAAGTCAGAACCGCCTTCTTCAACGCAACTCCTCAAGGCGGAGGCGTGGCACTCATGAGACACGCCCTCATGAGACTGTTCCATGCCCTAGGCACAGAATTTTCCTGGTAACCCTTCCCCTCTGCCTTTTTTTTTTTTTCTTATCACCTCTTAACAACGACAGGTACGTCCCCAAACCACGCCCCGGCGTCTTCCGCATCACCAAAACAAACCACAACATCCTCCAAGGCGTTTCCAAGCCCAACGAACGCCTCAGCGCAAAAGATCACGACCAAGTCACCGACTGGATCCTCGAAAACGCAAAACGCTACTGGCTCTCCCGCGAAGGACCCCTGCAACCACCCTCCGAAGGAGGCGCCCATATCATCATCGTTGACGATCCGCAAATGGCACCGTTGATCCCGATCGCTAAGCAACTGGCTCCTGATCGGCCGGTTATTTTCCGCAGTCATATTCATATTCGCAGTGACTTGATCGCGACGCCAGGTTCACCGCAGGCGGAGGTTTGGGAGAAACTTTGGGAGAGTATCAAGCTCGCGGATATATTCATCAGTCATCCTGTTAGTTCGTTTGTGCCGAGGAATATCCCGAAGCAGATTATTGGATATATGCCTGCTTCGACGGATTGGTATGCCCCTTTCCACAGATATATAAGTTGAAAGTCGAACGCTGATGTGTACAGGCTTGACGGCCTGAACAAAAACATGAGCGACTGGGACGCCGCATTCTACGGCCGCGCCTTCAATTCCTGGTGTCGCAACTCTGGCATGCCCGCTATCAACCATCCAGAGGGTATCCCTTCTCATACAATCCCTCCGTATAAAGTTTATACTAACAACGACAGACAAATACATTGTCCAAATCGCCCGCTTCGACCCAAGCAAGGGCATCCTCGACGCAGTAGAATCCTACAAGAAATTCCACGACCACCTCACAAAAACACACCCCCAAACACCGCCCCCGAAGCTCCTCCTTGCAGGACACGGATCCGTCGATGACCCGGACGGTAGTCTAATCTACGATCAGGTAGTGTCTCACATCGAAGAGGATATCCCGCACCTGCGCGATCAGATTTGCGTTATGAGACTTAGGCCTAGTGACCAAGTTCTCAACGCTCTGTTATCAAAGTCGAAAATCGTACTACAACTGTCCAGAAGAGAAGGCTTCGAGATTAAGGTTTCTGAGGCGGCACATAAAGGCAAACCCGTCATCGTGACCCGTGCGGGCGGATTACCGTTGCAAGTCAAAAACAATGAAAGCGGCTTCCTCGTCGACGTCGGAGACACAGACGCCGTTGCGCAGCGGCTCTACGAACTCTGGACAGATGAGGAGTTGTATAAGCGGATGAGCGAGTATGCGATTGCGCACGTGTCGGATGAAGTGAGTACGGTGGGGAATGCAGTGAGTTGGTTGTATTTGGCCTGTGAATTGTCGAAAGGGGGTAGAGTTGAGCCGAATGGGGCGTGGATTAATGATTTAGCGAGGAGGGGGGCTGGGCAGGAGTATGAGACTGGGGAGTCGAGGTTGTTGAGGGTTGTGGAGGTTGAGAAGATGGGTTAGCTTCGTTTATTTTCTCTGGTTTGAGAACTACGTGTATATTGCTTTGTATAGGTGGTCAATTTCATTTTGTACATTGTAATGACTAAGAATAAAACATGGCAAAAATACAGAAAGTCATCACTGCATAACAAGCGTCACGTCAAGCCCACGCGCCTAGTACCGTGGTGGGGCCGGCGGTTGTCCATACGGCCCTGGAGGATAACCAGGGGGGCCCGAAGGAGGTCGTCCATATCCACCATATGGCGACGGAGCATATCCACCCTGCGGAGGTCCAGAGCTCGGAGGGTATGGCGCTTGACCGTAAGGACTCGGGCTAGGACCACCCGGAGCTGCGCCGTACGGACTAGGGCTGGGAGCACCGTACGGGTTTTGAGGATAGCCGGGGCCGGGGCTAGGGCCAGCGGGCGACGGACTGTAGTATCCGGGGGCACCGTAGCTAGGTCCCTGGCTGTAGCCTCCGTATGGACCGGGAGGAGGGCCACCGGGGCCAGCACCAGGAGGTCCAGGGGGTCGAGAACCAAGAGGAGGACCGGAAGGAGGACCGGACATGGGAGGAGGGCCACCTGGGCCAGGGCCAGGGCGGCCAGAAGCCTTTTCGTCTTTGGTGTCATATGACGAGTCGATGGCACCGAGCATCAACTTGGCGCACTGCACGTAGTTAGCGTGACGTCATTTAAAAAAGGTTGGCGACAACGTACCCATAGCTCGCGCGTAAGGAACACGGGAGGGTTGGCGCGCGACATTTCATCCTGCTCAACTTCAAAGTCTGTGATAGTTAGCTTTGTCTCTAGAAAAGGAGCAAAGGAGCGTACTGGAAGTGCAATCGATGAGATTTCCAATGCTAGGATCCTCATCAAGAGCGGACAAAAAGTCACGAGCTCTAGTGTCGTTTCCAACCTGAGTGAACTGGAAAGAAACCGCACCGCGACCATAGCGTGTACGCGAAACCTCCTCAACCGCATAACGGATGCTGTTCGCTACAGTGTCGTGCGGTTCGCCAGCAGGCTGACCATCGGTGATAGTAATGACAAGCACCGGTTTGTCCAGACGGCCGGCGCGTGCGGGGCCAATAACCATGGGTTCGAGAACCTTGTTCCGCAGGCTGGATCCCAACGGAGTCAAACCCTGGAAACGGACGCGCGAGGTGAGCATGGCAACATCGTCTGCGTTGCGGATACCATCGCCAGCTTCCATGTTGTTCATGAAGCGCACGGAGATGCCATCCTGGTCGAAGGTGGAGGCGGCCGTGGCGACAATACTGATTATCTGCTTAAGCTGTTCCTTGCGCACACCCTTCTCTTCGAACTCGATAGAGCCACTGTCATCAACGTAGAGGATCACATCGAATAAGGACAGTTTCATGACATCAGTCGCAACCTCCATGGGAACAGCCCACTCATGAATCAAGCTACTGAGTTTGGTGGGCGCTTCAATGGCGAGGCGTTGGACGAGCTGGTCCAGTCGCTCGGGAGGATAGAAGCTCTGCAGATTCTTCTCTTGGATAGTATCGATCAACAGCTGACGGTAAGCAGCGACCTGCTGGGGAGTTGCCGGCGCGGGCGGGCCACCAGGCGCGGGCGCACCATATCCGCCAGGACCAGGCGGCGCACCACCAGGAGGACCAGGAGGACCACCGGGGTAGGGAGGACCGGAAGGACCGGAAGGACCGGGAGGATACTGTCCCTGAAAGACTGGTCAGCACATCTCCGATTGATAATCACACATCGCGCATACATAAAAAGGTTGCTGCGGATACGGGCTAGGTGGGGCGCCGTAAGGCTGGGGAGGTCTTCCAAAGCCCTGCGGCGGCAGCTGGCCATAAGGAGATTGGGGATGAGGAAAATAAGGGGGCTGCTGGGGAGATTGAGGGTGTGGGCTGTAGGGAGGCTGCGAATAGCCTTGAGGGGCAGGCGACGATGACGCAGGTTTGTTAGGGGGAACAGCGGGAGAAGAAGAAGGACCAGAACGAAGCTGAGGAGGAAAACCGCGGTAAGTCGGTTGTTGATAATTAGGATAGGACATGATGCGATCTCGCAAAGATAGTTGTACAGAAGATAGTGGATATGATAGTATGTAGTCGGTGTGATATGTTTTTCTTTGCGGCTGGCGGCGATGACGAAGAGGGGCAGAATACAAGGAAAAAACACGTGGGGAAAAGGGTTTGTCATTCAATGGAGAAATTAAGCGGCAAAAACAAGACTCACAGGAGCAGCTGAGGAACCTGGGTATGCCTGATAGGGCGAAGAATTCTAGAAAAAAAATAAAGCAATCAGTGAAGGTGTTCGAGGCAGGATTCATGTATATGTATATGCAGGCGAAGGTGTGGTGCTTGTATGTACCATCGGAGGGGCTCCAGCGCCGGATTGCGCCTGGCTAGCTGCGATTTTCGAGGCGAACTGGATGCCATATCAGTATTGTGCTGCGCTGGATGATAAGAGAGGAACAGCACTTACGCCCATGTTGACAGAGGGTGACAATGGAGGGGGGGGGAAATGAGGGGCAGAGAAAGAAAGAAGAGAGAATGTACTCCGGAGTAGCTGAAATGACGCTGGTGAGGCTATTTCCTGATCCGGAATAGTGCATGATTAGATGATTTGCTACACATTCCGAAGTATATCGAAGTCCTGAGGTGGATATTCGGTGGACCTAGATCTCATTCCAAATGTTATTGACCGCAAGACCAGCTGATGTTATGTTACCTAGTGCTAATAGTCTCATGTGGCTGAAAAAATTTGCAGCTGAACTTGGCCAAATCCCGATGTGTTCAAATATCTATCTATCACGCATATTATTCATATGTAGACAGCACCTATATCTACCAGCATTATTCCACCCTTTCTAAAAAGCCGTAGCAGAAAAAGTAACATCCAATATGCCAGAACAAGGCTCCTATCTCCCTGTCCCCGGCGCAGCCCTCTACTACAACCTCATTGGCACATCCGGTCCCCTCCTCGTCCTCGTCCCAGTCAGCAACGGCACAACCCTATTCTACGAATCTATCACCTCACATCTAGCGTCGCACTTCCGCATCCTCCTCTACGACCGTCGAGGATATCATCGCAGCCGCGCAGACAACCGTCCAAATAAAGATGAGCTGTATGCAACGCATGCTAGAGACGTTGCTGCGCTGATACAGCATGTTTCGTCGTCGACAACGGAATGCGATATTGAGCCTGCATTTGTGTTTACGTCCTCTGCGAGTTCGGGCGTTGCGACGGAACTTCTTCTGAACTATCCGCAGCTCGTCCATTCCATCATACTCCACGAACCAGCCTTCCTGCCTATAATTCCCGACCCCCTGAGATCGAAAATCGCCCAAATCGGAACCGACATCGCCTTGAAAGGGAGCAAAAAGGACCTCCGTGGCGCAAACGCTTTGATAAACACCCTCCTCTACAGAAACGCAGAACTACAATCCTTCAAAGACTGTCCCGTCTTCGCGCAGATCCCAGCCGTTTTCAAACCTGCTGATATGATCTACTACCTCACGAATGAGGTCCTCGCGACAAGGGACTATCTTCCTGATCTTGATAAGTTGAAAGCACAAGCTGCGAAGGGAAAGGTTAAGCTGGTACTTGGGAGGGAGGAGTCGGGGCCGTTGGCGAGGACACCTGCGAAGGCTCTGTCAAGGATTTTGGGAGTGAGGGTTGGGTTGGCGCCAGGGGGGCATGTTGGGTATGTAACGCATGCGAGGGAGTTTGCTGAGTGTTTGCAGAAGCAGTTGGTGGGTGACGAGGCGAAGTTGTGATTTTTTATTTTTTTTACACCCAGATAGAATGTATTAAGTGCGCATGAGTAGACATGACTCAGTTAGGTTAATGGGGCTAGACGAGCCATACAGAGCTCAGTTAATTGCCACCTGAATCTATATGTACATTACATAGCTACATCGCTGCAACTGTTTGATGCCCGTAAATGGTAGATCACCTCTTCCCCTTCTTCTTCTTCTTCGAGCTAGCACCCCCACCACCAGTCTGCACCTTGGGTTGCCCAGCCGGCGACTCCTCAACCCTCTCACTAACAACACCACCCTGCATCCTATCAGCTGCCCGCTGCTTATTCTTCCGTCCTTTAGGCCTATAGCTAGACCGATCCTTCAATGGCAGCCACCGCTCCGGATCAGCAGCTTTGTTTGCATCATACTCCTTGGGCAGACGGGACTGGCGCACACGTTTCTTGGCTGCCTTTTCTGTCTTGCCGTCGGAGGCGCGCTTCCTGGCGCCTGCCATGGCGATGGCTGCAGCAGTGGAGGATGAGGATGGCGTGATGCCGGATTGCTCGAGGGCGGCGGTGTCGATGTCGGAGATAAGGTCGTCGACAGAGGGGAGATTGTCAACTTGGGATTCAATCTTGGTGTAGTCGAGGGGTGCTTGGGATGCCACGTAGCCTGCGACGGCGAAGCGGTCTGTGCTGTCATTTTGATAAAGATCCTTGAACAGGTCTCCGGCCGTCTTGAGACCGGAGGGATCAGATGAATGGAGGAGGGATGTGCCTGCGGCGCGGAGCAGGGTGGTAGGGCGCTCTGCTGTGGCTCGGGCTTGCCAGTGAGCAGCAGCTTTGGCCAGTTCTATCCGGATAGGGATCCTGCGGCCTTCACGGCGGTACAGCGAGATCAAAATTCCAAGCAGACCAGGGGCATACCGCACGTCCTGGTCTTGCTCCGAGATAGACTCCTCAAGAAGCTGCAGGGACTTCTCCAGTGTGGTAATGGCTGAAGTGGTATTGCCTGCGTTCACATAATGCTGCACAGCCGTAAGAACCAGCCCGACGTCCTTGGGCCGGCGATCCAGCAAGGGGATGATTTGCTTCAAAGCCTTGGCATCTATTTGGCCACGCGCGTGGGCTGCTGCGCTGTATACCGACAAGAGGTTGGTGCGAGACTCAATCGAGGGGTAGGAGCTATGGGAAAGCGTCTTCGATGCGGATCGAATGATACCGTCATACTTCTGAGCTAACAGATCTGCCGAGTGGGAGTTGTTCATCAAGATGTTATTCTGGTAATCAAAGAGCTTGTCCGCATCGGTGGTATTGGGAATTTGATGGAGGGCTTTGTGGAGCAGAAAAGGGTTCTCGGGCGTCCCACGAGCGATGGTGATGTTGTTCTGGGCAATGCTCTTTGTGGACCGCTCAGCGATGCTGCCAGAGTCAGAAAAACAATCCCAGTATTGAATGAGCCATTACATACCCGTCGACGGAAATCTCCTCCAACATTGACTCTGCCTCCGCCGACTTTCCTTGTCTGATCAGGACATACAACTGCTGCACGGAAATAGGCAGCAGTTCCTCCGCCTTGTCCTCAGGAGTGAGATCTTCGGACGTGCGACATAACTCTGCGATGCTGGTCAATCAAAGTCAAATTAGGAATCTCAAGTAAGTAACCAACCTTTGGCGCGCTTCAACAGCATCTCACTCTGATCAAACTCTCCCTTGGCTATACTCAAACAGGCGGCGTTGTAGACAGTCTCAAAAGCCTCGAGGTCATCTCTCGATGGTCTACCGTGGCGAACCGCGTCGGGGTATCCCTTCCACTGCAATTGAGCATCCACGGCCCACGAGTTGATCCGCAAGTCGTTCTCTTCGTTGGCGAGGGCTTCTTTATCCTGGAGCAGGTCTTGGTAGAGGTCGGCGGCCCGACGGAAATTCTCTGCACGATAGCTCTGCTTCAATCAGCTCTAATTCTCCAATTTACCCTCCTTCTGGTGTACGCACCGCCTGAGCCTCCAGATGATTAGCACCTCGCCCCCCACCTAGCCGTGTGATGACATCGATAGCCTCCTCAACTTTCCCACCCTTATATAACGCATAAGCGTATTCCAACGGTGCCCTCTTCTTCAGTACATCCCCAGATTCCTCGAAAAGACGGAGTGATTCTTCGTACCGGTCGAGCTTCGACAGCGCAACGACCTTGACATGTTGGGCGTGGAGATCGGACTTGGATTTGGCCAGGACGTCGTTCGCAGAGGTGAGAACCTCGTCATGGTCGTCAATGGAGGCGCGCTGAAGCAGCGAGCTCAAGGCTTGCGCGACCATTTTGTGTTGAGTACGACGGTTGTTGTTGTTGTTGCTGTTGAGCGGAGCTGTCCGGGGAAATCGACTGCCAGCGTGTGCGGAACGGATTTTCCTGATTGGGAATTGCGCAAGTAGGCGCAGGGGCTGCCGTAATCACTTTGGCCAAAAGTATTCGGATATTTTCTGACAACAATGAACCAATGACTTTGAATTGAAACATCGTCGATCTCATTCTTCTAGGCATAGCAAATACGATTGTCACCACTAAACTTCTAACCATAACTATATTCCTTACCGCGTCAGCTTGTGTCCCAGAGCTATGCCAACTCACCCAGGTCAAGTACTGGGGTTTTCCTGACTATCGTTGTATCGAAATCCCAGCTGTTGCAAGTTCAAACTCCACCTTAGCCCCAGGCTGTGGGCCATGCATTATCTTACCGATTTGGTCCATACCAGGGGCAAAGTCATGTTCAGTAAATGGTTCCCGGGCCCCTCATGTTTGCGAGCACTGGTTGTCGGAAATGCTAGTATAGTAACATATCCGCGACGCGATTTGTGTCATTGGGCTGCGACATGCTTTGTCTAGAACCCTTCCGTTGTACCTACTACCAGTTATCGTGAAACTCTGGACCTTGTAGCTGTTCTTCGATGGTCAGTGTATGTGACGAACATGGCATGGTAAACTGACGAAAGGATTCATCGAGAAATGGTAAGGCTGAGAAAGCTAGTAAATGTCAAGTCATCAGAAGCAGACCATTTTGGGGTGAGTTGATTCCTGATTGATTCCGCTGCGAATTCACATAGGTGTCAGAGTGGTGGGAGAGAAACACGTCTTCATGATCCAGAGGGACTATACGGGCTGCTGCTAGACCACATCAGTCGTTATCCTCGAACTGCCTGTCATCTGAAACGAGACAACCTCGATCGCGATGTCTCACCAAGCTATGAAGATTATGTTCCGATTACCATACCTAAGGCTGATAATAACTACTCTGTGACCGACGGCTCGCAATGTGGAGCCCCACATATAGATGGTCGAGTAAAGTACTTTTCATCTGATTCCAGTATTGTAAATAGATGAGTGTATCTCAATCCTTCATCCATAGTGCAGGGGTGATGTACAGTTGACTCAGCACCTTAATTCTGCCACTGTCTGAACTATAAAAGGCAATAGACTCTCACCGCTCACGTGCGTAAAATACCACTCGTGTGTAAGGTACTGTAACTGCGCTATGACGTATGACTAATCTCTCCGAAAACGGATCAGCGGCCGCGTCATGGTGTCAGGTGACTTTTTGATGAGTGTGGAATACGACAAGATACCACAGTACAGCGGTAGTATACCAGGTACAGTAGGACCTGAACCGTCAAGTGCAACACTACAAATTGTTGTGTCTACAAGTGTTTCTCCAACAACCACCGGCTATTAGTTAATATCTTCCAACTGCCGATCTCTATTGGGTCCGTTGATCAGCGACTCATTCGCGCGCGCCTTTTCCCTGGTTGTGCTGCCGTCTTTTCCTCTTCAGTTTTGCTGACTTTTTTTCTTTTCCTTCTCCTCACCTTCTTCTCACCTTCTCACCTTCTCTTCCTTGTTTACTTTCCCACCCGTCACTGGTATCTGGTGGGTGACACTACCGCTACAGGTACTACTACTTAATCTATCTATCTCCGACTGTGGCAACTTCCTCCATCTTCCTCCGCCCGAAAACGTCGCCTCTCCCAGACACTCTCCCTTTCCGTCCACTCCGCAATGCGAATGATCTAATAACGACTTTCTTCAACTGAGATTTACTAATAGTACACCATGTTACTCAAGCCCGGGGAGAGGTCCTCTGTGGGCGGCTCCTGGGCAGGGAAACGGCTCATCCGTTTCGGTGTCGCATTTCTGCTCGTCGGCGCCTTCACTCTGTTCCTCTGGCCTCCGTTCCCTCCCAGCCACATCCAGGCTCAAACACCCTCCGCTAACATCTCCATCGCTTCTGGCATTCACTGCGAACTTGATCTGGGTGTGCTGGAACGCCTCAAGGTCAACAAACTCGGTAGCTACCTCCGCCGTGAGGTCAACGCCGTGACTCTGGCCGCGAACCAGGAGGTGCCCATGAAGCAGCGCCTCGATACCCCGTTGATGGATCGGAAAATGTTGGATCCTAATGAGCAGCTCACGCAAGAGCAGTCGCCGGCCGATTGCTCCATACCGCACCCACTCACTGTGCAAGTTCCTTTGCCTCCGAAGACCGCTGACGCCTCTCATATCGATTTTGGTGTGGCCACCAGGGCCGATCGCTTGAACGACTCTCTGGACCAGTTCGCTCACTGGGCTGGTTACACTCGCACCCGGATTTTTGCTCTCGTTGAGCCCGACAAACGCGTTCCCGAAGTCCAGGCCAAGGCAGATAGTCTGGGTATCAACCTGTACATCACCGAATCCGACGAAGAGTACCAGAGTCGGTATTTCTCCTTGGTCCGCCACCTTGCAAGCCATGTGCGCGACCAAACTCGCTGGTCCGTCGTGATTGATGACGACACTTTCTTCATGTCCATGTCATCGTTGGTGCAAGCACTCGAGAAACACGACCACACGCAAATGGTCTATCTTGGAGGAATTTCGGAAAGCGTCCCCCAGATCGGGGCATTCGGTATCATGGCATTCGGGGGTGCCGGTGTTTTCCTCTCGCGCCCGCTGGCGGTCGAGCTGAGCAAACCCGAGATTTTCGAGGAATGCCAGAATATGGAGTTTACCGGCGACCGTCGCATTTCTCTGTGCATCTATCAGTATACACCTGCGAAATTGACCATTGACCACCGCCTACGCCAACTCGACATGATGGGCGATGTTACCGGGTTCTTCGAGACGGGACGGGAACCCCCTCTGTCGGTTCACCACTGGAAGTCATGGTTCCACGCGGACATGCCCAAGGTGGCTTCCATTTCCGAGCTCTGCGGAGACACCTGCTTGCTGCGACAGTGGTGGTTTGCCGATGGGTGGCTTCTGACGAACGGTTTCTCGGCGGTGAAATACAGTACTGACGTGGATCCTTTCGATAAGACCATGGAGTTGACCTGGGAGAGTCACAACGGTGCCGTGCACGAATCTTACCTGCACGAACTTGGGCCGCTGCGACCAAAGGACTGGAACAAGATCAGCTACCTGTTGGAAGATGCCGTGGTGGAAGAGGACCAGGTCCGGCAGTTTTACATCCATCGCGGTGGAAAAGATGGTGATGAGATTTTAGAATTAGTATGGCGGAATGCATAGACAGCGTTTCTTTTGCTTTGCTTTTTTTTTTCTTCTTTTCAATACCTTATGTTTTGCTACGCCACTTTACTTAACGGATACCTTCAACATTATTTTTCCTTCTCTTTCCCTTTTGCCTTACAAGAAAAGATATTCAAAAAACAAACAAAAAAAAAAAAAAAACCAAAAAACAAAACACCGACTGACTCAAGAGGAGTCAAACGGATCCGGTGATTACGAAGTATCAGCACTCTACGTCTTACACTTTTGGAATGGAATACGACCACAGCATATGTACAGTTGATTGAGCATTGGGCTTGCTTGCCCGACATATTATAGCTACACGACAAATTGAGATAATAGATTTTTATTCAGTTATTTTAGCTTCAGGTGTCCGTGGTTGGGTGTTGGTGTACCTTGTTCCTGTGCCTGGTGGTGATTTCATCGTCAGTGTTATTACGACGCTAGTACTACGTTGATGGACATGAGATGCAACCCAGCCAATATACATTGGACTACTAATTTTCCTCAGGCTGGCTTATGGATACTGGTTCATGTGGTGGTGGTGGTGGTGGTAGCCTATACTACTATATAGTAGGCTGAAGTATGTTGAATGATGTCGTCATTCAAGGTCATCCAATACTTTTCTTTCCACGAACCATTGCTGCGAAAGAGGAAATCTACAATGATTTCAACAAAAACGGTACGTATACATACATCTATATTCCCATAATGTCATGAAATCATCAATCCTGCCTCACCATCTTTTAGCTCTTCACCTCTACTCCCAATCTTAGCACTAGACTCACTAACCACCCAATCCCTCTTATCATCCGCCCATACCGGTGTCTCAGCACCAACAGTAGCTGTGTTGGCAACTGGGGCAGGCGCAAGATCCGGCAAAAAATTTCCAACAGTAATAGAACAATCAACTCCTAATACGGATTTGGACTGTTCTAGTAATTTCGGGAAGAGATACGACTGCGAACCCCTGATGCGCGATAATGTATTCAGAATGCCCCAGAGTAGCTCGCGGCTGTCCGTGTTTGAAATGGGGGTTTTGGATGATTGGGAAACGGGGGTTGTGGTTGTGGTTGTGAGGTTTGTCAGGGCCATGCCTAGGTCGAAGAGTTTTTGTTCCTGTGCTACCCATTAGCACTACTAGTGTCAGAAGTATGGGCGAGACAGAAAGGTACCATTCCGATCCCGTGTGCGTCAACGGCACCCTGCGATGCTGCTCCGATGACGCCCATCACAGCTTTTCCAACAACAATGGGGAGGTAGAAGGGAAGCATTGCCCTGCCATCGCTTTTGCCAGCATCCGGACCATATCTGGAAAGCTTCCACATCATAGCCTGTAGCCACTGCTGCGTGATGAGAATATCCACCTGCTGGATCTCGAGCACACCCTGTAGCGAAGCGATAGGTGCATTACAGAGACTAGATTGGATCGATGAAGCTGGTGTTGGGAGTTGGTCCTCGTCACTGCCTCCAGCAGATAACCAGTCATAAAGACTGACGGTGAGTTTTTCAAACAGATTGATGAGGTTTATGAAGCCATATGCTAAGATTGGATCGTCGGCGCCGAGGACCTGTGGTTTTTGGATCGAGTTGCGCAGCATGACAGGTCTCGATTGTTGGAGGGCATATCCTCTTCTCCATTTAGCACTATGCAGCCGGGTAGCTTTTGAAAAGGTGGCCTACCGTTCGGTAACAAAGAGTAGCCAGAAGACTCGTCGTTTTTCCTCTGCATCTTCGATGTTTAGACTCGAGTATGTTGATTCACGGTGTAGGCCTAGGGTGAAGACCATAGAAGTCGCTTGGCAGAGGTAAAACCAGGCTTGATTTTGTTTATTCAGATTACCGTATGATGCGAACAGGAATAGCGATGTCAAGAGACTCTCCACGTTCATATCTTCGACTACATCGCATTCATTTCGTGCACGCACTGCCTCCGCGAGTAATTCTTCCCCGGACATCAATCTCCTTCCATCAACTGCGGTAGCATCCGACGCTGGTCCTCCGTCCAAATTCAATTGTATATGCGTCGCCGCACACAGCGCTGCCAAAAACGCATACCGCTCCGCCGACACTCGCTCTGGATGATGGCTATCACGCTGTAACTCCTCGCGACGCACGACCGGCATAATTGGAAATAAATATTTGAGGAAGACATTGACGTGCGCGAGGAGAATAGGCGACGTTAATCGTCGCGCATACGGCCGGATATTGCTGGAGTAGTCCGAATCGGTCGAGGAGTCGGGTGGGGAGGGGACGATCTGGAGGGGTTGAAACTGAAATTGATGTTGATACTGGAAGAATGACGATGGTGCTGATAGGGACGCTGGTGCATCTTGTGGTGCATAATCGTTGTACGCGCCGTGTGCGGTCCTCGTATCTTCAGGAACTGGTGCCGGAGGTGGTGGTAGTGATAGGGGATGACTTGGCGCAAGAGGATACAGCGTGCGAAACTTGGGGCCTTTGCGACGCAGAGTATCACTGTATGAGCAGTTCAAAAGCAAACGGTTGCATTTATCACACGGCAGGTCGCGGGAGCATTTGATCTTTCGGCGGCGACAATTGTCGCAAGCCTGTTTGGAGGCATTTTTCGGCTGAGTCGAGTCCATGATGCTATTCTGGAATAGAGAGCGATGAAAATAACAATAGAAGATGTAAACAAACAAAAGCCATTATTCTGGCACAAACCGAGTCAACGGTTGAAGAAGAGAGAAGAATGAGAAATAATCTGGGGAAAGCGGGGAACGGTATGATTCCTCGTATTATGCGGGATGAGGTCTTAAACGGAGCTCGGGAAGCCGACAGGGGATGAAGGACATTTTGCCCAAGCGATGCTATGGGCTGTTAAGACTAGGATCAGACCAAGATGCCACCATGACAAAACTGCCGAGGGTTTCCTGTTTGGGTTAAAAATGAAGCTTCGGGCATTTACCGGATATGCGGCCAATCGGAGGCTGAGGGCGGCTCGCACTCTCCCACATCTCGCTTGATTTCTCCGAGTTTACACCTACTCTTTTGCTACAGGACAGTGCTCGGGGTCCTGCAGGAAAGAGCATGGTCAAAAGAATAACCGCCTGAAGAATGAATACTTGCAGGTCAGGCGATTCTGAAGAAGGCATACTCTACGGGTCTGACTCGGCTTGGATGATATCTCAACACAGATCTTACCGTTGCCCCAGTTTCCCCGGGATCAAAGCTCTGCTCCATGCTCAGGACCCTGCATTCTTGGTTTCTCCGCAGAACCAATCTCGAGTGCGGGATGGCGGGTAATACCGAATTCCAATACTGGCTCCGAAGTACCCTGATGTGCCCGTATACAGAATGTTCTATACGCCGGTGAACAGAGAATACGGACGGTAGCCCTCGGTCATTCAACGGAGATGTGGCATCTGCACCATCGAAACCTTGTCAAAAACAACGCATGCTTAGGGTATGAGACCGGCAGATATAAATATCACACACACGGCACGTAGAAGTTGCTTCGGTCATCCCTCTCATCTCTTTGGTTCAGCACTATGGTCAATGTTGCGGGCCTTCTCGCCAGCTCTTGGCTCCTATCTGGGGCTTATGCAGCAAGCTCCTCTACGAGTGCATCTTACTCTCAGTTTACTATCCCTACCGCCGCAGACGTCGGCGCGAATCTGATTGCCAACATCGACGACCACGAAGCTGTCAACGCTCAATCAGTCTGTCCTGGCTACAGGGCTTCCAATGTACATCAATCATCCAAGGGCTTCACGGCTACTCTGCGGTTGGCAGGAAAACCGTGCAATGCCTATGGGATTGATGTGGACTCATTGGACCTCTTGGTAGAGTACCAGGCTAAGGACCGGTTGAATGTCTACATCGTGCCCAGCCATGTTGATTCGTCGAATGCCTCGTGGTATTTCCTCAATGAGGACGTTGTTCCCCGACCTAAGGCCTCTCCCAGTGCGTCTGCTGCGCATGGTGATTTGGCCTTAGAGTGGTCCAACGAGCCATCCTTCAACTTCAAAGTTACCCGGAAGGCGACCGGTGATGTGCTTTTCAACACACAAGGCTCGGTTCTGGTGTATGAGAACCAGTTTATCGAATTTGTGACTTCTCTGCCAGAGGACTACAATATCTACGGTCTTGGGGAGCATTTCCAACAACTCCGGATTTTGCATAATGCCACTCTGACTGCGTATGGGTCTGATAATGGTAACCCGATTGACTCGTGTGTCTCCTCACCTCTCCCTCTCTCCCGGTAGCAGGCAATTGACCATCTTCAGGAACCTCTACGGCAGTCACCCCTTTTATCTGGACACCCGATATTTCGAGAAGAGCAAGAACGGCTCCCTCGCTCCCGTCAAGGCTTCCGAAGCCGACCCCAAGAAGGAATATGATTCCTTCTCGCACGGCGTGTTCCTGCGAAATGCCCACGGTCTGGAAACAGTTACGCAGCCACAAAACTTGACTTGGCGAACACTGGGCGGAAGTATCGACCTGACCTTCTACTCCGGTCCTAGCCAGGTTGAGGTCACCAAGAACTACCAGGTCAGCACCGTTGGACTGCCTGCCATGCAGCAGTACAATACACTGGGTTACCATCAGTGTCGCTGGGGATATACCGGCTGGACTGATCTGGAGAATGTGATTGCGGATTTCGAGAAATTTGAGATTCCTGTGGAATATATTTGGTATGCACGCGTTACCTGACATGGTGTTTTCGAGCTAACATTGTCAGGGTTGATATCGATTACATGCACGGATACCGTGACTTCGACAACGAAAAGACCAACTGGTCCTACGAAGAAGGCGAGAAGTTCCTCGACAAGTTACACGCCGGTGGCCGTCGCTTCGTCCCTCTCGTCGATTCTGCTCTCTACATCCCCAACCCCGACAATACATCTGATGCGTAAGTTCCCCATCATCTATCCTAAACGACATCAACCTAACAAGAACAACAGCTACCCAACCTACGACCGTGGCGCAGCAGATGACCTCTTCCTCAAAAACCCCGACGGCAGCCTTTATATCGGCTCCGTCTGGCCCGGCTACACCGTCTTCCCTGACTGGCACCACCCCAAAGCCGGCAACTTCTGGGCCAACGAGCTATCCCTCTGGCACGAAAAGGTCGCCTACGACGGCATGTGGATCGATATGGGCGAATTCTCATCCTTTTGCGTTGGAAGCTGCGGAACGGACAATCTGCACCTCAACCCTGCGCACCCGCCGTTCGCTCTTCCCGGTGAACCGGGTAACGTGGACTATAACTACCCCGAGGGCTTCAGCAAGAGTAACGCCAGCGAAGCGGCCTCTGCATCGTCAGCTGCTGCTTCGCAATCTGCCGCAGGCTCAACAGCCACCACCTCCTCGTCAACGACCCAATCCTACCTCCGCAGCACACCCACCCCAGACCGCAACATCAACCACCCTCCCTACGTGCTCAACAACGTCCAACCAGGTCATGACCTCGCCGTCCATGCCATCTCCCCCAACGCAACACACATCGATAACATCCTCGAATACGACGTCCACAACCTCAACGGCCACCAAATCCTTAACGCAACATACTCCGGCCTGCTCCAGGTCTTCCCCCAGAAACGCCCCTTCATCCTCGGCCGCGCGACGTTCGCAGGATCAGGCAAATATGCAGCGCACTGGGGCGGAGACAATAATTCCAAATGGGCGGATATGTTCTTCTCCATTTCCCAGGCGCTTTCGTTCTCGTTGTTCGGTATACCCATGTTCGGCGTGGACACGTGCGGATTTTCCGGGAACACGGACGAAGAACTATGCAACAGATGGATGCAAATGTCCGCGTTCTTCCCGTTCTATAGAAACCACAACGTCATCAAGTCTCTCCCCCAGGAACCGTACCGCTGGGAATCCGTCACCGCCGCGACTAAGAAAGCAATGTCTATCCGCTACTCCATTCTACCCTACATGTACACGCTCTTCCACTCCGCACATACAACAGGCTCCACAGTGCTCCGGGCACTGGCTTGGGAATTTCCAACAGAACCGCACCTCGCCTCCGTCGATACGCAGTTCCTGCTCGGTCCAGATGTCATGGTCATTCCCGTTCTCGAACCGGGCGTTGATAGCGTCAAGGGTGTTTTTCCTGGTCTTGCGGTTGGGCAAGTCTGGTATGACTGGTACTCGCAGACACCCGTGAACGCGGAAGCAGGAGTCAATACGACCATTCCTGCGCCCTTAGGCCATATACCTGTATATATCCGTGGGGGTAGTATCTTGCCTATGCAGGAACCTGCGTTGACGACGCGAGATGCGAGGAAGACGGATTGGAGTCTGATTGTTGCTACTAGTCGTAATGGGACTGCTAAGGGAGAACTGTATCTTGATGATGGGGAGAGTTTAATTCCCAATGCTACGAAGCTCGTTGACTTCAGAGCGACTTCCAACGGTTTACGTGCTGCTGTGCGCGGTTCGTGGGAGGAGAAGAATCCGCTGGCGAATGTCACTGTTCTTGGTGTGAAGGAGCCGAAGGACGTTGTGTTTAATGGGAAGGTGGTTGATGAGGAAGCGATTAAGTATAATGCTACCTCGAAGGTACTTAGCATTACTGGACTACAACAGTTGACAGAAGAAGGCGCTTTTGAGAGGAGTTGGGTTCTCAAGTGGGCTTAACTCGATTATGAATGTTTAGTCTCGATGTACACCTGATATGAAATGAATACGTGTTCGAATGTAGTATCATCGCATTGAAGTCTATATGAAAGCACCAACAAACGTCCGAAACCCCGGGGCTCAGCTCTACTAATGGGGCCCATCTAGACATGTATAAGAAAAGAAAAACACGCAGCCAACCACTGATATCAATATGATGTGACCCTGCGAGATAATCCAGAAAACTTTTGCCTTAATTTATTTCCATGGTCATCTCAAACATCCAATCATTACATGCAAGAAACATAAACAAAACCACTCTAGACAGCGCCGGCCTGAAGCATCTTCTTACGGAGGTGGTCCTTGTACTGTCCAATGGATCCGTCCCATCGGGTAACGGTCTGGTTTTCGCAGACCATGATGTCCTTGGCAATCTTGTCAAGCAGACGGAAGTCGTGAGACACGACAACAACACCACCGCTGAAGGCATTGATGGCATCGGCCAAACTGTCAATGGTGGGGATATCAAGACCGTTTGTAGGCTCGTCCAGCAGAATCATGTTGGGCGACTCAATGGCAAGCAGAGCGAACACAATACGGCTCTTCTGACCCTCCGACAGAGTACCCATGAGGGCCATCTGCGACTCACCGGAGAGACCGTAGCGGCCCAGCTGCTGACGCCAGTACTGGTAGTCCTGGCTCTTCTCGGGGAATCTGTCACGGACGAACTCGAGGGCGGACTTGGTCAAGTCGAGCTGCTCAGCGGAGTGCTGGGAGTACATGCCCAGCTTCAAGTGGGTGTGGCGGGAAACACGACCACCGATGGGGCTCAGCTTGCCGGTCATCAGACGGAGGAGAGTCGACTTGCCAACACCGTTGGGACCGACAAGGGCAGTACGCGAGTCCATGTCCACACCAAAGTCGAGGTTGCGGTAGAGGGTTTCGTCCCACTTGCCAGAGTAGGAGAAGCTAACATCGTCAAACGACAAAACAGGGGGAGGGAGCTTCTCGACATCTGCGAAACGGAACGAGAAGGTACGGTCGGGGATAACGGGCTGGATGAAACCATCGGCTTCCATCTTGTCCAGAATCTTCTGGCGCGACTTGGCCTGACGGACCAAGTTGGCATATGTACCAGCCGAAGCAATGAACTTCTTGATGTGAGCAATTTCTTCCTGCTGCTTGGCGTAGGCCTTCATCTGGTTGGTCTCCTGTTCGGAGCGGGTCTTGTGGTACGAGTCGTAGTTACCACCATAGTAGAGGAGCTGCTTCATACGCATATCAAGCATGTTGGTGCAGACACCGTTCAGGAAGTCCATAGAGTGAGAGACGAGAACCAGGGTACGGTCCCATTTCTTCATGTATTCTTCCAACCACACACAGGCTTCAAGATCCAAATGAGCGGTGGGGTCGTCCAGAAGCAGCAGCGAGGGCTTGACGAAGAGGGCCTTTCCAAGGGCCACACGCATACGCCAACCACCAGACATGTCCTTGGTCTTCTTGTTGATAGTGGACTTGTTGAAACCAAGACCTGTGAGAATCAGGGAGGCACGGGTGTGGAAGGTGGACGGGTCCATTTTGTCGATTTCCTGTGAACAATTAGCATGTTTATTTCTAGTCGACAGGAAACCAGGAGTGGTAACATACGTCATACAGGTCCATGAGAACGGGGCTGTCAGGACCGTGAGACTCAAGGAGTTCTTCGGCCTTCTGCTCCATTCTCGCCATCTGCTCCTCTGCCTGTGTAACAACCCACTCCAGAGCACCGAGTTCGGTAGGGGGAGCACCCTCGTTCAGAAGATAGACATCGATGTGCTCAGGGATGGGGAATTCCCGTGAGGCAATAGCCTTGAGCAGAGTGGACTTTCCGCAACCGTTCTCACCCAAGAGACCGTAGCGACGACCGTAATTCAGTTCGAGAGTCGAGTCGTTGAAGAGGACCTTTCCATGGAACACCAAAGAGGCGGAAGTGATCTTAACGTCGCGGGAGGATTCCTGCGAGGCGAGGACACCAGTAGTGACACGGTCCGAGAGACCGTGCTTGTCCATCTGAGATGTGAGCTTCTCAACATCCTTCATCTTCTCGCCGGTGGTGGCGGGTTGCTCGTCGGCGACGTCAGCGTCGAGGGTCTCGCCCTTCTTGGTGGACTTGCTCTTCTTCTCATCACCACGCTTGGCGAGACGGGCAGCCTTGGAAGCAGAGACCATATTGGGCGGAATATGAGGGTGTATTAGGGGAAGGGGTGTGTAGACTAAATCGGTAGGAAGGAGAAGGAGGGAAAAGTCTTAAGGCGGGGCCAGAGGGGGCGACCAAGAAAAGGCTTTTAATCCGGTGGGGGAGTGGTGGAAGCCCTTATCGATAACTAGAGATGGCTGGAATAGTAAGCGCCACAGAAAAAGCACTTCTTTCTTTCCACTAGATATAGGAAAGAGACACAAGAAATAGTTAAGAGATGAGAAGGTGATGAGAAGATGAGAAGATGAGAAGATGAGAAGAGAATTCAAGTGTCTTTGAGAGATCCGAGATGAAAATCCTTCAGTGGGCATATACTGCCTGTTCATTGGTCCAGGTCAATCACCGCCTTCGACGTGGCGGCCTTTCCTTATTGGGCACCCAAGTCACGTGCGTCCATAGAAGATAAGCCATTTAGTAAACAGAGTGAGAGATAAGACAAGAGGTTTGTATATAAGATTGCTATCCCCCCGGCTATCGCAATCGGTGACTGATGGTCTCCAGGACCTCTCGTTCCTCCGCCGTGATCCAGATGTTGTCAGGCATGATCACCTCGTCCCGTCGAATCACTATCTGTATAGGTTGCTCTGATAAGCTCTCTCTCGCGCTACTCGAGCCAGAGATGACCCCGGGTTCTTCCTTCTTGGCCTTCTCAACGTCCTCTTCTCGTTTGCGCGACAATGCCAGAGGAGTCCACCAGTACGCAGGATACCGTCGTTGAATGTTATTGATCACACACGCTACAGCCACCATGAGTGTCGATTCCAAGATCACCACGGGTATCAACCACCAGCCCATGCCAGTACCTTCAGTAACTGCCAGTACCGCTGTAGCACCGGCCGGAGGATGTGATGTATTGGTGAGTATCATGACGGCCGTTACTATAGCACAGGCGAGGGGTGCACTGAGTTCCGGCAATGCTGCTGCGTGAGGATTCAATGCGAATAACTTGGCGATTCCGACACCAATGACAGAGGCGATGACCTGACTAAGAATCGCGTTGCGAGGCTGAGCAAAGGGCGAATCGATCAAGGCGAATTGCAATACTGCCGCGGCTCCCTTCCTAGTGTCAGCCAGTCACTAAATGGCAGACCTTGGCGATTGAACATACCATACTGGCAATAATAAGCGGTGCATTGTGATGTTCAAAAGATGGCACTCTCATAGACACCGACATGGTCACGGACACTCCACAAAACACCCCGATCAATGCCCAGAATGCGATGACCAGGTTACCGATAGCCCGCGGTGGCTGATCACCTCGATATCCAAAGAAATGCGAGATGGGACGGGGGACCCATCGCCAAGGAGGCCCAGGAATGAACCGATTGAGATAATTGTCGATATCAAAATGCCAACGTGACCATTCTACCCGGGACTTAGAGGGAGAATGCGAATGCAGCTCAGACATCTTGTTACTGGATCTGCCAGCTGCTAACACTGTCGACTTATCTGGCCACTGTTGTTTTGGACACTTACAGCGGACTCCGTACACAGAACGTCCAGCATCATCATCTCACCAAGAGACCGGAAGAACCAACATTTCTTCACCCCCCAAAGCCGGCTCTCCTTGCTCTTTTTTCTCCAACTCCTCCGCAGCTGAGTATCTCCGCGGACTATTGCTTATTCAGGTCCGAATAGCCGTGTTTCTCTTTTGGGATTTCCCTTGAGCCGGTTAAGTAACAAAAACTCCCAATCAGGCTTAGCGTGTGATGATGAGATCATCGCCGCGTCCATCGTCAGTTGCCTACTTAGGATGCACAATGCACCAATTACAATGCTCTTATTGCATTCAGCCCTACAGGGCTAGAGCAACTATATTATCCGATACTAGAGCTCTGTTTTAGAAGACGTGGGTCGCTATTGTTTTGTTGTTTTCTGTGCACAGCCTATTCACCGCCTCGCGATATTGCCGTAGTTCCATCATCTCCTTAGACTGCATACAGGAACGGCCAGGAACGGCCAGTTGAAACCCAGCGGATAATACCACATGGTGACGAGAAACTTCACCATATATATCTGGGAAAACTGACGCTATATTCAACGTCCACACTACTCTACATGGTAGTAGCGAAAGGAGAATAAGGAAGTGCTAGAGATATGAAAGGTGATGTGATGATACTGGTAGACCCCGTCTGATTAGGCAAAGGATGCAGCCAGGAGTTGTATACTCCGATTGAACCACGATTATGTCTACTCAGCCTCAGTCAGCCCACGATATATGTACTCTGCATGCAAGTTGGTTACACATTCTCCTGAGTAGCTTCAAGGTACGCCAGCAGTCATGGATACAGTGAACTCCCTCTTGGGTGTCCACAGCTCATGCCTTCATGCATACAGAGCAGTCTCAACTGCCATGGTGGTGGGCGCCTATTCGTGACCTGGGGTATACAAATGCATTTAGAGCTCACTCGATCTGAGGTCTGGGGCCATACTCTAGGCTTCCTTGGCAAGAAGACCAGGAAGGAAAGATCAAATAACAAAGATTCCCGCGTTTTGGTACTGGATCACTTCATGTCGAGGCTGCTCGCAAAATTATGTATGATATTCTGGCGACGAACGTGTCTACGAACAGTGAAATAGACGAGTCTGATGGCATTCATCGCGGCGAGGATTCTAAATGTCGCCTTGAGAACAATTTTTTAAAAGGCTGTAAGGCAGCCTGATAAGATGCGGATTTGAGCGGGAAAATGTGCGTAGTTGCTGGCGGACCGCGCAACAATGGATTCATGAGATTCATGTTGCAGTCTCTAGGGTCATTAGTCGTCAATCTGGGGTAGGCGAGTTTCAAATCATATACTCGAAATCGGAACAAAAACAAACCGTATGCATCCAAGTCACTAGATATCAGGATTCCCAATCATCATGGATAACTATATATAGTAGAGTGTGAGTCGATGTTGTCTCTGCGTCAATAATTTGCCTTAATATATCCACTTCGAAGATCCGTGCAGTACATCATTTGCAACAATTTTGCAAAGGTTATATTATGATAATGCGGCGGGTATTGAAAATGGCCCTCACAAGCACCACAGGAAAGATGGGGGCGCCTCAAATCCAAATCGTATCCATGCACATTTAGAACATAAACCAGTTTGGTATTAGGGACATCAAATTCATGTCAACAATAAGTTCCTGAACATCCTAAAAACGTTCGATCACTTTCCTTCCACTGACCATATGCCAGCAAATATTTCGTATCGAAGGCCTAGATACGAAAATAAGATTTTCTAGCTATCTATAGCTATCTACGCACATAAACACATCGTCAATTTCGTATTATAAGCCAAACACCGCACCAATAGCAATGGCTGTTTTCCAATGAGCCCTACGGGGCTCCATGTAGGCTCCAATCATCTATTACTACGTACCTTAGGGCCCATACGACAAACCTCGTATACTCACCACGCCTATTATCATCCACACCACCGATCCATCGGCCGAATCCACCCATTCAACTTTATCTACTCTATACGAGGCGATCCGTCTATTAAAAAAAAAAAAAAAAAAAAAAAAAAAAAAAAAAAAAAAAAAAATAAGCCGTGTACCCAACGTGGTATCTGTCAGATCGGCCATACGCGTTGTCATACAGCCCGGTAGTATAGCCCGGTTGTACATTATAAACTGGACCGAGTTCCGAGTCTTTCCTTTTGTTTTTCTTTTTCACACTTTTTGCAACATACGCGACGATCACCGATGATGCGGCTTTATATCACTTGTGTGATCATTGCCATTCTGGCTACATTGGTTGCTACAAGCCCTACACCACGCGTCTCGGATGAGGTCGACGCCCTAGCCAACGATGCCCTGGCCAACCTGATTACCTATGAACGGTCACATAGAGTCTCGAACAAAAAATGTACTCTTCAGAATGCCGCTGTCCGGCGAGAGTGGTAAGTCGCTGCGTTATTTGACATCAGCTTCCAGCCACTAACTCGTGAACAGGGGCTCCCTGGGTTTGATTGAGAGGAAAAAGTACACTGATGCAATGCTATGCCTGATGTCCAAACCACCAAAACTTGCATCCAAAGACGCACCAGGTATCCGCAACCGATTCGACGATTTTGTATCTGTTCACATAAGGCAGACTCCAACTATCCACGCTACAGTACGTGCACACCCTATACATTCCCATAAATACAGCACTAACTAAACAGGGCAACTTCTTAACCTGGCATCGCTACTACACATGGGCGTTTGAACAAGCTCTCCGCAACGAATGCGGCTACGATGGCCACCAGCCCTACTGGGGATGGAATAAATACGCGCACGATCCCATTAACTCGCCTCTCTTCGACGGCTCTGACTATAGTTTGTCGGGGAATGGGGAGTATGCTCCGCATAATGCAACCCCTGTGGCGCCCACCACCAACGTTCCACCGGGTCGGGGTGGGGGATGTGTGACTACCGGGCCGTTCAAGAAGTATGACCCTGTACACTATACTTTACAAACGCGAATGCTGATTGACGTAGTATGTCGGTAAACCTCGGTCCAGTCGGTCAAACACTGAAAATTCCCGACCTCAAGCCCCAATCTGGGAATGGACTCGACTATAATCCCCGCTGTCTCCGACGGGATATCTCATCTTATGTCTCCATGAGATGGACCAAAACCAGCGACGTCACTGGCCTGATTAGAAACTACACAGATATTGGCTCCTTCCAAGACACAATGCAGGGCAACCTCACATCAGGCGATATTGGTGTCCATGGTGGAGGCCATTACACCATTGGCGGCGATCCGGGTGGTGCACGTCTACTCTAGAATACCCATGTACATATACCCGAAGCTAACAAATTTATAACAGGACTTCTACGTCTCCCCCTCCGAACCAGCATTCTACGTCCATCACGCCATGATTGATCGCGTCTTCTGGATTTGGCAAAATCGCGATCCGGAAACAAGACGGTATGCTGTTTCTGGGACTCTCACAATGTTTAACGATCCTCCCTCGAGGAATACTACATTGGATGATATTGTTGATTTGGGAGGACTGGTTGAACCGTATAGGTTGGGGGATTTGTTGGATACGACTGGTGGCCCGTTTTGTTATATTTATGCTTGATCGGGGATATGCATATTTTGGACTTCCTAGGTGGATTTAGTTATTATTATCATTATTTTTTAGCGCGTTCGGACTTAAGAGCTACAGTTTTATAATGGTTAATCTAAGTTAATATGTAAACCCACGGTCCATCCGTTGAAATTTCCCAAAGAGCTTAATGGAGCCTGCATACCGTGGACAAGTCTCGGCGATAAGCCCTCTGCCCATAATATCGCTCGGCATCTTATCAATCAGTCCTCTTTTCTTCTGCCCCGATCCAATGAAAATTGTTTTCCAATTCGACTTTTTCTTTAGTGTATAAAAACAGGAGAATAGCGCTTGGTCATTAACCAGTCGTAGCAATAACACCGACCACACTCCGCTCGGTGGCCACGCATATTTGACAGGGTACCGATCTTATCTGATCAGGATCTTTTGGGCCACGCCACCGCTCCGATCGTCGGGTTTCTTTTAACTGCTTAAATAGCAGTGTGTGCCGTGATATGTGTTCTATCGTAAATATTTTCCGAAGGATCCTGCGTCCAGAGGCCTAGGACCATGGAGCCAACCAAGCCGGAGCTTAAGGCTCAAGACCCGATCGTTGTGTCGACCGAGCCTGCACCTCAGGACAATCAATCCGGCGACAATGACGGAAAACGATATCCGCCGCTATTGGCTAAGCTGTTCGCAGTCTTTCTTATCTCATGTATCAGTTTTGGGTCGCGTTGGAGTTCCGGTGTTACGGGGGCAATGAAGAGTACTATCAAGAAAGTACGGACACACTTAAGAAACACAATGAATAGAAGATGCTGACCAGTGCAGCAAATGAACATCTCAAACACTCAATTCTCCCTCCTCGAAGCAAGCGAAGATTTCATGGCTACATTGCTCATGTTGGTTAGCGGTATCATCACGGATCGAGTTGGGGGTGCTGGTAAGCTGCATTTGCTAAAGGGCTTTCACACTGCTGGTAGCTTACATATACTGTGTAGGAATGATCGTTTACGGAAATGTCGTCTACACCATCGCTTCAATTCTTGTCGCCGCGGCCACAACAGTACGTTCGTTCAATTTTATGATCGGGGGTAGGATTATCCTTGCGCTGGGAGATATCGCAACACAGATTGCGCAGTATAAGATGTTCTCGTCGTGGTTTCCGCCTAGCAACGGATTTGCATCGACGTTGGGATTTGAGTTGGCAGTTGGCAAGATTGGTGGATTTGTTGGGAAGTCTACTGCGAATGTCATTGCCAAGGTGAGTTTCAAATATTCACTCCCTGCTGACGCACATGCTGATAGAATAGAACACTGGAAACTTCGCCTGGGTCTTCTGGACCTCCGTCTTCATGAACCTCTTCACCAACGTAGCCACCCTCGTCTTCTACTTCTTCAACAGCTACTGCAACAAACACTTCAAAGGCCGTGAGGATATTGGCACCAAAGAGACATTGACAGAGAAGAACAAGAATTTTGAACTCAGGAAGATATTTGAGCTCCCCTGGATGTTCTGGGCTGTCATGGGGTTCTCGATATTCCAAACCAGTACTGCTTCGGTGTTCAGTCAGAATGCGACAGAGCTAGCGCAGAAGAGGTTTAATGTTGATGCTATCAAGGCGGGTTGGTATAGTTCCCTGTCGCAGTATGCTGGTGAGTTTCCTTTTCCTTGGATAATGTGTTGTGATGCTGACTTTCTAGGATTCTTTCTTGTTCCGTGTCTTGGTATTTTCATTGATGTTCTCGGGAATCGAGCATCAGTTAGTAAGTTATTCAGCAAGACTAACCAATTAGAACTGTGCTAATTAGATAAGTGTGTGTATGCGGAATTGGAATGTTCTTAAGCATGGCCCTCGTCAACTTTGCCAACACGGAAGCCGGGACCGGTGCATCGTTCGGCATATACGCCATCGCTATGTCTCTTGGTCCAACATCCGTCATCGACAGTATCCGAACGACATTATGGCATCAATCTGTTTTTGGATCTGCGTACGCCTTGAAAGTGACCATGAACAATGCGTGCGTCTCACTATATATCTTTATAGAAACCTACTGACGATAACGGCAGAATGAGCATCATCATCCGAATCATTACCGGTGCCCTCCAGGACGCCGACGACGACTCCTACCGCCGCGTAGTCCGTGTGTACCTCTTTCTTGCGGCTGGATCTGTAGCCGTGGGTCTAGCAATTTTGATTGGTGCAATTTTCAGTAAGAATCTAGCTCCATTGCAGTGGACTCGAAAGCAGAGGATTGCTCGGGGAGAGGACATTGTGAATCTCCGCGAGAAGCACCTTGTTACGCATCGTAACCGCAGTAGGTGGATTGCGGTTGCTTGTTTCAGTGCTCTCATGTTGGTTACCGTTGGGAGTTGGACGGCGTATATCTGGGGTGCTGTTACAGGGCATAATTCATAGTTGTCGACTTACACGTTAATTCTATGGTATCTATTTACTCTCATAATACTTCTGCCACGGATGACTCTCCCTAAATCCTAATAACTCTTTAATCTTCCTATTACTGAGCGGCGCCTCTCTCTCTCCCATCTCCCTCGTAAACGGCGTCCCCGGCGAAACCCTCTCAAGAAACTTCCTCGTCGAACTCTCATAATTCGTAATCTCATCATTCGTAGCATTAAACACCTGAAATCCCAACCCATCCTTCTCGACCCCCAAGTGACACATCTCCCCCAAATCCCGCGAATCAATATACGACCACCCATGCACCGCCCACTTCTCCGGCTCCTCCACATACGAAGCAAACATCCCCTCCCGATACTCTTCCGGATTAACCACCCTCCCGATCCTCAACACATAAATATCAACACCAGGAAACCTCCTCGTGAAACCCCTAGCAACTCTCTCCCCACAAACCTTCGCAATGGCATAACTATCCATTGGATTCGCATCAACCTCCTCGTCCACTGGGAAACTCGGATACCCCACATCCCCCTCCGCATAACTAACCCCGTACACCGTAACAGAACTCGCGATGATCACCTTCTTAATCCCCAGTCGGCATGCCGCCTCAATCACATTATATGTCGACATTGTGTTTGTGCGGAACGTCTCGTTGTCGGGCACGATCATGTTCCGCGAGTATCCAGCTAGATGGATGACTGCGTCGGGGCGGTCTTTGCCGAGTGGATCGTCGCGGAAGGGTTCAGTTATTTTGAAGTGTGAGGTGAAGGCGCCGTGGACCTGGCCGGAGTCTGTGAGGTCAGCGCGGAGGGTGTGGACGAGGGATTCTGGGGCGATGTGTGCGGGGAGCGGAACAAGGTCGATGTTGAATAGCTCGTGGCCGCGCGAGAGGAGGTGGTTTATTATGTGTTGGCCAGCTTTTCCGGAGCCACCGGTTATTATTATTCTTTTGCCCATTGTGTGTTTTGGGTGGGATCGGGTTGAATTGAAGTGGATGGAGTACTGTGTTGACTGTTGGGGTTTTCTGGGGCGATGATGGGTATAAATAAGCGGGGGTGGGGTTGGGTAAATTATGGGGTAGTGTTTAGCCGGAATTCAGCCGATTGCCCTACATTTGAGATTTCTGATATTCCATGCGCCGCTCGATTTATACTCCATATCATATTAAAAAGGCATTGATTATGTGATTGAACTTGGCTTCTCAATGTTTTCCTAGGCAGGGAGTAAGAATGGTTCTATAGTATTTCATTCGTCATATAAAAGTCAACTCGTTCATCAATTGCCAACTCTCCTATCTTACAATGAAGCCCAAATCAAGCATTCATAATCTGATTCGCTCTCTCCAAAACCTGTCGTTGCCCTTGTGATAAACCTCCTTCAAGAACATCCCACTTCCCAAAACCGAAGGCTCGCAACCCCAGTTCACTGGTGAGTCCTCGCAAACCAGCCTCCGTAGCTCGCCGGACATGCTCACTCTCTCCCTTGCCCCCCGGAAAATCTGGTGGAGGAACGCCCGCGACAAAGTTACTTTGTTGACGCGCAACATAGGCCGCGTTGGCCTCTGTAACGGGGCATGCGGGAATGTACATAACGCTCGAGTCTCCAGATCCGTTGTGTACTTTGTCAACGGCGTGAATGGCTTGTAAAGTAAGATAATTGCCTGTGGAATAAAGGTCAAGGGAGAAACTCACTGTCGCAGTGCCAGGCGACATAGTCACCTGGGGCAATCTTCGGGACGTGGACCATTGTCTTATCCAGTTCAAGGTGAGGATGAAGCGCTGCTGATAGTTCCTGTCCGTATCCTGGTGTTGCACCCTGCAGTCTGCTTGATGTTTCTTTCTCCAACCGCCAATTTTTAGGATCGAGGAATGTATCCAGTGCCATTCGCGAGCAATCCTTTGGCGGCAAATAGATAGGCTCGAAGAACGGTCGCAGAAGGAAGTATACAGTAGCCATTGAAAGAAGTGGATTTACCAGCAAAGTTCCCTCATTTGGCCCAGAATGCGACATGCTCAACCATGCCTGGAACATCCGGAACATCGAACATGCCCCAGAGCCGTTGTAGATATTCGCTTCGACGGGTACTCGGCAACTAGCTTCCCATGGGTCATACTGCTCCCAGCTGCCTTCCCAAATGCTCTTGTAGACATTGCCTCGACCGTATCCGTTGTCTTCCCAGCGTTCACAACTTCCCCCATCCACATGCGGACCGAGTGCAAACCCCGCATCTCCTGGCTGGCGGATACGAAGCCTGTCCGCATAAATGAGAGGGTGTGTAGAGGATATCATTGCGTCCGGTGCATCGGATTTCCAGAAACCCATGAGGAAGCGTTGTGCTTCGAGCATGTTCGGATGGGTGCGCGCGCGCATCTGGGGGTTTGACCAATATAGCTCATAGACCTGGGGATCGTGTGGGGGGAATGCTGGATCGGTGTAAGTACACTATACTCAATAGGGGCGTATAATCAAAAACATACCTTTTGTTCCAGGATTCTCCTTAACATAATCCTCAATTTCCTCCTTATAACCCCTCGCCTCATGTTCAGGTATCAGCCCTCGAATGACAGCAACCCCTCGCTTCCTGAGTTCATCCCGAAACGCCGCTGGGGCATTGTGAATATCTTTAAAGTCAATTGATGGAATAATATTAGAACCGCGCTGTTCAATCAAATTCACTTCATCCTTCAGTTTGCGCAGGAGACGATCCCAACTCTTCTGAATCTCGTCCTCGCGGCCAGCAATCAGCCTCTTCTTTTGATCTGCGAATCTCTCTGGTAAGGCAGTCTTTTCTTTCCCAGACAGCGATGCGAAGACAGATGAAATATCACCTTCTTTGCGAGCACCCTGGGTGGATGTAGCTAAGCAGCGTTTCAAGTTGTGCCATGAAGTGAGGGAGCGCAACCCTCGATAAGTGAGGACAGCACGAGCAGGGTTCTGTAACGGCATGGTAAAGCGAAAATTGACAAGACAGTAGAAATATAATCAGTGGGCTTGAAATCAAAAGTTCTTAATGTCGGCGACCTCGACGAAACAAACATAGTGTATTAACACAAGAGGGTTGTAGCGAGGGAATGGGACTTTGGCGGGGGCTTCGCACTAGTGTATTTATAGGTTCTCAGTGGCAAGACTTTCAATTATTTGTTTAAAATGACGAATATGCTTGTGCAATCCTAGGTGTATGGAGTGCATATTGAAGAAACAATACTGGCGGGCGGATATCCACATTGGGAAACATTCCGCTCAATTAGCCCCTTTTGATAATCTAACCGCCAGCGGGAACGCCAAAAAGAGCAATAGCAGAAAAAGCCCTGAATTGCATGGAATGACGATATAAACATCTCGAGCTCACGGATAAATTTATAATCTAAGAATCAAATACTCTCTACCTAGGGTTGGCAGCATGTTACTCAGTATATTCGATTGCTTTGCGCCGCAAAGGCTCGAGCCGGTTTATTTTGATATCAGGTATGCGTTCTGTTTGAATCAATCAACGACAAACGAAAGTCACTAAACATCATCAGGTTAAATGACGATACTGTCTGGCTTCCAGAAACACTGGCTGGTACTAGCTACGGTCACCTCCGAGACAGGGTAGTCCTATGCATCATAAGGTACCCTGGAAGGGAGCCCCGTTCCACCATCAAATATATAATCTCCTTCCGACGCCTGGGCGCTGTCCTACGGTATCGTTGCAGCCAGGCAATTATGAATTTCCCTTCAAAATTTGCTTTTAGGGACGAATCCGGAAACCATTTGGGGCGTTGATGACTGCTTTATCCTCTATATCCTTCGAGCGGAGATCTATAACAACACCGGAGATAGCCCGACTAGTATATCGAAGGAAATGAAAGTTCAAAAGGTGTATGCGATGTCCCTACTCAGGGAGCCTAGCGTGAGTGATTATACTTCTACAAACTTCAAATACGCCAGAGTCTAACGTAGCTAGTCTATCATGTATGACTGGCCAAAGAAGACAATTTATAACGTCGGAATCCCCAATCGAGCAGTATCAGTCGGCAGCAGCACCCGCATTGATTTCCGATCTATACCTCTTCTCAAGGGCCTCAAACTGGAAACCATTGAGACACATCTTATAGAAACACATTTTGTCGCGAAACCATCACCGGCCACTCGTTCTCGCGAAGTGTTGATAGATGAATATGAGCCTCCAGGCTGGGATAAATTAGATATAGTGCCCTTCGACGACGAGCATACACATTATTTGTACCACTTCTCTCAAACCCTCTGCCTCCCGAAATCTACCAAAGATTGCCTTCAAAGCACAGCAACCACAAATCTCCAAGTCGAACATAAGATTGCGGTCCTTACCACGCTCTTAAATCCGGATGGCCATATCTCATCTATTGGTCAACCCTTTCCGGCTTGGGAATGTGAACTAGGTTAATGTACATAGATCCGTTTCTCCGTTCCGATGTTTATATATTTTCGCCCGCCGAGTGGTATAAGTTTCTCGACACTTTCTGAGCTAAATATTTTGAATGCAGACCGCGGGCAGCTTCCACATTAGGACAGCCATATTAATGATATGAAACCAGACGAGCTCAGGCCAACCGATCTGACAGCGCCAGGATATATACAATGGAATGATGATATGGAACAGCACGAGCATCCGCCACATTACTCGATGACGGACTCTTTTCCCCGCGATTCCCAGCTACTTAGCTACGATTGGCTCATACTTTTAGCTTATGTCGTTGAAATCAATTTACTCCCAATAATGTTAACGGGAACTGTGCCAGCAGGATGAACCACCAATAGAGATGGTGTTTCCCCTTCTACTGCAACCATGAGTTATGCTGCATGTCGGAGAATATAAATGCTGTGAGCAGGGACAATGAAATGAATCAAGTACTGACTACTGAGATGGTAAAAGTATAACATTCTAATACCCGAGAAACATAACTTCTGCGTCTCATGATGCTTAGCGACAACCATATCATCTTAATAATAATATTTTATGTGGAAAGGGCCTTATGTGCAGGTAAACATGCAGCTCGCTTACCCTCTTGTTTGTCACACTGTTTGAATCTCTTTGTTAGGTTGCTATATAAAAATCATTCTGCCTTCCTCTCCTCCATCCTCCTGCTCCTTTTTCTCCTCCACCAACTGAATAATAACCTTCTTCCTATTGAGACTGATAGTAGTATTACAGGGGCTTTCCATCCTCGAAGATGACTCCAGAGGCAGTCTCGTACTTATTCCACCACATTTTCCTCCCTCCCAAACTGCCCCAGAAGGATGACTACGATCCATTATACGACATAGCACTAGTTGACCAAGTTATTGGAGCCCTTCGCCAATTCCGAGATCATGTCTCAAGTCAGGAAGCCGATATCTGTACGGCCGTTGTCACAATGATCACCCGTTTGAGAAAGACATATAGCTTGCATGGCGGGGTGGATGAAATGGGGCTCAAGAATGCACAAATTGACTTGAGTGCCAAAGGTAGGCATGGTCGCTCGAATTCTAGGAGCTGAATATTGACTTGTCACAGGCGGCTTCCTCCCCATCTTCATCCGTGCTCAGAATGCTGGCGTTTTAATGACCAAAAAGAGCGATACAATACATGTTGAGTCCTTCGAGCTGTCTCCGCGCAATCAAAGTGTTATTCAGACAATAGGCCGCCTTCAGCGTGACTTTCCAGGCACTACCATCGCTTTGGATCTAGAAACCTTCAATGAGTCTGGTCTTCAGGACACCATTGCCACAACTCTTGCAAAGATGAGCCATCAGTCTGTTCAGGGAACGAAAAGCAAAGTGCGCAAGGCCGGACAAGAGCATGATGAGAATCGTGATACCACGGACCCCCAGATGGTCACTGAGCTTTTCATGTCGTTCCTGCACTCGATGTGCGTCAACGACGAGAATCCGCAGATACAGAAGAACACCCGCGATGAGGTGATGTGGCATAACACAAAGTATCCTTGGCGAAGATCTCCCTTCTGGCTGCTAGTGCGCGTGATACTACAGGTCACCTTTCACAGATTGTCTTCGCAGGATGATCGTCTTTACAAGTCGTTTATGATCTATTTCTTGAGTACTGTCATTGACATTTCGTGCGATACTATGCCAAGTGAGCATATCCATGTCATGAATGTAAAGGTCGCTCGCCGGTTACTCAAGCTCAACCTGTCTGGCGACCCTCCTTGGTTTCCCTCGGTTCAGCAAATGCTGGAAAGAGCACGAAAAACTGTCCAGGGGGGTTGGCAGAAAGTCATGTCGCATAGCAGCTATGAGCATGATATGTCATCTTTGGAAAGTCTGAAATTTGATGAAGATACTCACTGTGCGCTGCTTGGTCTTGATCAATATCTTCAACGAATCCACAAGCAAGATGGCCGATGTTCTCAAGTATCGAAAAAGTTCTCACCGCGGTCTAGTCTTGTCCATTACGAGTCTACAGAGCTTCCAAGTTGTGTGAGCCTCACAAATCCAGGCTATCAAATTTACAACCTTGCCTCCTTCGAAGCTTGGGTTGCGTCACACCTTGATGAATGGATCAAGTTACATTTGGGCGAAGAGGCCACCTGCGGCCGCTTGGGTGGCCTTATTCAAAGCTATCATAAAATTGCCTCCCCTGTGTACTCTAGCCATCCAGAAGCCGTTTCAACTATGCTGCTCACTATTCTTGAATTATGGATTGCCTGTGACCGCTCTACAACCTATATTCATGGAATGCTGAATGATTACGATCCTTACATCCCGGAAGGCATCTTTGAGTCGCTTCTGCTGCCGTTCACATCCCAGATGGAAAGACTTGCCAATGCCGAAAGTTATCTACATAAACGGCGAAAGCACCTCCGACACCCCGGGCCTGGAATTTTCTTGGATTTTGGTACACCATCTTGCTTCTCAGTTCAATATTTCAACCAGTCAACTGAGCACCAAAGCTTGCAGGCTGACATAGAAGCTCTTGCGCAGCGCTGTAGAAGCGAAAAACAAAATGAGCTTCGTCAGAAGCACCAGAAGTACACTGAGTTAATGGACCAGGCTGCCCGAATGGAATGCGATTATCGTGAAGTAATTGTCGATCGCCGCTTTGATTATCGGGAGTCCCATCATAACAAGGATTCTTGTGCAAGGTGCGCGTGTCAGCAAAAGGCTAGCTCTATTACAATCCATGTTCACGAGTGGCCTCTTCCGGCAAATCACCTGGCTTCAAAGTCAACTGTTTTTGAATTGAATGTACCCAGTTCATTTGGATGTTGGCGTGACGCTACTGTCTTCTTCTTGAATGATGTTTTGCAGACTGAATATGCCTCTAAAGCGACACCAATAGCCGAGTATACGCCACAGAGATACCGGGGCCTTTCATCCTATTTCACACACGTTGGTAGTGGACTGCGCGTCGGCCTTCTGTCGGAAGTCAAGCCCCATGAGGTGACCCATCGGCGGAATAAAGAAATTATTTGTGTGACGGAAGAAGATGTCTGTCTCAATAATGGACTTCGCTGGCGATACTACGATAGCGCAGTTGGGTGCTTTATCGACAAGTTCACAGCTACACATGCGATGGCGAAGTCGTGCAACTATAAACTGCCCCCGAGATGCTCGTCTCTCCAGCGGTTCTTGTTCCGTCCAGCGGATATCCATAACGGCCCATCGCCTAATACCGTGTTTGCTTCGCAGTCTTCTTCTCCTGTGGACATGCCACTTGATGAATACAAAGCGTTGTGTACACTGCCTCTTGGAGTAGAGGTTCAGTGGCAGAATATTCTCAGGCAGCTGGCCATGCCATCGGTGGACTTCAAGAAGGTGGAAACAGATATCTTTATCCTTCAGGTAATTAATCAGGCCGGACCACCCTTAAGGAACTCGACGTCGAGACGGGGTCACCAGGTTCTTAAGGATAACAGATTTGCGTGTACAATTCTCCATAAAATTGAGGAAGCAACAGAACGATTGGAAGAAAATTGGGAGTTTGTGCATGGGCTCAGTATACTCATATTCCTCACACTCCGAGTGGTATCTTTATCTCCATCAACAGAGATCCATGATGCGTCTCTGAAGCGATTAAGCCATCTTCGCGAAATTGCTTGCAAGTGGATCAACCAGGTTTCGGAAAAAGCAAGCCGCACAGTCGATGATGAGCCCCGGAACTCCCTCCTCGCACGAAGTGTTCATATCGCGTTGATCTGCACTGAAACATTTGACTGTGAGGGAACTTTCTTGGAACGTTCACTCGCCACCTCGTCTGACGCCTCGATTTATCTCCGATGTTGCATGATAATCAATGATCGGAAGCAGGTATTGCCCATTGATTCCGACCCCATAATCCCGATTCTACTCCGCCGTTGGAAATGCCTAGCGTATCGTTGTTACCCAATTCTCGCAAGAAATATAACCCGTCATGGGAGCCCGGCCCTCGACACGGCCATAAAGACGTCTTGGGCGGCGTACTGCGCGTCGTCGAGTTGGTCAGCCGCATCAAAGGGAGATGAAATTTGGCTCGCTAACCGGACAGCATCTCAGTCGACCAATAATAAAAGCCTGCTTGTGCACTTCAATCTGCTCACAGGTGAGTTGCTCGTCAATGGTCTCCCACTGGCCCGTCTGCCCTTCGAATATGAGTGCCATGAAACATATAATAGGCTTTTTGGTCGATCGTTGCTACAAGTCATGCCGAGTGATGTGCCTCGAATGCAATTTTCCTGTCAGAAGAAACACATGGGGTACACCATACACCTGGGAAGGGAACATATCCCAAACTCAGCAGACTATGACCTCTTCGTTCAGGCGAGGAAGGGAGACCAAATCCAGGAGGTTGTACCTCCAAGGTTGCTGGTTGGCTTGTTCCCCGATGACTTTGTCAACGATTATGTGCACTGGTATGATCGAGACGGTGAATATGTAGAGTTTCGGCCTGCGAAAGAACCTTGGATCCCCTCGGAATTATACTGGAGACTGCAACATAATGGGCTCCAGGACACTTGGTCTCTTGTAAAGGACGGTGTGTATCTGGTCAATGTTAGAAGTCAAACCGCGAAACTACTGTCGGAGATCCTCAAACCCATCGAAAAACCCGCCAAAGTCCACTGTATCTTCAACCCCAAGACATCAGTATTGGACATTGACATTCCCCGTCTCCGACTAAATTATAGCCTTCAATCAGGATTCTCTTCCATCCGATCCCGACAATACCGTGGGATGTATATTGACGCCGATCAGTCCCTGGATACGTTGGTTGGCTTGCGCAATAGACTTATCTTGGTTCATGAGAGCAGTCATGATCGCCTCATCCTTGTACCAGAAGGAGCTGTGTCCTGGAATAAGGCTAATGGCCATGTCGCTGTTCACATTGACTGGCAGGCAGACACCCGGGTTCATCCCTATTTGGTGGACAGACAGCTTGGCCGCCTTGCTGATAACGGCAGTTTGCAGAGCAAACTATTTATGTCCTACCTACATGCCCTGACGTCGTTCTGCTTGCCTGATCCTTTGACAAAAAAGACTGGCACCGAGCAGGCTCTGACTATCCTGTGCTCTGCAGCCGTGAGATCATTTGACCAACTGCAGCCGGAGAACTGCACAATCCTTGCCAATATCGCACAGCTAACGCCCAAGAGATGGTATTATCCTGATAACGAACGCGTCATGCAGACGGTTCGATGGTACAACGACCTTGGATTCCTGGCTCAACATGCTAGCTTCTATTTGCAAGTAGTGGAGATACTTGAACAAGATCGCCGGATGGGAATCTTTTATCCTGACGAATTGGTCTCACACCCTTCACTACCGCGCGTGGAAGCAGACCTCCTGAAGCGTGAAAAAATTCGAACATCCGCTTTTTGCATCACTGGATTCGGCGCAGAGGATCACACGCTCGAGTATGATCGCCGCTATACAAGCCTCGGCCGCAACCACAACTCGAATGTATATTCTCGTGCCTATACAGTATCTAAGATGATATATGATAAAATTCCATCCGTTCGAATTAACACATCTGAGGGACTGGCTTCGTGCCTTTGGCAGTTTCTCGAAGCATCCAGTACGGTCAATGGCCCCAATGTCTCGCTCGACGCGAGGCAGTTGAACTATGATGCAGGGCTTATCTTGAATCCCACTGAGCTTACATCCAAGTATTGGTGCAGCATTCACCGACTACTTTCCTCAGCGCGCTCCCGACCGAATAGATTCCGGCTTATGATGTGGCTTGCAACTTTGGCGTTCTCTGAAAAGATCAGCATGGTTGTTCTCGAGGCTCTAACTTCATTGTACATTGTGCCAGAGATGGCTTCAATTTCTCCGCCGGCCAGGGTCTCCTTTGCGCTATGTGAAGGGACCACGATAAAGAAAGGCGAGATGCGGTCTCTGGTTTACTCAGCCGCCCTCAGAAAGACTCCGGAATCAGAGCTTTTTCCCGCAACAGACGAAACGTACTGGGCATTTCAAAGCCGCAGAAATGCTATTAAGAAAAAGAACAGGGACCGGGCAGTTGAGAAGTTCGTGGCTTACTTGCACAAGATATGGCCAGTGCGTGAGCCGGAGCAACCTCACTCCTGGGATCTTCCAAGGTTGCCAGATTATTTTGACATTCAAAAAGTCATGAGCCATGTCCGTGGGAGATTTACGATCTGGCACGACAACATGGAATTCAGGAGTTATCTCAACTCCCTTGCATCTTTATTGGGCTCCCAGGAAACTCAACTGGTGAACATGCCATCAATGTCTTTCCCATGCCGCCAAGAACCTCTCACTAGGGGACGAAGATTTGTTTCCGTTGATGATTTACTAGGCCCTCCTCCTGTCTTTGAAATGAGTCCTCCGCAGCTGTGTGAGGTATTGGAAACTCAATCCCCCGACGAAGAGCTGGCTCCTCGCACGTTAAATTTGGCCAGCACACTCGAATTGCAATCCAAGTCGAAGTACGAGCAAGGTTACGTCAAACAATTGCGGAGCAGTATCATGTCATTACAACAGACAAGTAAGACGCCAAGCATCAATATCGATGCCAAGAAGCTCAGGGAAGCTTTTTCCAACTATCAGGCACACTGTGAAATGTACTCTGGGTATGTGTATGCGACAATCATGTCGCGAATGACACTTTCTGGTAGAAAATCCGAGCTAGAGACTAAGGAGACCACCATACACCAGAACACTTTGCTACTGCTGCAAGGTATAGGTTATTGGCCAAGGATATCACCCACCCTACTACTTACTCAACTAGCCCGGGACCGGTGGGATCAACTCCCCAAGCAATGGAAAGCCTGTCTGATCGCCTACGGGCAGTCCATTACAGCCCTTCAGCGAGCGAAAAGGCTAGCCAGTTTGACAGACCGCCAAGACGACCTTATTCGTGAGCTTCAAAACCCAGGACACGTGAATTGGAAACCTCATGAATTTCCGGAGTCTCTGCTTCTGGAAATTGAAAATGGGATTCTTATCCGTGACGTGCAGGAAAAGATTGCTCAACAGATGAGAAGCCTCAATCCGGGAGAGAATGCCGTGATGCAACTGAATATGGGCGAGGGAAAGTCATCCGTCATTGTTCCAATCGTGGCAGCCGCACTTGCGAACTCATCGTACTTGGTTCGTGTGCTTATCGCAAAGCCGCAATCCCGACAGATGTTTCATATGCTCGTCTCCAAGCTCGGAGGGTTGCTGGGTCGTCGAGTTTATCACATGCCAGTTTCCCGGTCTCTGAAGTTTGGAGCATCTGAAGCAGCGGAAATCGAACGCATGTGTCGCGAATGTATGTCGGAGGGTGGTGTTCTCCTTGTCCAGCCTGAACATATTCTATCGCTGAAGCTCATGTGTCTGGAGTGTTTTAATGCTGGAAAGGAAGCGGTGGGCCGCTCTCTTCTGCGAACCCTAGAGCTCTTTAGGACAGCTTCGCGTGACATTGTGGACGAAAGCGACGAGAACTTTAGCGTGAAGTTCGAGCTAGTATACACCATGGGCACCCAACGACCGCTAGAGCTTAGTCCGCAGAGATGGACTGTTATTCAACAGTTGTTGAATCTAGTGAGGAAATATGCTCCGGGCGTCAAGAAGGATTTTCCTCGGTCAATAGAGGTGGACGAGCAGCGGCCTGGGGGCTTCCCCAGGACACGGTTGCTTCACAGCGATGCTGGAAAAGCCCTTTCGGAACGGATCGCGAAGCATTTTTGCGACATTGGAATTGATTCTCTCCCGATCTCGAGGCAGCCAAAGAGGACCAGAGACACCGTATTCTCATACTGTCTCGAACCAGAGCTGACTACGGAACAGATCGCTACGGTCGAAGACGAGGGTCCGGGAGGATTCTTTACCAAAACTACGCAAGGTCCGCTTCTGTTGGTACGGGGCCTTCTAGCTGGGGGAGTCTTGGACTTTTGCTTCGGGCAGAAGCGCTGGAGAGTTAATTATGGCCCCCACACTACCAGATCTCCACCTACCAAGCTATCTGTGCCCTACCATGCGAAGGACAGTCCTGCTCCGCGCTCCGAGTTCAGCCATCCGGATGTCGTTATTGTTCTGACGTGTCTAAGCTACTACTACGCCGGGCTTTCTGACGAGGACCTCTTTCTCGCGCTTCAACATCTAGTTAAATCCGATCAAGCCGACATTGAATACCAAGTGTGGATGCAAGATGCACCGGACCTCCTACCCGCGTATTGCCATCTTAGTGGTATAAATCTCGAAGACCGTCATCACTGCATTGAACATATTTTCCCAAATCTCCGTTTTTCCAAGGGTGCCATCGACTACTTCCTGTCTCACCTTGTCTTCGCGAATGAATTGAAAGAATTTCCTGACAAAATATCTGCATCTGGCTGGGACATCGGGGAGATAAAAGCTCACCCCACTGTCGGTTTCAGTGGAACCAATGACTCTCGAAATACTCTTCCTCTAAGTGTCAATCAGTTGGATCTTCCAGAACAAAACCATACAAATGCTCTTGTCCTGGAGTATCTCTTCAGGCCCGAGAATTCGGTTGCGTTTATCCCACCCCGTAACGACCCGTCTGTTTCGGGTGCTCAACTCCTACTCAACATGGTCACGAGTTTAGATCCAACAACACAGGTCATCCTCGACGTGGGTGCGCAGATTATTGAACTCCGCAATCTGGAAGTTGCGAAGCACTGGCTAAGAATGGTACCGAATGACGGACGTATCCATGCGATTGTATTTGTCAACGATAGCGATGAGATTTGCGTCCTCGACCGGAATGGACGTGTTGAACCACTACAAACCTCGCCTTTCTGCAAGCAGCTGGAAGCATGCTATGTATTTCTTGATGAGGCGCATACGAGAGGGATTGATTTAAAACTGCCACTTAAATACCGCGCAGCAGTGACCTTGGGCCCTGCTATTACAAAAGACAAGTTGGTGCAAGGTAAGGTCCTAAACGGTAGTCCTAGTATAGGAAGTATAGGCTAACCAGTGTATAGCATGCATGAGAATGAGGAAACTGGGCAAAGGGCAGTCAGTTATATTTTGCATTCCAGAAGAAGTCAAATTCAGCATCCTCGAGCTGTCAGGAAAAGGCAATCAGTCGGAGATTGATGTCTCCGATGTTCTTCGCTGGGCGATAGCAGGGACCTGGATCAATACACGACGCAGTATCCCCTTATGGGCCGCCCAAGGCGAACGATTTGAAAGGCAGCGTATTATTTGGGATGAGACCCGCCATGAGGATGAACTAGACATGTCCACAAGCCAAGCTATAAAGTTCCTCGAGCCTGAATCGCAGACTTTGGAGCACCGATACCAACCTCGCCAAGATGATGCCCCAATCCTGAGTACACTTTCGGATAAAAACGAGAATCTTCGCCTTATATCACAACGATGCCGGGAGTTTGATAACCTCAACTTCGCATCCACCCAGCTTCAGGAGGAACAAGAGCGGGAACTTTCCCCGGAAATCGAACAAGAGAGACAGGTCCAGAAGCCGCCCGAGGCTGAGCCAGAAAGGCATACAATCCATCCAGATTTGTGCTCGTTTATTTCCACAGGGGTATTCAAGAGTAATTCTGATGCTTACAAGCCCGCTTTTAAGTCGTTGGAAAACACATCTACAGCATCATTTTTGGACGTGGCCCAATTCCCATCGGAGCTTCTTGTCACGAATGACTTTGCAACTACTGTCAAAGAGCAGAAAGGGTCATCTTTTATCTCGGATTCCTACCAGCGACCAGTGCAGTGGATTCTCACGAGTTGTCAGCTCCAGGACCACTCCTCCAGCGAAAGAGTCGCACAGACTGTGGTTATTATTAGCCCATATGAGGCCGATCACCTGCTACCGGATATTCGAAAGTCGAAATTTGTTACCCTACACATGTATGCGCCACGTCAGAATCTAGCGTTCTCGTCCTTGGATCAACTGGCTTTGTACAATATACCCGCAACTCCTGCTCCGATCGAGATCCCCGATATTATCAAGATCCAGCTAAACTTGTTCGCCGGGCAGCTGTACCTCGCGTCTTACCGTGAGTATCAAGAATTATGCGATTTCCTCGGGGTTGCCTATATCAAAACGCCGGATGGTCTGGCCGTCGCGGACGACGGTTTCATTCTGGGGGATAATGAGAAGACTAATTTCAGACAGAGTCCGCTCAAATTCCTGGAGACCTTAATGTCACAAATACGAAAGGAGTGTCAGGAAATTGACAAGACGCACGTTGGCAAAATTGTGGCCGGTAGCATTTTGTCTCCATCCGATTTTCAGAATTCCGCTGAGATACCAATCCGGTCACGTGGGGAATGAGGTCTTCCGAATATGGTAGGTTACGGTCGTGGGTAGGTTTGGCATGGGAGTCTCACCAACGATACGTCCGATTTGCTCAGATTGTTCGATGCACCTCAGTGTATATGGGTGTCATACTTGCATGGGACTATGTTTTGGGTGCAACGTACGGCATGATTCTTAGGGCTTAAGTTGGATAGCAATCAAATCTATAATTTCCATAGGCAACGTACTTGAATACAGTTTCGTAACTGCACGAGCCCCAGCTCGCAACTTTAATTTGACTCAGCCACATATGTACTTGGCCTGCATCTATGCTCGCTTACCCGTGGGGCGATGTCTCGTATTTGCAACTACTGTCCGGGATGCAGAACCATCATACTCCAGACCTGCAGATTGATCGTCGACGGTACAATACGAAGTTAGCTCCTTGGCAGCAGCTGCTGTGCGGATGGCTTCAGAAAGATCTTCTGCCGGAGTCGCTTATTAGAAGTTCTGGGTCCCAGTTTCTATTGGTATGTTGACCATTTTTCGTATTCTTAGCATTTACCTGTTTATCATTACAGCTGAGAATAGAGTCTTCAGGACAGGAGAAATGGCCTGGCTGTGCTCCGTAGTTATAAGACCTGCGACGATCACTAATCGATAACTTATAAGGACGACATGTCCCCGACCACAATCAGCATAATCAACATCCGCTTTTCTTATTTTCCGTCATCAATCCAAATCGCTTTCACGTCATCACCATGGCTCCTTCCAAGGCAGTCCTCGCCTTCATTCCGGCCCTAGCCATAACTGTGGCCGCCTGCACCGGTCCTCCGGCCAACATCCCCACTCTTGACCTTCTCAAGGGTTTCGAAACAATGCAGCCAGACCCCTACGATGATGGCTTCGGAAACCCGACGATAGGCTACGGTCACCTCTGCACAAATAAAGCCTGCTCTGACGTGCCTTTCTCAAAGCCCCTGTCGGAAGATTCAGCGACCAGGCTGCTCCAGGGTGATTTAACTGTTAGTTATCTCCCTAAACCCTGGAAAGAAACCATGCCAAATGCTAATACCATTTAGAGCGCTCAAGACGCCGTCACAAACGCCCTCGCAGACCCGGTCACTCTCAACGACAACCAATACGGCGCATTGATATCATGGACATTCAACGTCGGCAATGGGAACATGAAGTCCTCTGATTTGGTCCGGCTCATGAATGCCGGCGAGGAAATTGTCGCGGTTGCGAATAATGAATTGCCGTTGTGGAATAAGGCTAATGGGAAGGTGGTCAATGGGCTTGTGCGCAGGAGAAAAGCTGAGGTGGATTTGTTTAACACGCCTAGTAATTTCGGTGCTTTGCCTGTTCCTTGTTAAAGCATAATGGTGTCTTACTGCTGGAATGCTGTGGGAAAGTTATAAATGACGTCACTATATACCAATATATAACCTCCGGATGTCGTTCCAAGTGGACTTGTAGACATCAATTGTATGAATATGGCATCTTCTGGATTCTGCCTTGTGACTCCGGCCTCCCGAGGACTGGGATTTGCCTTTGCGCGGTATCTCTTAGCGAATTCCAACCTGCCTGTTGTGGCAACTGCGCGACGGAATTGCGATGAAGTTCACGACCAGCTGCTCTCGGGTATCAAGGGCAAGAAAATACTACAGGTTCTCCCGGTGGACGTGACTGGTATTTCTCCTCTCCATACATCTAGATTGCATATCTAACACCACAGATGAATCATCCCTATCCTCCATGGCATCCCACCTCCGCGATACTTTCCCCAACACCTCCCTCCGCCTAGCACTAACCCTCCCCGGCATTCTGCACGTCGAGAAATCCCCCTCCCAGATATCCGCCTCCAATGCCCTCCAAAGCTTCCAAGTCAACGCCCTCGGGCCCCTCCTCCTAATGAAACACCTAACCCCCTTCCTCCCCACCAAATCATCCCCTCCCTTCAACCCAACAAAGGGTGCATTAATCCTCCCCACCCACGCCATCTACGCGATGATGGCCGCGCGTGTGGGGTCTATCTCTGATAACTCCTCAGGAGGTTGGTATTCGTATCGGGCTAGTAAAGCGGCTGTTTTTCAGTTGGCGAAGACGTTGGATTTGCATCTTTGCACGCGCAGTCGGGAGAGGGCGTGCGCGGTTGCTTTGCATCCTGGGACTGTGAGGACGGATTTTACGAGGGAGTATTGGGACGGGAGGGGGATGTTGGAGGCGGATGAGGCGGCGGGGAAGTTGTTGGGGGTTTTGGTGGCAATGGGGATGGAAGGGAGGGGGAGGTGTTGGGACTGGAGGGGGGAGGAGGTGGTGCCCTGATAGTTATGTTATCCAGTTTGCAGTGCAAGTGTTGCACTCGATTCTATTGATACAGTACGAGAATAATAACTACCTTCTAACCATACAACTCAATAGAAATGCACTCCGTAAAAAACTTGCCCGATAGCTGACACCTCCCATGAAGCAACATCCTATCAATCGACTGGCTGTTATACGCAGTTACTTTCGGTATTCCATCATCATCAACTGGTTGCGTAACGCTATATATATCCCTCCCCATCATTCTCTGCCAGTTAATAGCTTTAGCCACGCCCACAGCCTGGTAGACTGGAAAAGCGCCTTCCTCTGTAGGCTGGATGCTCTCAAGATTCTGGAGCCAGTTCTGGATCTCGAAGCTGAGAGAAAGATTCTGACAACGGAGGAGCGCGGCTAGGAGCAGACCTGAGAAACCGATTGTGTAGCTGTTCCGGGAGGCAGAAACATGGGGCTTGGTTTCTTTGGCTATGTGGAGAAGTAGTCGAATCCAAGGTTCTTCTTTGTTGGAATTTGGGTTGGATCTGCTGCTGAGATGACGCAAACCGTCAGTACATTGCATAATCCGCGCAAGAGCATAGTACGCATAGTTGAGTGCAGCATCGTGTGATTGGAAAGAGATTGGCGTATCGTTAACGTCGTGGTCAATTGGTTGAGGCTGCTCTAACGGTGGGAGATGCAAGAGCCACTCATCCAGCTTCCTGGCTTCCTCGGCCAGGAGTATATAATGATTCAATTCATCATTATGGTCATCAATCGGGTACTGTCCGCGGTCCTTCCAGTCATTGTACTCCTTTTGAGGGCTCCAATGCTTCAGCGCCGCATTGCAGTTGAGTCTGTGCGATTCGCACATGATACTCAAGACAACAACACGTCTCTCATAAAGCGAGCTCATAAAGCTTCCCTCAATCAGTTTCGGTAACGGAACTGACGGTAACCGCCGCAGTACGTCTAACGAGCAAAAGTACGCACGAGCCCACCAGACCACAAACCGTATCTGCATCCACGATGTGAGAAGGCTTTTCGCAACTGGGTCTCCCGCTATCTCTTCAAAATCCGTAAGGAGTGCCGATAAGCCCTTGGAATGACAGTAGAACCCCTCGAAATTCCCCATCGAGGACTCGAGATGCGCAAACACAGAAAGAACCGTCAAGGCTATTGTCGCGTTATATCGATAGTCGACTTCTTGTAGTGATGTGAATGCTCGAATGGCTGATGAGTAGTACCAATAGCTTCTGGTCTGGTGGGTAAGACTTGGACTGTGGGCTGGGGCATTCTTTTCGGAGATATTTCTCTTTTCTGCATATAAGCGGCTCAGGTTGCATGCTGCCAGGGCCAGAATAGCATCGTTCATCATTCGGTTACTGCTAGCTAAGCAGAAGGCTGAGCGGAAGATTGGATGTAATGCCGGGAGACATATGTCTTCCCAATATGTAGAATAGAAGACATCTCTTTCCGTGTGCTGCAGAGATCTGATAAAATCAAGCCGTGCTATCCCAAGGTTGTTGGAATCAGCCAAATTGGCGACACGCCTTTCCGGAGAAATTTCTTTTTCGGCTCTGGTCGTGGTGTCTGCTTGGAAATGGCGATTCTTGAAGAACCCGGCCTGTCTACCATGCGAAATTTGAAATCAGGTTTACTACTCTCACAGACCTTTCCCAGTCTGACGCAAGTCCCACACGTCGGTTTCTGCTCATCGCACTAACGACAGATGTTAGTAAATGCTTATTTATAGTGGAAAGCTGCCAATTAACCTTTGTTTTCCTCTCGCGACAGTTTCTACATCCCGTGCGAGACCGGACAATATCCGTTTTCTTGGTTCTCCGAGGAGCAGGCTTGTACATTTCGCTATGCCCTGCGGTATGGACGATGTAGATTCCTCATTTCGGACGGAGCCCAGGCATGAAACAAGTGACTGTTAGAGATGATGGAGCATTCATGAAAACTCTTCTGTACAAGACGAGCAGTACTCTGATATCTCGGCTGATAGAAAAAGTGGGGAAATCGCAGCCGCGCACCGCTTCAGGAATAGCGCACAAGACCTACTATGGGGGTATCGGACGCTCGATATCTTCCCAAATGCATCATTGGACGAGGAATCAATGCGTTATCATGGGCTAGCCGGTACTTTGATCCGACCAGGACTCGCCCAGAATGGTCTACAATAGCGATGAGCTTCGAGTAAGCACCCGCGTAAATGCGGACTATATATACATCAGCCCCTCTCGGTTTCACGAACATATTTTCCACATCTGCTTCACATCTTCGAAGACACAAAATTGTCCAACATGGGTTCGATAGCAGCACTCAAAATCGCTGTCCTCATCAACAGCCCACCCGGCAACGAATTTTGGAATGACGTGAAAAAGGCATATGACGACGCCTTTCACTCCGTCGCATCGGATGCCCAGATCGACTTCTACGACCCCGTATTCGACGCTAATTTCCCCGATCCCGGAAAATACGACTTTATCGTCCTGAGCGGAGGAAAAGCCGATTCCTCTTCATCGGAGCCATGGGTGCTAGGAGTGCTGGATTTTGTCCGGAACACGGCGCGGGACTTTCCCAGGGTCAAGATGCTGGGTATCTGCTGGGGGCATCAAGCCATTCAACGGGCACTAGGGGGTGTTGTACATGCTGTCCCGACTGGCCCAATTGTACAGTTTACAAATGAAATGCTTCATTGAGAGTCGAGCAAAATGCTAACGGTAAATTTTATCACAGGCCGCAATTCAGGATACTAAAATGACCCCGGAAGGAAAGGACTTTTTCCGCTTCGCTCCAGGAACCGAGTCCTATGTAAGTATTCTATGCTCTATTAACAACACCTCTGTTAAACTAACAGCAAATAAGCGAGCACCCGAATTCCACGTCCGCGAAGTAGCGCAACCGGCTCCCAACTTTGTCCATCTCGCAGAAGGCCACGAATGCTTCGTGAACGAAGCGAACACAATCCTCACTTTTCAAGCTCACCCGGAAATCCATAACGCCCTTGCGAGGAAAATGTTTGCTGATGAGGATGATGTGTATACCGGCAATTCGTCAAGGGAGCAGGTTGAGAAAGAAATTGAGAAGCTGGAAAAGCCGATGGACGGTAGATTGTTGCTGGAACGGATCGTTGAATGGGTGAGGGTGTAACTAGTTGTGATATCAGAAAGGAGTTGGTAGTCATGTGGTCCAATCTAAATTGAACAGTAGTTTAAACCAAAGTTCCTGAAACCCAACATCAATAACTGTCATAGACAGACGAAGAGAATGATATGAAAATCTCGTCCGTGGAGTACTTGACAGCTATGGATGACTTGTCCATATTCTTGGCCGACTTAGGATGCTAACGGTCGACCTTGAATCGCTGTGTTTTGCATTGGAATACTTATGGTGGCCTGACAAATGGGGAGGCTACACATCTTAGGCAATAAAAAGGAGCCAAATTATGATACTAATTTTTAACTTGGTTGCATTAACTTATGGAATCATATTATATACATCGTTGAAGTAACTCCGAATAATTCGGAGGCGTCCCAGACCCGTCATACTGCGGCAACATTCCATCCGAGGCCCCAAGCCGCTCAGATACCACTGAAGCTTCAGCATACTCATGCACAGGTATCGGCACTGTCGCACCCAAAACACGCACAGTGTCTCTTTTGTCCACCAACGACCCAGTTTCCCTATTAACAGTCTCGCTACCCGTCACAACAGTCACTGTCAATCGATGTTTCACAGCCAGAAACGGTGCTGATAGCGAGTGCTCGGACGTGAAATCGGTTAATGCATCTGCACCGCTGTCGATAGTGATATCAAACGGAATGGGGATCCTTGTATCCTCGGCCCCAACATTCACGGCATCGAGTTTCGCACCAGTCCACCGGCCTTTGAGTCCACTAGTTGCTATTGTTCGTTTCTGCCTCGTTATTGTTATCGGTTTGCCTTCTGTATGCTGTAGATTCCATTTCTGGATTTCTTCCACGTGCCACGTCACTTCTTTCACTACCACCATGGTAAGTTCACCGTGACGAGGCCCTGGCGTGGCAACATCTCGTAGTAGGAGCTGAGCAGATATATGTTTGCCGGATCTCTGTTCATCTGATGCCAATAACTGAGGACAGAGGATGAACTCAGCGCGTAGCTTTGTTTCCGGAAATGTTCGAACATAGTGGAACACTTCCTGGGGACCAGGAATTTTAACACTACAGATTTGCAAGGTCTGACGAGTAGTGAGATCCCGTCCACTAGTCGTAGTCGCTGAAGCCACTAGCTCATATGAGATGTTGTATGCAAGCGTTCCGATTGACGCGGGTATATCGCATGGAATTGATAGGCTGAATCCATGGTCGCAGGTTTGATACGAGGTCGGCAAAGTTGAAAGATTGCAGTGAAGTATTTCTGTAGCAAAAGATATTTTTCCCGAGCTAGGGTTGTACTGTTGCTCCTTTGGTTTGTGGCGCTGGAACCATTTCTTTGGACTTCGTTCTTTATGGTTGTAATATCCACTAGTGTGTCGCTCATTATCAACTAGAATTGTTTGCATGAGGGTTAAGCTTAGCGAGGATAGCTCTGCCGGTTCATCTAGGCGAATAGTCCCTGAGAGAGGAACACAATGGGATTCACCGTTGGTGTCCAGAAATATAGTATGCTTGGATGGGCAAAACAACTGCATCTTGCCGTACTGTGCAGCGAGGGCTGAGAACTTATGAATAAAGAAGAGAATTTTCCGTGCATGCTAATAGGAATGATTGCTTGTATTTATGGATTCCTGTTGTGTGCATTATCTTTGGAACATTGTATCGGCTGTGATGTATATCCGACTAGTCCAAAAAAGGCAGCTCATATGAGAAACTTACCTTTCTGAGCTAGGGGTCCACAAATGACAATCCATTGATGACCTTCGGGACCGCTTAATCATACCACTGAGTAGAGGAGTACAACGGAAAAGAACGGCAGTCGTTTTATTATTATATATCCAGTGTTCTTGGTAACGTCTCCCTAAATCCATATTTACATTCAGACCTGTCACGCTAAGAAAAAGCCACAAGCCCAAGCCCTCTTTCTCGCCAGCTCAATCCACGATATACATTGGCTATTAGGCAATGTCCACCAATCCTTCAGAAATGACAGCACCCGATTTCTATCCAACGTACGGCTAATGCGCATTACATTTGTGAGATGACGCTCGATGAGCTTTTGACTAGCTCGATTTCCGCGGAACTCTGTCCCAGCGATAAACAGCGGCCATACGAAATTCTGCGCAAACATTTCATTCCCCGTTCCAGACAGAGCGTGCAAGTTTGTAAGAATCGCATCGCGGGATTGCCTTATCGGAGTTTGACAAATACGAGGGTCTGCGAGCGCTTGGTAGCTGTATATAAGACTGGCGTGGAAATACATCCATGCAAGGTGCTCAAACGCACATCTATCGTTGTCGGACCAGAATTGGATTGATTGGCCGAGGCATACAGCACTTCGTCTGGCTAGCTCGAGCTGAATATGAACATCGACGCAGGGAATGAGGTCTGGTGGAGGTAGTTGCAAGAGCTCAGCACGAGCTTTGATGCGTTCGGCTTGGGTGATTTGATGGATGATGCGGATGAAGTCAGTGAAGACGGCATCACGACTGCCAGCCAGTGGAATCTGTACTATCTCGTCTATATCGTGAAAGGTCGTCAAATGTGCCCATACTGAAGTCGCGTAGAACTCCTGTAAGAAAAATTCCTCCATTCGATCTGCCTGCTGCTGCAGAAGTGAGCGGCCGGTTTCTGCTTGGATGACCTCTCGCGCAGCTTGTAGATGGACCCGCCAACCGGCTTCCTGGGCCGTCAGTAACTCAGCATTGCAAAGGATGATTGCTGATGCTAGAATCGGGGTGGATATAGTATGAGCAGATCGTGAATCCGGCGGCCTGCGCAGGATGATAAGTTCGCTAGCAAGTAGTCTAAGGGCTTTATTTTGGTACGATTTCGATATCCTTTGGAACTTGTCGCACCAAACATCGCCAATGGGATATTGAGAAGCCATATCATGCGCCGTCAAGGCGAGAATGGACGAGAGCACTGTTTCCGACCCCTCAAGTAAAGGCAAGACGACGTGCCGCCATGGATTTTCGGGACCATCTATCCACGCTAACCTACGAGCAACACGTTCCATGAAGTATTGAAGTAATTGAGGCGCATGTGGGGTTTGAGGGTCGAGAAAACATGGATTCGAAGGCGACGGCGGGACTTCCAACTGATCCTGCATGTTCTCCACGCTCGATAAAACACTGTTTAGCCCATGTGGTAGTGACGATGTTGCGGCAGGTGCATCTCGCAAGGGAATGGATTTCCCCTGCAGCTTTCCTCGGCTTGCAACACCTTGTGCCCATCTAACAGCTATTCCGTAGCCCGGACACTCCAGGCTACGCTTTGCACACTTGTTGCATCCCGGTAGACTGCGGTCACACTTGATGCGACGAAGCTGGCATTTCTTACAATCTACTCCGTACATCATTAGCAGAGCGCTATCGTTGATGATCTCGCCACATGGGCCTACCTTTTGGTGCGGTTTTGTCCGACAACTGCTGCACGGGCATTGCTTCTCATTCTCAACAACGTCGAACAGGATTAGGAGTGGTCGTTGAACAAATCTTTGTTCATCCGAATATGCGATGCGCTAGACCGTTTCGGGAAGGCGGATTGAGAAATCTTATTAGTGGAGCACGTCATGTGATATAAGTCAGAATTGGAAATTATCATTCGCTCGATTACCGGAGCATAGGAGACGCCAATGCTCTCTGCTATGTAGAGTCATTTGGTCGATTGCAGCACTACGTACTATTCATTTCTATCAGCAGCAGCCGCTTTCTCTCTCTCACCCGCGCTGAGCTGCACGCCGTCCCGGTCCCACTGCTCCCTGCAAAAACGATAGAAATCTTTTTGCTGTCCGGGAGTAGGTCTCGATCCAAACTTTCCACGCCTTTGACGGGAGGTATCCATTTCCATCAATGTGCCGTCATCACCTTCTTCCTCCGTATATCTGTAGGTACGGTATTCCATGTTTGCCCAGCCGGTTCCTGGTATCGATTAGGGTTATTTGGTTCCGGGGTAGGGAGGCGTGCATACCTGTATACATACTACTATCCTCCCAGTCCTCCGTTAAGAAGTGCAGAAGCCCACCATGTGCGACAACCACGACAGCCTTTTCTGGTCTTGCTTTTAGCCAGCGTCGCGCATCACGCGCACGTGTCCGAATCGCTTCACCATCCGGTGCATAGCGCCCACTCTATAGAGTTAAGCATGGGAATATGCTCGGGTTTTCCAGTCGGGAGATGACTGGATCCACTAACCTTAACATGCCATCTATTGGAAACAAGTCTCAGATCTACCGGAAGGTTATTGTCCAGAACCTCTTTCTCCAGGCTCTCAAGATCACTCCCACTGTCACAGGGAAGGTCGCTGACCTCCTGGAGATCTGGGAGCGCGATGAGCTTTAATCCAGGATTTTTCTTGAAGACAGGGGCAAAGGCGTGTAAGGCCGTGTAAATTGTCCGACGGATCGGAGACGCAACTATCAGCTCGACGCTGGAGTGAAAGGGGAAATCTTCCCGTAACTTTTCACATTGCTTTTCACCTGCCGGTGTAAGGAGGGGATCGATCATCTGCCAATTCTCGTGCCCCAGATTATGAAAGCCCTAAAGATTGTAAGTATATTCTCATCACGATACTTTAAAACACGTACTTGAGCATGGCGAACACAATGGATCAACGGAGCCATATTACGGAAATTGAAATCAGGTACTATAGACCCTTAAGCCATGACAGCGCTCCGATCATTATTTAAATGAAATTTCACCCGTACTTGAGCTAAGTTGCGGGGAGGCTAAGTAGCCCTATTTCGCCAATGGCGCTAAACTTAATAGGGGAAATAGATTGAGATTCCACAGCCTCACTATCTACCTCTTATCGTGGAGCCGTTAAGATCTATGCAGGTCTCAGCATCTGTTTTGGATTATCCGTACGGAGTACATATAAAATTCTCCGACGCTATACTGAGCTTCACGCAATAAATCCCGGACGCTAACGCCATCCTCATCAAGAACAGAAAGATCTGGCTGACATTTCAACAAAAGCCGAACAGCCTCCGTCGAACCTCCCACAATCGCCCAATGGATCGGCGTTCCTTTCTTATTATACTTGAAAAGAGCAAGCACCCACCACATTGGCACCTCATCAGCATTCGCTCCATATTACAAAAGAAGCCTCATCCTTGGTATATCCCCTTGATGGCTGCAACATGTAATACACCAGACTCCTCCACACTCACACCAGCTCGTAACAGCCGCTCCGTCCACCTGATATCACGATTCATCCGCACCGCCACGCCAAGGGGCGGAAGCATATGGCCCCATCGACCGTAACTGGGATCAACATCGGTTCTTTTGTCTAAGAGGAACTCTAGCAGTGACTCGTAATGATGGCGGAGAGCGCTGGTTAGCGGAGTGCCGCTGGAGCCCAGGTCGTGGTTCACATCTCCACCGTTGTCGAGGATTACTTGGAATGTTGCGACGTCGCCGTATTGTAGAGCTTTGGGGTAGACGAAGGTGCTAATTGTGCACCGTTGTTGAGCCAGCACTGGAGCCGAGATGCGTTTCCGGTAGACGCGACGTCCTCAGCTTCTAGCTGAAAGAGGGGTTCGGAGGAAGATGGCATCGTGGTATAGTTGATAATTGAGACATTAAATGTAGTTATGCAGCTCATAAACATTCAACATTCTGAGAACAATTAATATTGACGTTTAATTTGGCCTCACGTGTCAGCCTTGTTGAGCTCATGACTTACCATCCGGTGCTTTAACACCATGAGCAGTTTGCGAAAGAAGAGGATTCTTAGAGATTCGTAATCTATCCCATTTGATGCGGTCAGCCATTTCTTCGTCCAGATATGCCAATATCATTACAGTAATGGCTCAGTTTAGTTTATTAGGATTAGATATGAGTACATCGATACCCCCTTGTGATTATGTACAAAACTTCCTATAGTCCTTGATATAGCCCTCATCCAGACCGATTACCGGCTATTCTGCGATCCATCCAACTCTGCCCTCGTATGGCTAATATCCGCCGGCAACTCCTGCGGCGGCACATTGTTCGCAGACATCTCCGCAACCTCCGACATGCCCAACTCAACCGGCCTCCCTTGGCCATTGAGTTCCGCCAAATGAGGCTGTCTGCCTTTACCATTTGGGTCTATGATATCGCGGTTCCACTTCGCGTTGCGACGCCGCTTGTACGCGATGGCTAAGAATGCTAGACCACCAAGGGTAGCAGCGCCGGCGACAGCGCCGACAGTTGCTCCTGCAATGCCGCCTTTCGAGAGTGGGTTGAAGCTAGTGTCTGATTGGGCTGTGGAAGTTGACGACGGGGAGGCGCTTGAGCTGGAGACTGTCTTTTTGTTTTCGAATAGATTGGCTATGTCAGTGCTGCCGAATCCTTTCTCTGGTTTCGTAACAGTGGCGCCGCCAGTTACGCTAGATGAATACTCTATTAGCGACGAAAACAAAAATTAAGAAGGACAGACATACCTTCCACCAATAACATTGGAAATGTTCTGATGTACTTTGTACTCCCCGTCATCCGCGTCATAATTGAAAAGCCAATCGTGCTCATTGAGATCAAAAATTCCTATTCCGTTCTGAAACGTGCCACTGTCACAGGTGGATGGTTTAGGCTTAAACTCCTCACTGCCATACGGAATAAGCCCTCCAATAGCCAGCATGGTGTGCTTTCCTGCAAGTTGGCACTTGTGCTCGATTCGGAGGTCACCACCATCTACGACCCGGATCCAACGAAAAGATGGCAAAGAAAGAACGTAGACATCGCCATCGGATGTGATAGTTGAGTTTGACATACCACCGAAGACATAACTAGGGCATTATTAGACAACGACAGACTCATGTATTATGCCTGATGCTATACAGCACTTACATAGAAAAGGATGACAGATCTGGAGCGGCAGCAACAACAGTACAGCCGGCCATTCGCCAATGAGGAATATCTCCCGTACTTTTTTGAGTATACCATTTGTCATTGGCGATGTCATAAATAGAAATTGACTCCATTGAGTTCTATGAAGACAGGTTAGCTCGTTAACACAATGTAAAGATCGGATATGAAACAAGGGATTAAATGCCGTACTTGAAGATCCGGGCTGTTCTGCTTCTGGGCCAGAATATCCAGCCCCTGGCCAATAGGATGTGTATTCCCACCAAAAGTGACCAGTATCCCTTCATCACCAAACTCTTCAATCAGGTTCATATACCCATTATTGAGCGTCCCGTACTCATTCAAACCCTCGCTTGAGATATTACTCCATTCCAAGGTATTCTGGTCCAAGACGAGCATCCCGGAAACGCTGTATGGACTCGCACCATGGACTCGGGAGAGGGCGGGATTTCCTTCTGTATCAACTTCACCTCCAAGATAGTAGGCTTTCTTGTGCACTGATGATTGTGCTGTGGCCCCCTCGGCCATTCGTTGGAAAATGGCACCTCTGAAGCCGTCTGATGTCCAGTCACCACTCTCAATGTTATATTTCCAGGTCGCCACTGGTGGGGGTGAGTCGAGTCGTTCATTGTATCTGGTGACGTAGCCCCCGTAGAAGTAAAGGTTCGATCCGTCAGAGAATGTTGCGCCTTCGTTCATTGCTGGTGGATAAGCATCGGGATCAGATTCGTTGTACGGTTTTTTGATAGTGGTGAATAAATTCGAGTCATAATTCGACCACGATTTGGAGAGATCGACGGCGAGGAGGTCGTAAGCTGAGCAAATGATAGTATTGCACCATTAGCAATGCGTTTGCGGTCAAACGGCGAGGGTGCCAACCTGTTTCCACCGTAATCTCATCATCCCCATCGATGTATCTCAACTCGCCGCCGTCGATATATAGTGTTTGATTATTAACAATCACTGAGAAAAGACGGGGTTACACAAGTTAGCCCACAGTTGAAGTCGTCTGGTGTCGTTGGTCGCAAAACATGTAGCTTACCAGAGTGAAATTCGCGGGAACAAAGCTGCTTTGTTGCTCCCAGCGTTACTAGAAGGAACAGGAGAAGAACGAGTCTATCCATATTTAGAAATTGGGACCCTTTCTGGATGACGTTGCTGGCAATTGTACACACATGGAATACTGCATCAGAGGCAGAGGTTGGTCTTGTGAAAGACTTTTCTAGCAAATTGAAAAAGAGACTCAGCAAAACGCGCTTGGCCCACATAACGACCCGGCTCTTTTAGTCTGGAAATTGGGCAAGTGCTCTGTACGTTGTCATGACAGTACTACACTCTGGCTCTCTTCGAACTTCAAGGGTTTGCCGCCGGCAGTGGAGACAGAGGCATTGTAGAACCCTATCATATCAACATAATTCATGCGGCGCAGCGCAACCTGAAGATCAATGCTAGAAACGGCATATGGAGTAGCAGATCTGGCGATGGCTTGTGCTCCGTGCATTTCGGCATTGCCGACTTGGGCGAGTACTTGAACTAGCCATTGATGATCACAATACAGATCGGTTTGCCCGGCGTTTCGACCAAAATTAGGATTATGTCAGTCCGCCCTCCACTCGCGGTTATGGGAACTGAAATTGTTGATCATAATGTGGGACGCTGCTTTATTCGGCTCTGGCTGGGTCCATTACAGCCCTTGCGGCCATCATTCCTAGACCCTGGCGATGGACACAGAAATCTTGGATAGAAGGTGGAAGGTGAGAATGTGTGGATGGGAAGATCATCCATGTGGAGCAATGTGCAAGAGATGAAGCTCAAGTGACGAGGCCCAAGAATTGAGCACAAATGCAACTAAATTGAAATGGGAAGCAGTACAGAGCAGCGCTCATTCGGGACATATGATGCAACTTTCACTGCTGAGGTGAAGAAAATAAGGGATAAGAAAAATGAGATTTCTTCTTGGTATGGCTCGGGCTTAGTACAGATGGCAATTTGCACACCAACAGGCAAAATCTTCATACATCTCACGATCCTTCAGCCACTGACTCTTTGACAACCCATTCTTTCCCAACATGGCGCTTTCATAACCTTCCCCATAGCTTTGCTTTCTATCTGTTTTCCAAACTCGTTTACATCCTTCTTCATAATCCACTCATTCCTGAGCAAAGTGTTTCCTCCCTTCTTCTTTCATGTCCATGGCCAGGCAACATGCACAAATAGCCAAGCGAGTTCACTTGCCTTTAGCTTCTCCAAGGGACGAGTGATTCGCATATATGCCCCTAATACCTTGGATGTTCCTTTGCGGCCTGATTCTTTTCGGGAGCAAGGTGCGTGGCAGGGGCCGTGGAAGTCTGAAATATATAGATAGTGAGACTCGGGAGACTCAGCTTGTCCTTGAAATAGTCGATTGTGTGCGGTAGATGTACGCGCGAATGCATGACGGTAGGTCTAAGAATTGGAAGTATTTAAACATGATAAATGCAAAATCGTCGAATATGATTCAACAGACAATCTATGGAGTCAGCTAGGATCCTAATTAATGCCTCAAGGAACAATGATGATTCATTGCGGGTTTCTTATGACCTTCAAAAATGAGGCACAACGCCATACAAACGGTTTATTGCAATAATACATCGTTTAAAGCCAACCATTACCACGGCTGCTTCTACTGCATATATTTCCCAAGTCTTACCAACATCAAACGAACTACAGTCCCCAGTAAATTGACATAGCGTCAGGCACTGATGAGAATTGTAACGGGATAAGCATACAGAGTACGCGGCCCCCATCTTTTCTATCTGATAGTACAGCACCGGTTGCGCCTTATTATGTCAAGCCTCTAAGACCGATTTTGCATCATGGAATAGATTTCCTACGGTCATTATTCTATAGCACGAGGGAGGATGCCTGTATGAATAGTTATGGATGATAACGGAGCCGTTGGATGTAATTGAACAGCATTTGCATGTGTGTTGAGTTTGAAAATATATATTGCAAGTTTGCAACGGCCTGACACTGTATGTATCGATAAAAAGATAGAACCACTGATCATACATCCAGCCCCCTCGCCAATTCAAGAACAACATCTACTACCACCTCAGGGCTTTCCTGCGGCGCCCAATGTCCAACACCATCAATCAATCTCAACGCCTGGAAATCGGTACACACTGTCCCATCACGCATTCTCTCCAATGCCCCAGGCTCCTGATAGATCCCCCAGTCCAACTTTCCCGATACAAACGCACATGGAATTTCAATCTTCTTCCCGGAAAATACCTCATAGTCCGCTGTATACTTCCCGCCCTTAGCTGTCCGCACGCGATACCAATTCAGACCTCCCTGGAACCCCGTCCGCTCATACTCAGTCACATAAACTGCCAGCTCCTCATCGGGTAACCAGCCATGCGACAACCGAGCATGCTCCTTAGGCTCCGTTGCCATCAAATCTGCTACGGTCTCCGGCATCGTCTTATCGAGCGGCATGATGTAATAGCCCGGTAGCTGCGCGAGTTCGGTCGCCGACCACTCATGCAGCTGGAACGGCTTGTTACCCTTCCAAGTCCCGCTTTTGAGATGGAAATAGCCGCGCAAGAACTCATGGAGACCCTGCGGGGGGTTGCTCATTTCCTTGTTCGCAGGCGCAGTGGAATAGTACCATTTATAGTGCTTGCGACCGAGAGACGCAAGGGCACCATGTACGTCGCCTGCTGAGGATTCGGCGCCTCCTTTAGATACATCTTGTTCCTGCGCTGGTGCATTCCCAGTGTTAAACGGTGCTTCCGGGGCTCCGTTGAACGGATGACTCAGCAGGACTACACTCCGGAAGAAATCCGGCCGGATGAGAGCGCACATGGCTGCCGTGACAGCGCCGGCATCGTGGCCGACAACGCAGTGAACCGATCGGTAGCCCAGGGCATTCACCAGTAGGACGACATCGCGAACTAAAGTGGTAACAGAGTAGCTTGACAGGTCCACGTTCTCGTAGGAGCGGTCATCGTGGCCAGTGGTACGGCCAAAACCGCGCGAGTCCGGGGCGACCACGTAGTAGCCGGCCTCCGCGAGAGGAGGTATGACCTTGCGCCAGGAGTAGGCGAGCTCGGGGAAGCCGTGGAGGAGGATGATAAGGGGTTGATTTCGGGTGGGGGAGTAGTTGGCTTCGAGGATATGCACGGAAAGGGGATTGTTGGAGGTGGAAAGGGGAATGGTTCGAGAAGCTATGATGGGGTGCATGGTGTGTGCGTATGCATTTAGAGGGAGATGGATGGTTGGTGGCTTTTAAAGAGTCATTATAAGCTTCAATTGCGGCCAATGGGCTCATCATCGTACCCCGCAGATTGAAGCAAGATTATTAATGCTATGTATTATTATCTTTTTCATAGTAGTGTATATTTTAGTACATATATTCATTAGATTCTGTTTACCCCTTGAGAGACCTTCTTTCACTTCATTGTCGGGTCCGAACACAAGTGCGAAGGACTATCTATATTTTCGGAGATGACTTCAAGTTGATAAGTGAAGGAAGGAGATTTGAAGTCCAATAACAGTTCACCCAATTGCTCCCCGTGTTTAGTAGCATCTCCCGCCGAGGGTACTGTCAATCGTGCCGAGTGTGTATCAGTAAAGCCATTAAACGAGCTTCGATCTCATTTGCGTGACGGGGACTTGCGCTAGAGGCGTGGTGAAAGAATAGGAACATCAGGACCAGGATAGGCAGAAAGATATATAAATCACCAACTTTGAACGAAGGCGTTGCATGATGATTGCGTCTGCCATGGGGTGTGAGACATTGAGAATAGGAACGAGGCAAGAGATGGTTCTGGCTCGGTAGATATATATGCTGCGATTGCAGCATTCACTTCATTTGTATATAAGCAGTGAAGATGGAGAAATGGCAAAACAAGAATGAAAAAGTATTATCATAAAGATTCTACAAAGCAATGCTCAATATTTATGAAAATATACAAATCTAAACATGCATCCGCACCATAAAAACAAAAAGCTTTATGGATTTTCAAACCGCAACCAAATAAACCTAATTCTCAGATTCAAACATCAATAGTCTTCCCCATTTTCGAGCTCTCCTGCGCCAACTCAATCAATCGAATCACCTGTCCGGCTTCAACACCGCTAGCAGGAAGAGCGCCCTCTCCTGAAAGAGCCCGAGCGAGTTTGCGGTAGTACTCTGTCCAAGTGGGCGGTTCGACGGTAGGGACAACTTCCTTGGCTGGGGTGCCGTTTTGGATGGTTGTCAGAGTACCTGGATTTGTTAGATATGGTATTGAATGTAGAGGGATAGCGGGTCTTACCGTAGCGCTCGCTTGGTTCACGGCCATACCCGCTGTCCCAGGGCTTGATACCAGCCTTGAGGTGGTCTTCTTGAATATCAAGATGGAACTGTATCACATTAGCCACAATTGACATTCACATCCAGAATTCAGCATACCTTCTTAAAACTCCCCTTCTCCCCCCTAACCCAAAACCTCAACTGCTCCTCCTCAGGACTAACAACACCCGCCTTCGCCGTAACAAGCACCCCACCCCCATAGTGCAGCAACACTGTAAAGGAGTCCTCATACCCAGAAGTATTAACCTCGCGCTGCGACCCAATGAAACCAGTAACCCGCTTCGGCAGCCCTAACAGATAAACCACCTGGTCGAGCAAATGTGTTCCGAGATCGTAGATCGCACTGCCGCCGGGGATGACCTTGTTTTTCCAATTGGAGGCAGAGGAGGAGGGTTCTTGGGGGCGGTGGCGGTCGAAGTGGGTTTCAAATTCGACAACGCGGCCGAGGGAGCCATTCTTGTAGAGTTTGGAGAGGGTCTGGAAGTCGGCGTCCCAGCGGCGGTCTATCATTCCTTAACAAGTATTTCTGGTATGGAGGGGAAGGTAAGCATACTCTGGTAAACAGCCAATAACTTCCCGTTCTTCTCCGCGATGGCATTAAGCTCCTCTGCTTCCTTAGAAGTGGGCGTAAATGGCTTCTCACAGACAACTGTTCTCGTTAGCATCACCATCACCCGTCCGTAACCAAAATAAAGAAGACACACCATGCTTCCCACCCTCCAGCGCCAATTTTACCAACTCAAAATGTGAATCCGGCGCCGTCGTAACAACCACCACATCAACTCCCGCATCCTTCACCATTTCCTCGGACGTCCGGTAGGACTTGATACCGGGGTGATCCTTTTCAGCATCGTCGTCGGGCTTAGGGGTGCGCTGGACGACGGCGTAGAGCTTGAGCTCGGGGACTTCGCTGATAAAGGGGATGTGAAAGGTTTTGGCACTGAAGCCGTAGCCCACAACGCCGACGTTGAATGCTTTGGAGGCCATATTCGATTGGTTAGGGGGTTAGATAAGAGAGCAGGGAATATGCAGGAAAGGGATATGCAATGCAAGAAGAGAAGAACTTTTGCAGAAAAGAAAAAGAGCTGCTTATGACTCTTGCTGACTATATTTATACAGAACGCGGGGAAGGTCCACGCGATGGAAGGCGGGGCAGTCAAAAGCCGACTCTCGGAATTCATCTCGGTGGCCCCGATTTATCTTGCTTCGGACAGTCAATTCCAGACAATAATGAATGCCATTCTCATGTTAACAATAGTCTATTCTATAAAAGAGACTAAGCCTTCTCCTCTCCCACACACCGGGTCACCTCAACAGCATCCCCCAGCCCTTCCGGCTGGTTCAGCGTACTCTCATACACCAAATTCGGGTTCCCGACAACATCAAACAGTGGCTTATCATCTTTGCCCACAAACGCCTGTGAAGTCCACTCCGAAATACCTCTCTTGTCATAACCCCCCGTGGTACTCTTCGCCGCCTCCCGCTTCTGCTCGACCGTACTCCGCACGTACTCCAGGTACGGCGGGTTTCCGGGATAAATGACGTTATCGGCCGCTAAGACAGATCCGGGAGATACCATGCCGAGATGCTCGCAAAGCTTGAGGTCGCTTGTGTAACCGGGTTTGTAGTGGTCGATGAACATGAGTTCGACGTGGTTTACTTCGCCGCTGGTATAGAGCTTGTGCAGTGATGCGTCGCTGCGACCGACGATGATGCGAACGAAATCGCGCAACCCGGCCAGATCAACTAGCATATTCGCGATAGCAGCGAAGACGGGATTCAATTCCAGACTCAGGAATCTCTTCCCGCCATTCCGACGAACAGCGTCTCCGAATAGGATGGCCGAGTAACCCACATAGCAGCCCAACTCGATCATCGTGTGCGGTTTGATCTCATCAATCAGATCCGTGACGACCTTGCCCTTTTCGGAACCGACGTTCATGAAGAGGTATTGTTTTCCGAATTCGTCGATTAGGTCGAGGATTTTCTGCGGGTGGCCTTGGATAGCATCGAGGTTGGGTTGGCTGTAGATGAACTCAAGGAGTTTGAGCTCGCGGCCATCGTTGTTCTTGCCTGTCAGTCTTTATCGAGGGTATGGTTGGGAGAGTTGACTTACCCAGACGCCTCCTTGGGTAGGGGGCTTGGTCGGGTCAAGGGTTTGGGCCATGGTAGCTGTAGAGTGTAGTATCGATTGCTTTGTCTGGGTGTGAAGTGAAGTGAAGTGATGATGGATGATGGATGATGGATGGAGGCGAACATGCCACACTATATATACCCTACTGTCTTACTGTATGGAGTAGGCTGTCGGGGACAACCTCATACTACGTCGGCATTCCATACTGCGTCATTCCACAAGGAGAGCTCGGAGTCGGAGTTGGAGGTAAAACCCGCTCCGAGTGTCTTTACGTGCAGAGTTGGTGAACTGTGTCGGTGTTAACGGCAGATTAGATTATCTGATAACTCTGGACTCGGCGATATCGCTCTAAATTGGGGTAGCTCGGGCTCGGTGATCCTAAGATCCTAAAGCCGTGCTCGGGCATATTTAGTCTCAGGCCTCAGGAAGTAGTTCACGCCTCAGGCATCAAGCGACGCATTCACCCTAATATAGAAGAGGCAAGCGGTGAATAGTGGAACTGCCACTGGCATATGCAAAACACTCCATCCAACGCAATGTCGTGCGTCGATAAGCGGTGTCTGTCTGCCCCCGATTTCTATAGGAGCTCAATGCTCTTCTCAGCAGCAAACCAAGCCAGCAATGCCTAGTACAACTCATTCTGAGCAATCCAGTGCAGCGATGACGTGGTCATCATGATAACATCTCCCAGTCTGTCCGGCGTTGATACCGAGTACATAGTATAGTAGAAATCCCAGCCTCGGCTTTTTCAGTTTCATCTGATCCTCCCGTCTCACAAGCAAAATCCTCATCCTCAATTCAACCCACGACTAACAACTACAATGGCCGTCTCTACGGTTCGACGAGTACTGGGCTCGATTTCCAAGTCCCAGCGCTTTGATCTCATCCGGACAATGCTACAGACACTATTTTGCTTACTGCGTATCGTTATCTCATTCTTGCTGTTGCCACTGGATAACGCCGTCCTTCTCGGGACGTACTTTGGTCATTACCTCACCCTGCTTCGATTAGCCGTGCACCGTCGTCGACAGGCGATTCCTCGCGAGACTGAATTCCGTCGGAAAACCGTTCTCATCGCCGGTGTTAATTCGTTACATGGATTGGCTGTTGCTCGGCGCTGGTATTATGAGGGGCATCGGGTGATCGGGGCGGATATGATGGATTCGCCGGTTCGGTCGGGAGAAAGCATGTCCAAATCGCTATCTGCGTTTTACAATGTTGACAAGACACAGTATGTCTCGCAGTTGGTTGATATTGTGCATAAAGAAAAGGTGGATGTGTGGATCCCCTGTTTGGAGCAGGTGGATACCATGGATGACGCGGTTGCGAAGAATGTCATCGAGAGTCGGACTGAATGTCGCTGTGTCCAGCTGGATCCGGAACTGGCGAGTCGGCTTGGTTCGCCGGAGTCGTTGAGACAGTACCTCGTCGAGAGGGACTTGCCTGTTGTTGAGAACCATCAGGTGCAGTCACGGGATTCGGTTCATAAGATTCTGCATCGGTCGCCTAGTAAGGCGTATCTGATGCGGAAGGCGCGTGGTCAGGATAGCAGGCCTGTTATGCTGCCGCAGAGGACGCTTAGCATGACATATCACGAGGTCAGCGAGATCCAGATTAACAAGGACAATCCGTGGATACTGCAGCAGCAGACTCGGCTGGGAGAGTTTATTGCGGAAATCCTCGTCGTCCGTGGACAGGTCAAGGCTATCAAGGTCCGGCCTGGAGATCTACAGTCTGCATGGGGCGCTTCTCGACTGGATCAGGGATTGGCTATATCCATTCATCGACTTATGGATCGGTTTGCGATGAAGGGCGGATCTCGTCTGACCGGACACCTTGCTGTTCACCTAATGGTGGACGAGGAGTTCGATGCAAACTCCGTCCGACATGTCCTGCACATCGCGCACTGCACGCAGGGTGCCGCTTCTGTCAAGACACTACTCCAGGGCCCATCATCCGACATAGTCTCTGGCTATCTATCCGTCCTCACATCGCAAGCCACCGAAGCCTCCGGACAACTAAGCGAAACCCCATTCGACGATGTCAAATCTACCATCGCAGCCACAGACAGAGCAAAGGAGTCCAGCGCAAACACTCTGAAGAAGATCCTATCCCCAACCTTCCTCATCCGACAAGCAAAAGAAGCTGCCTGGGAGATCTGCCATGTACCTTTCTGGAAAGACCCGCGCTTCTCCTACTCCGATCCGTTTCCGTGGTGGTGGCATACACATGTCTACACGCCGCTTCGAGAAATTGGGGTGGCTTTGTATCGAACGCCGTTGAAGGATTGAACTGGGTTATGCTAGATGAATTACGATTGATGTGCGATGCTTTGGTCTACGACGGAATGTGAGGAATGTTATCTGCATATTTGGCGTATGACTTCATTTTGGTTATTGTTAGACATGAACTGTTATTTTGGATAGACCTTGGTTTCTTCGTCTCTTCTGGTTAGATATGGGAATCTGCGGGAATCAGCAGCGTATGTCATAGCCCAATCAGGCAACCCCGCCAAGTGGCGTGTTCTTAAAAAAGAACAGCGTTGCCATGGTTTGCCTTAAATACCGGTGCCTTGAATATAAGTGCAGATACTAGTTAACAAGTACTATAGAAACACACTATTTTCTATGTATAGGGAGTAGAGAATAACGATATATCGCCAACATATAGTGTGTGGAATTTATTGTCACATAGCGCCGTCACCAGAGCGACGAGCAGACCCCACGCATAAACAATTCGCTTTTACAGAGAGGTCAAGGACACAACGATATACATACCATAGACACACGCACTGATACTCGAGCCTATGTCCCGTACTGGTAGATTATTCATTAGCCTAATGAATACTCTGTAAAAACGCTGTATTCAGACAACTGTGGCGTGTGGCGCGGCGCATAAATATGAAGCGGCACAAGGCAGTATGACATTCCGCCCAGCATAATTTCATTCTCCGCCGTCGTTTTCCTCTTCTCTTCGCTTCTACCCTCGACTTTGTTTCATCTCTGCTTTTTCCATACATCTTCCTTTTTCGTCTTTTCTCCCTCTGAGTACTATTGAATCTCTTGTACCACTACATCCGTTGATCGGTTGTTGGCCCGTTGATTCATTCCGGTTGGGTTCTGGATGCCCACGTAAACAATAGCATTGCACGACTTTCGCTTTACGCAGTTACGAGCGACGACCCATCTTCATCTTAGCGAAGAAAGAATTCAGAGGGAACATTTTTTGCGACATCGCCTTTCATCTGTTCGAATTCAAATCTAATACCCGAATCAGCCTCGCGAGTCAAACAGCGCACTCGACCGTCAGCACCGCTACCCGAAACATTTCAACGCATCTGAATCTCGTTTTCGCACTCAAGTTCAGCCGCGATGAAGCTCGCACGACCTTCCGTCAATCCTGGGCGGATGAAGAATATCATCCACGGTTGCCAGGGCCTCCTCATCTTCCTCGCATGGGCTCTGACCATCGCTGTCTGGACAAAGGGCGATGGAATCGATGGACGGACGGCTTGGTATTGGGCTCTAGTAAGTTGATGCGCTATGAGTTGACGGCAATTAAAATACTAATACGTTGATGTTAGTGCTGGTTTAGTATCCCCGGCTTAGTCTACCTTGTCGCTGTTCCGATTTGGCCGCGAGCCCGGAGATTCGGAAACGTTTATGCTTTTGCGAGTGTTGATATGCTGTATGCTGTGCTGTGGTTTGCGGCGTGGGTTTGCGTTGCGTCGTATGTTGCTCAGGGAAAGTCCGAGGGCAAGGATAGCGATTCGGATAAGGACAGCAAGAGCAATAAGCGGGCTAGCGACAGTGACAACAGCAGCAAGGGAGGATGCGATAACTGGAAATATGGTAGCGCTGCAAAGTGCAAGATTAGTACGGCTACGGTGATCTTTGGTGTGGCTATTTTGTGAGTTCTGGCGTGTCTTGTTGATCCTGGGCCTTGCTAACAGATACAGCCTCCTCTTCGTTGCTACGGCTTTCATGTCCTTCCGCAACGTCGTGCACTTCCGTCGCACTGGTACCCTCCCCGACGCGGTCTCCGACCCCAGTTTTGCCGCGCACTCCAAGGCTGCTTTCTCCTCGACTCCCGTCCAGGACTTTGATGAGGAAGAAAATGACTTCCGCTCTGGCCGCGGTAACATGACTTCCTCCGCACGCAGCGACCGCGACGAAGATTACGCCCTCCTCGAACAAAGCGAAGTCGATGATTTGGGCCACCATCCCGGCCGTTCCGCGCTATCCGGCGGGTACGATCCCACTGCGTCCACGATGACGGGCGGAAGCAGCGTTCTGCATGATTACAGCACGACCAGCTATGGCGGTGCATATGGGCAGCACTATGGGCCACCGTCGGAGTATCCAGCGACGGAGTATCCAGCGACAGAGTACCCAGCTACGGAGTATCCGGCGACTGATTATGGATCGAGTTTGAATGGTCATGGCCATCGTTAGTGGTGGACGTTGATGATTGTGATTTTCTTGTTTTGTTGTCATCGAGCGATGTTGCAGGCGTATATCCATCTCTGTTCTCCGTTCTCTTGTTTTGTGATTAGTTGAGCATGAGAGGTTGTCTGATTGTGTATACATAAATAGCAAACAATTCCTTGGTCTTACTGCTTATACTCTGTACTCTTTAAGTGACGCTGAATTACTAGAAACGGTCTAGATTGCCTATTTAGGTTTAGCGTCTCATTACCGCTTGGCATCGCTGCGCTTGCTCTATAAAGTCGCCCTCCATTGCTGCTTCGACTTCAACCAAATTTGTGCTGTTTTTCTTTGCAGCTTTCGCCTCTGTCGCCTATGGTTCTGGTGAGGCATTTTTGCTATTAATCCTTTGCGTAGGCCCCCTCATTGCACCACCCCTTTTTTGCTGGATGTAGTCATAATCGTTGCAGTCTTTCACACCAGTAGGCCTCGCCAAACTCGTGGGCGACCCGCGGGCGCCCGCGGGCTGTCAAAGAAAGCAAATATAGAGAATCCTGTGACTTGCATATTTTATGCGGTTTCTGGCTGTATTTTATGGTAATAGGATTACACACCAGTTTTCACCTGATCGAGCTTATTGCCCATATCGAGCCCTAAAGCTATGCCAGAACATACAAGTAACTTATTCCACGGGCGAGCGGCGCGTTTTCTCCGCAGCCACCAAATATTGAATCACCTGCCTCCTTCAATACATTATATCGTCACCATTTCAATCCATAATGCCTGAATCTCAAGAATCTAACATTCAAATGGCTATATCTGCCTATAATTCAAAAAGAATTAAGTCCAAAAAGGAGGCTGCCAAGGTGATTGCGGTATCTGAAACTACTCTTCGCGAGCGCCTCAAGGGAAGAAAACCACGCTCAGAAACACGGGCAAACAATCACATATTATCATCTATTCAAGAAGAAGTTCTTGTTAAGCAGATTCTGAATGCAGACAAACGTGGTTTTCCAATTTGTCCGGAGTTCCTACGTCAAATGGTTCAGATACTGCTTCAAGAACAGACCTCTACCTCTACTCCAAACATAGGAGTCAACTGGGCATCTAGTTCTGTTAAACGCCACCTACAAGTGCGCACACAGTTCAATCGGCGAATTGTCACGGGCTCGGAATAGTAGATAATAATGAATCAATGTTCCTATCTAAACTATTGCAACCATCGACGAGAATATCAAATCTGGAGAAGAAAAGAGAAAAGGAAAGACCTATTTATACAAAGGGATTTATGGGGGTTGTGTGGCATCGCTAAGCAGCTGTTTGTCTTTACTGTTTGCATGGCATTGTGTAAGGGGCTAGGCCCCAAAGGCTATCATCTAGCCATACTGATGGTTTGTTGATAAAGTCGCTGAGCTGGGCCGCCACAGGCTCACTGCTAACGAATATGCGGCTATATACAGGCAATCTGGCAGCTGGTACTGCCTAAGTAAGCTATCGACGAGAATAATCAACATGAGGAAGGAAGAAAGAATGTAACGCCGCAATCATCAACAAGTCTAACAGTCACAATAAGGGTCACAAAACAGAAGATGAAAGAGAACAAATCAAACATGCATGAAAAGTGTGCCCATTGGCTATAAGCAGAGAGCATCGTCACATCATGGGCTAAAAATAGGAGAATATATGTAGTATGACATCACAAAAATGAATCATAAAAAGTCAACAGGTGCCCGGATATTTCAACATTGACAATCGTGGAGAACCCAGGACTTTGTCCGTGCTCTCCTAAGAAATTTGTATTGCAGGTTCCGTGTTCTGTTGTTGTTGGTCTCGCGGTGAAGACCTGGCAACACCATTGAACCAGGAGGGAGTCCGTTCTCCCATGGCTGTGTATGAAACCTGGTAACAAAAACATTTTAGCTTAAGGCAAATGAGTGTCTATTTTTCCAGGGCCTGCTAATACCTGCGTTGTTTGGGAAACGTTGATTATTCTTATTTCTCGGTGAGATGGTGGCGAGAATATCGGGTTGTTAAGGGGTAATGTAGGATAATATGTCTCCAAGGTAGAAACTGGGAGCCAAGGACCATTTGGGGGCAGATTGTTTCTATTGATGCGAGTATGGCTGGGATTGGACTGGGCCGTGGAATAGATGTTATATTGCGCATTGCTTATTGGGAGATGCTCTGACTCATTGCCAAATTCGTAATTGTCTAAGTGATTGCATTGTAGTCAGTATATGACAGTAAGATAAAACAGCTGTGGGAGTGTGAATATCTTACCTCGGGCTCTATTCCACCATTGGGTGATTCTTTGTCTATGACTGACCAAAAACCGAACACCAGGAACACACGCGATGAAAAGAGCAAGCAATGCAATGATAGCTTCGGTCGACATTTTCACCTTGAGTCAGGATAGAGACAGCTCAAGAAGAAAATTCCAAAGTGTTACTATTGGCTTGCGCTGAAGTATGCTCTTGCAGGTTGACTTAATGGAGAGCCCTGCAACTGCAGCGTAAATCTGCAACGAAAAAGGTCAATAGTTATTTTAAGACGGCCTTATGAGACAACTAAATAGTAGTATCCTTAAATGTGTAGCGCACACCGCTACCCACAACACCAGACTGAACTTTTCGATGAATTTTTAATCCAGTAATACCACAAGTCATTGTATTGTTTCGAGGGTAAAGTGTCAGTTTTATATGGGGTTTAGTGACTCGACACCAGAGGAATGCCTGGCTTAAAAGTCGTGATTTGGTTGAGATGGTGAGGGACGATATTATGCGGTAATTCAACTCTGCAGCGGCGAGATTCGCGGCGAGGGATAAATCAATCAAATGTGATGGACTCGCAGGTTTTTATCATCAACATCTGGGGGGAATTGTGTGTTATTCTATTGAACGGTCTTCTAATAGTGAATAATTTCTGAATTGATTAAGAATGATAGAAGTGAGAAAAGGAGAGCGCTGACTGTTGGGGAGAAAAATACTTAGAAACCCCAGGCCAAATCCACCATCCGGCTTGGCACTCGGTAGGGCTGACCATGGCTACTCTATTCCGACTATGCAAAACAAATATGTACTCAAATGGCCAATCTCTTGCTCTCGCATCCAATGTCAACTCTTCCCTTCTTCTTCTTCTTCTTCTTCTTCTTCTTCTTCTCCTTCAGCTGCACTCCCCCAATAATCATTACCATATAAACAGCTTTGAGCATGTACAACGCCAAAGCAGCTCTCATTGTCGCCGTCGTGGCTTCCATCTCAACTCCCGTGCGGCCTAGACAGCCAACCATTGCCTTGACAGACATAACACCATAGTTCCGTTTTTCATCCATAGAGTGCTGTACGGTGAAGCTAGAAATCTAATTTGAAGTGCTCGCCTTTATTGATACTTATTGGAATATGACAGGAGACCTTGACACTTGAGAAAAGACTACCTAGTGACGCACGATTGAAGATGAGAATGATGAAGGTAACTGAAAATTGTCCAAAAAGGAAAAATGGCTAGCATAAAATTCACTAGATGAGGTGCCAATGTCTAAACAACCGTCTGGCTACTGGCAGCAGGGATAGTGACTGCATCCGGCTTGGAAAAGGAGCAGCAAATTCATATGTTTTGAAGCCTTCTTCACAATTCTCACCTGGTTCGCGCTCTTTTCATGCAGGAAAAAAAAAAAAAAAAAAGTCTGCATCCAGTTCTCTAACTATCAACAAGCACACGGCGAGAAAAGATGAGCCAAGCCTCCATGGGGCATGGACTATCTCTCCCCAGAGCCACTTTCGATGGCTTCTCGCAGCTCGATCAGGCCATGGAGACTTTGCCCAGTACCACGAGCGCTTTGGGCATGAGGATGAAAAGTTAGAGTGCCCCTGTGGAGGCCGGAAGACTCCCCATCACTTCTACTACTACCGAAAGGGTCGCAAAGCGTTCCCACATCCATGGGGATACCAGCAAGTAGATAAGATCCTGCACTCTAAGTCAGGAATAATGGTTTTCCTTGAATGGTTGCAGATGTCGCATTTCTACTACACAATATACCAACGCAAAAAACCTTCGATAACATTTACATTGAGGTTTTCAAGCCAGTACCGTGTATCTTTGGGCTCGAGAAGAGCACAGAATCTGGTAAAATGGGTGAGTATCAAGCAATACCACCATAATGTGAAATGCACTTTCCAAAATTCACTCGCATGTTGTTCAAGCCAATTCGTGTGGATTCTGCAAAGTCTCTTTCTATTTTCTTAAAGGGTCCTCGAACAAGCTGGTTCTAGAATTCAGGCGACCTATTAGTCTGATGTTTGGACTTTGTAGCGCGTTTGATACAGTGCCTAGGTTTCGTAATAGCCATTTTGATTGAGCCAAAAAAAAAAAAAAAAAAAAAA